ACACGCGCACCAGCATCCTCACCCCCAGGTCCAACAAGTCCACGCGGTGCCTTCCCACAGGTCAAGACGACCTCTCGCCCGAGCGGCACCCCCACAGCCGCCTCCGGTCCCCGTATCTCCTGAACCAGACTCCTCCGAAGAGGAAGAGGAGGAGGAAGAGGAGGACGAAGAAGACGACGAAGAGGACGACGAGGACGACTATCTAGACTACGCTCCAAACCCGGCAGACAGACGCTTCTGGCCAACTCCGCCAACCCAGGGTCCAGCCTCGTCTGCTCCGTCGTTCAACCCTTATCCTCCGCACCAACACCCTCCAGCACCCCCATCCTTCCCGCAGCCGCAACATGCTAATGCTGCTCATCCTGGAGTACCTTCAAATCAGCTTGTTCAATTGGGATCCATGGGCCATCAGAACCCTATAGGAGGACACATGGGTCAATACTCGCATCAGCAATTCCCCTACGGGGGGCACTATCCGCCTCCCCCGCAGGGGCACCATCAACAACTCCCTCACGGATACTACACCGGTCCAGATGGACTGCCACACCCCCATCATCCGCATGCCGGTCAGCGCATGCCACTTCATCACCCACACCACCCACCGCATCACCCGCATGGACACCTTCCCCGGCACCGTTCACGCAGCGGCTCCCCAGACGATGAAGAGGACTCGCCAAAGCCCACCATGGCTCACCCAGTCATGAGCCACCCACCGTCGTTTCCCGGCACACCGCCTTATATGTCTCCGGAAATGGTACCGTACGGCTATCCACACGCTCTTCCCCACCACCCTATGCTACCCGGAGCCGGACACCCACATGCTCAGGCCCAGGCTCAAGCACAGGCTGCTGCTGCGGCGGCTGCTTACTACCAATATATCCAGCGGTACCCTCATATACCTCCGTCTATGTTCCCGCCTCCGCCATTCTTCCAAATTCAGGGTCGTGAACCGAGTCCGGCTAAGAAAGAGAAGAGTCGGAGTCCGTCTCCGCCCAAATCGCCACCACCTCCTCCTCCGCCGCCTCCAGCTCCCGCTGAGCCCCCACCCCCGGATCCAAAGGATGAAGCAATCGCTCGACTTGAGAAGTTGATCATTGAAGAACGAAAAGAACGGGAAGAGCGCGATGCCGCTCGCGAAGCTGCCATCAAGAAAGCAGCCGCTGACAAGGCAGCCGCTGAAGCTCTAGCGGCCAAAGAGAAGAAGATTGCTGCTGATGCTGCCGCTGCCGCCACCGCTGCTGCAAAGGAAGAAGCTAGAATTGAAGCAGAAAAGGCCGCTGCCGCTGCCGCCGCTAAAGCTAAAAAGGACGCTGAAGAAGCTGCTGCTGCTGCAAAGAAGGAGGCCGAGGAGGCTGCTGCCATTGCTCTGGCGGAGGCCACAGCCGCTGCCACTGCTGCAGGAGATGCCAAGGCTGCGGAAGCCGCAGCAGCAGCAACAGAGGCTGCCCTGAAAAAGCCACCGCCGCCAAAGAAGCCCGTTCAATTCAAAGATGCTATAGGCAGGAAATTCAAGTTCCCCTTTGCCCTATGCAAAACATGGCAGGGAATGGAAGAGCTCATCCGCCAGGCCTTCCTGCATGTTGACTTGATCGGTGAACATGTCCTGAATGGGCATTACGATCTAGTCGGTCCCAATGGAGACATTATCCTCCCACAAGTCTGGGACACTGTTGTCGAGCCCGACTGGTCAGTTAGCATGCATATGTGGCCTATACCTGAGAAACCCAAGGAGCCGGAACCCGCACCACCACCTCCTCCTCCTCCAGAGGAAGAACCCCCCGTTGCGGTAGTGGATGTTCCAGCACCTCCACCACCTCCACCTGCACCGAAGAAGGTGGTACGTCCTGGCGCACCGGGAGGGTTCGCCAAATGGATGACAGGAGGAAAAGTCAAGCCTAGACCAAACCCGAAGGCTGCTAAGAAGGCTGACGCTGGTGGTACGCCTCCTCCACCTCCACCACCGCCTCCTCCGCCATAAACAATGATCTGCCCTCCCTCAACAATCGCAACATCTGATCTGATATACCACAATGTCAGATCGTCCAGCGAGGATAGCATCATAAAAACGAAAACAAAAAAAAAAAGAAAGAAAGAAAGAAAGAAACATCACTGGCGGTGGCATTTTGCTTTTTATCTTATCTACATCTCAATTTTTCATTTACACTCATTTTTTGGCCCCTTCTGATTAAGTTTATTGAGCGTGTTGATATTTGACTTTTGTGCCTGTTCCTGACCCTGATTTCCAACCATTTATTAGCCTTTTCACTTTTGATTTTACCTTTTACAACGCTTTTCTTCTCCTTTCCCTTGATATCCGGCGGCTTGATGCGAAAAACGACATATAGATTTCTGGTTGTTCGACACTTCTCTTTTTTTCCCTTCTTGATTATGCCCTTCACTTCGCTTACTTTTACCCATCCCCAACCATCCCCAACACTCTTTTATCACCCCCCCCGATCCGAGGTTTCAGGTTCATGTTGAGGATGGCATGTATGATTAATGGCGGGAGTTGTGTGCAGACAGAGAGCGTGGTAGGAGGAGCAGGAGAAAGAGGAGGAAGCGGAAATCCACGACATGACGATGAATGATAATGACGGTGGACGCAAGGAGATGAGAAGAAGGTGGGAATGGAAGCAGAAATGCGAGGAGAGGTGAGAGATGGGTGGGCTGGTTTCTGTTCTTCAATTCTCCCTTGTGCCTAGGGATGCCACTCGCTCACCTTGCCTCATATTTACTTTTGATTTCCCGCCAGATGTAATACCCATACCCATATCCATACCCATATTTTTATATGCATTTTATTTTTAAGTAACTAATTGATTATCTTCTTGACTTTAACAACCACTACTACTTCCAAGCTTTTGTCTCTCTTATAAATCACATCCCACATGCGAGATGAAATCCCGTCACTTACCTAGGCTCCCTGGTGCTGAAATCCTAACCTTACGCGCTCCCTTGCCAGTTTTGCCCTTGCCTTGCCCTGACAGACCCTGATAGACCTGTCTAAAGTTCACCTGCCTAGCCTTCCCTGGCATGTTCTGCCCTGTTCTACTTTGGTTCTAGCCCTGGAGGGAGAGAGCAAGAGCAACAATGAGCAGGGTTGGAACAGGGAGTGTTGCAACCGGATGGCATGAGGTGTTTCGCCTATATATACCAGTGACCAGCGTGAAGACCGGGGTATACAAGTATCAAGCAAGCAAACAAGCCGTTAGCTGCTCATCTTGTCTTCGGCTCTTTCGTATGCGCATACGAAGCTGGCAACCGTTGAATGAACGCCGTAGTGTAAGTATATCCCATGTGGAGCATGGTTAAGTCTACCGTGGAACGCCAAAATAACTCAAAAGCTTGGGAGCTTGTCGACCATGTAAGCTCTTGAACCGAATTGGCCATGCATAAGCGCATAGATAAGCACCTATCCACCCAGTCAATCTGTAATAGCCGACATCTGCCTGTAGATACCCGACTCACTCACATGGGACGTCCCAACTCAGCCTTACCTTTTACGCAAAGGTTCGTCCCGCCCGTTCATTTCCGATGGCAGAGAGGCGATGGCAAAAGAGTGTATGGAGCCGTCCGTATAAGAAGTATCAAATTGGCACGGCTGGTGGATGGCTCGACCCTTCTGATCCAACGGTCTCAGAGTCCAAACTTGGCAGCGGATCGAAGACTCGCCCTCGCCCGCCCCTTCCATGCCCTTACACTCTGCTCCCGGCGCTATATCGCAAACCTCGTCCGTATTTCTTCGTCGTCTCCCTCGTCGCCGTCTTTTTTTGTAAGTTATGGCTTTTGATATTTCTTTTTCTTCAGTTTTACCCCTGACATATTTACATAAGCACCCACGTGACTATGTTGATATTTTTCCGTTTTTGGCATTTCGCGACTTCAACTCTTCGACTCTTCAGCTTCTGCGACGCTCAACAACCGCAGGACACGCTGAATCTGCGCTGGCCTGGCGAGATCAGACGATCGTGGTCGGAGTTCGCGCAAGTATCCGTCCCCCCAAGCTCCATCTGATGGCCCCATGCTGACTTTTACATCTGCTCACTCTCCCCACACCGGCCAATCAGCTCCGCAAGGCCCGAGGATCGCAAGGGAATAACAAGCCACTAAGAATTTTTCCCGCCCCTTTAAAAACCAAGCAAAGCAGCTGCTCGATGGGCTTGCTCCCAGGCAGCTTTATTTTAGTTCTTCACACAAGCCGCAGTAGTAGCCCTGCAGGCACGCTCTGTGTTGTGCTGGTAACCAGCGCAGCCAGGCCACTCAGCGTGCACCTGCATCCGTATACATAGACAGGAGCGACAGAAGGATTACTTACGGTAGTTAGTTTGGCCTCAGGGAAACCGAGCAGACCGAACCTAGCACCGCCCCCTGCCCCGAACGCAACCACTCGACCTGTCGGATCCCCGTCCTTGGTCCCCATCATCTGTGTGCCCATGCACGCTGTCACGGCTGTGAGTCCCGTCGTTGCGCCTCCTGGCTCTTTGTACGCTTCTGGCGATGGCCGTGGTTGGGTAGTATTTGCTCGATAAGACCTTGGGGGGACCAGGACTGGAAGAGGTGTGTGTGGCCAGACACTTTTTAAGCTCGCACGCCTGCATGCTTTTAAAATAAATCAACTAAGATTCGATATTTCCTGCTCACTGGTTCTTTGGGATCAGATAATTTTTTTTCCTGCTCCCTTCCTCTTGGTGTCTGCTTTTCTTTTCGTGTTTTCGCTCCCCCATTACTTCATCGAAGTGCTCTGGGTCTCTTTCTTATTTTCGACCTTGTCCGTTTCTGTTTACCCCCTTCTCTAAAGTCCCCGCTCTCCTTATTTTTGATTCTCTCTCTGCCCCCTTTTTTTTAGCGCTTCTTGAATATCGCACGCCATTATCGTCTTCAGCCTGCTCGCAATCCATCTTTTGCATCGGCGTGTATTATTTTGGGTCGTTGCGCCCCCTAATGTGTTTCGTTTATATGTTATTTTGAATCGACGGAGTGATATACTGCTTCGCCCACTGCGCGGCTCCTCCACTCGCCTCACTCGACTTTTCGCCTCCTCCCAGTCCCAGATTCTTATCCGATTCTAATAAAAGGACAACAAACAAGCACGCTCGACACATCGACGGCCATCTGTATGTAAGCTTGTTTCAGATTATTGCTCTTTTCTCCCATTCTTCGAGGTCTAGCTGTGGTGATACATACATATCATGTTTATATGCATTGATATATATGTCCGGCTACTCCCTTGCGGGCTCCTCTCTACATATATGCAAGGCGAACGGCCGACATCCTAGAGGAAATCTTGGTTCCCTTACCGCCCGGCCACCCCTGCGCAGGTCTCTGTAACTAATGCCCAAAGATTACACAGCGTTCTCCGGCAGGCCCCCCGGCTCACCTTTCGACACATCTCTTTGCTGCTGCTGCTTCTACGGAGTATTGCTGCAGCTGTTGTTTCTGTTTTCTTGCGTGCGTGCGTGCGTGCGTGCGTGGGAGCTGGCTGGCTGGCTGTTCGTTCCGGCCTGCTGTCTCCGTCACCCTTTTCCTGCTTGGGTTTTCCGGTGATCCCTCCCATTCCATGTGCCTATACTGGCCTCCTCGCATTGTCCGCTGCATGCCATTTATCGTTCCTGTCGCACAAAATCTCGAAGATGTCTCATGCAAGTCGTGAAGCATAGTGCAACCGGCCCATAGCACAAATCCAAATCCACGCGCAACATCTCATATTACACCCTGATAGACGTCGTCATACCATCCCTCACTCAACTGAAAGAAGGATAGAGTGAAGGGAAAAGAGACGAACAGCACTGTCTAGCCGAATTCTCGCTATCTTTGTCGTCGCTCATAGCCATTCTAACCCCATCATTGATCATCTCTGGCAGATATTTGGGTGAGGTGATGGTTATATTCGTTGCTCCCTCCAGGTTGCAAACATGACTTCGACAATACCGCAACCAACTCGGTTGCCTTCTAACCCACCTCCTCGAAGCCCTCCGAGATCAGCCCTTCCTCCGATACCAGCTTCGAAAACCAGGAAAAGCATGCCTGGGCCCGGCGACTCGGTTAAGCTATACGCAACTTCCCCCCTTCCCTCAAAATTAAGAACTCCCTCCGCTGCCCAGACTAAGTCTGCGGTTCCGTCTAATCTCGGAATAGCGTCGTTTTCACAGAGCAAAAGCTCGTTCAGATCCCCCTCAGTATGCCTTACCCCTGGGAGCCCAGACAAAACCGTACGCCGGACCGTGAGCATTGCTTCATTCCCCCAACCCCCCAAGGCCAGTCGGCCCTCTCTCTCCGCTCAATCCTCTTTCTCAGGAAACCCCCCTGATAGCCCAAGGTCAGTGCCAAATCCCAGGGCAAGGAAAAAGGCTCCGCGCATAGATACAGGCGCGGGGTCGCAGCTAAAGAACTCAAAAACACCAAGTCTGCTCAACGGTAGCGGGGATGGTAAATCGATACCCAACTCTCGTAACTCGGGAGGCCACGCTAGTATAGCCTCGCCCACCCAAAGTCGATGCTCATCCGCCCAGGACTCATATTCAACCAGTGCCACTACTTATGATGATAATGAAGAAGGCACACGGCGAGGGCGAGATGGTGTTGATGACTCAACTGGCAGTTCGAATCGAAGTCCCAAGGGCAGAGAGGGCAAAGGAAATGTCCTGGTGAGTGTGCGAGTTCGACCAGATCTGTCGTCCGGAGAGGGCAAAAACTCTGAAGGAGAATGGCTGGTCAACGGTAGAAGGAGTTTGGTGTCGTATAGAGGAAAAGAAGGCGGCGATTATTTTTACGGTAATTATCTGTCTTTACACTCGACCTTCCCAAAACAAACGTGACTAGATGAATTAACTATTCGATAGATAATGTTTTTACCACACATGATAATAATGCTAAGGTGTACGATGCATCTGCGAAACGACTTGTCCGCCGTGTCATGGAAGGTTATCATGGCACGGTTTTTGCTTATGGAATGACTGGCACTGGAAAGACGTTCTCCATGCAGGGAACCGCTACATCTCCAGGTGTCATCCCACTTGCAATCACAGATATCTTCTCATATATTAGAGAAACACCCCATCGCGAATTCTTGCTCCGAGTTAGTTATCTGGAAATATACAACGAGAAGATCCACGATCTATTATCCATGTCCGCGTCAGGGCAAGGAAATGGAAATGGAGCCCAAGGGCAGCAACAAGAAGAGATCAAGCTTCGCGAGGATAGCAAGCGAGGAGTTTACGCTACACCACTCAAAGAGGAGATAGTCCAAAGCCCAACCCAGTTGCTACGTGTTATCGCCAGAGGAGACCATTCTAGGAGAACGTCCAGTACGCAGTTCAACTCACGAAGTTCTCGAAGTCATGCTGTCGTCCAGATTGTCGTGGAAAGCAGAGAGCGAGCTCCTGTGGCTGGACATGAGAAGCGGGCTGCAATTGCTCCCGGTGGAGTCCGTGTATCAACCCTCAGCCTGATTGACCTCGCTGGTTCCGAGCGTGCTGCAGAAAGCAAGGAACGCAGAGCAGAAGGTGCCCATATTAACAAGAGTTTACTTACCCTTGGAACAGTCATTGCTCGTCTAAGCGTCGAGAAAGAGGGCAAAAATGGAGACAAGGAAGGAAAGCATTTACCCTACAGAGACAGCAAGCTCACTCGATTGTTGCAGCCCGCACTTTCTGGTAACTCCCTTGTCAGTATCCTATGTACGATCCAGGTTGGGTCTGGCGGAACTGCTGCATCTTCCCAGTCACATACGAACGAAACCATGAACACACTCAAGTTTGCTGCGCGAGCAAAGAATAACATCGTCAGCCACGCAAAACGAGCCGAGGAGTCTTTGGGCAGTGGTACAGGTGATGCAGGTAGCAGGGTCTTGCTTGAGCGGTACAGAATGGAAATCCAGTCTCTACGTCGTCAATTGGAGAATCAAGCTAAAGCGGAGACACCAACCACCACCTCCGAAACAGAATCAAAAGAAGAAGAGCGAGCCAGAGAAAAAGAAGCTGCGCTTCGTCATGAAGAACAAATGCTGGAGATGCAGCTTGCTCGTACTGCGCTTAAAGAACGAATTGAACACTTGAACAGGTTGATCCTATGTTCAAAATCAACTGGCGTCAATGCAAGTCTGGCTAGATTCTCCTCCCAAACCAGCCCAGGCTCCGTGGATATTCGATCACTACGATCCTCCGTTTCTCATTCTACACTGGGCGCTGGTACAGCGTTGAACCGCTCTACATCTCTTGCCTCAATGAAGAGCAGTGCAAGTGCAGGCCATGCCAATGCAGCTGCCCCCTTCGCCCATCACCAAGATGACGACGAGGAGATGATCGGTGAATTCGCGGACGGAATGGCGAGCTTGCAGGTCCAAGTAAATGCACTCCAGGCCGACCTTGCAGACAAAAACAGATACATCTCAACGCTTGAGCGTCGACTACTTCAAGCCCGTCGATCAAGTCATTCTCGTGTTTCCATGGGCCTGAACCACCACCACCATCTGAAATCGTGTAGCACGACATCCTCAAATAACGATTCAGACCTTGCCTCTCTTTTGCGGGAGAAGGATATGGAAATCGCAGACTTACGATTACAGTTAGACGACAAAGATCGAATGGTGGCAGCACTGAGATCGGCAGCGAGACAAAGGGACATGGCACACCTGACTGGCGGGAGCACAAACGCAACCAATCGAGCAGATGCTGCGCCTACACCTCCACCGCTTCACCCACCGCCACCTGTGGGAGCAGATTACAAGATTATGGGCATTAACAACGCCATATTACCCAATCACAACAGCCACAGCCACAACAACCATCACAGCGAGACCAACTCATTATTTAGCAATAGTGGCGTTGGCTCTGGCTCTGTATTGGGACGGGTCAGCCCCAAGCTTCTTCCGCCGGTGAAGTTAAGCGCCGAAGACAGAGATAGGAAGCGAAAGAGCGTTGATGAAATGTCACGCATGCTGGATGAGATGATTCAAGATCGAGTCGAGAGCGGGCATCTCATTAAGACTTCCAAGGGCCATATGCGAGTTTCCAGTGCTGGCGTATCCCCAAAGAGCAACGATGGAACTCCGCAGAAAAATAGCAGAATGTCAAGAATGTCAACTGGCACGGTTGCAGAGCTGTCGTCCAGTAATGGTCTCTTCTCGGACGTTAACTACAGCCATTCTCGCACCAAAGATTCCATTTCTACCAATTCCGACAACCAGCTTCGGCGTGATGAAGAGCCCTCGGAGCAAAATGCAGCGCACATGGATACCTCCGTTGACAAACCGGCTCCGAGGCCCATGTCATCGTAGTCATCCCTATACTACTTTGCCCGCCCTAGTAATGCTGGTCACGATTCTCTCGATTTGATTCCATACACAGTTTACCAGTTAAACTTGGTTGCTGTTACCTAGAGCTTGATACATTTCTCTACTACGCCTTTACCATTTATTACACCCTTGGTTTTATGTCTTGGTCATGCACGTTTTCCTTGCGAAAAGGGCCTTTTGATTTCATCTTAGCTTTCCTTTTGCTATCCACAGTTTCCCGCCATACCATCTTCTCTTGCTTTTCCCGCCGGCAGCCTGCGTACTTCGTACATTGTGCTATTTCTACTTCTTTGTACAAGTTGGATATCCTGATTTTTCTCGTTACTTGTTTGTTTGGCCTTGGTGGTCAACCTTAATCCGCTGGTGTTTTGATCAGTCAAAAACCAGACACGATTGGTTTGCCGCATCTTTCCTTGCTTGTTCTTCTTTTTCAGACATGTCAGTTATATATCCCCATTCTCCTCTTTTGCGTATCTTATGATTATTTTCGCCGCGGTCTCCCTAATTTTTTTTTTATACGGGCTTTGCTCTTTGTTCCTCTCAATCATTAGTGAGCGGAGAGTTGAAATGAAGTTCTTACACAGCATGATATATGAATAGAATACTATTCGTTCTCATCTCTTTCCTACACCTTTACTACTTCACGTTCCAACCTAGAATAAAGCAATCGATGTACTTGTACATAGCAATACTATTTACAGCATTGCCAGGTCCTGGGTGTCTTTAAAGCAATCGAAAAATGCTGCTCCACTCTGTTTAATGGCTAATCCATTAACCGATGAAAAAGAAAAGAAAAATGGAGAGAGAAAGAAGAAAGATGGGCATAGTAGTTGACTATACGGAATACTCTTTATATCAACAAACATCAAGGGATGAGAGCCCGTATTTCCCAGCATGAGCTGTCACTACTTTCCGCGTCATTGGCGTCATGAGTCGCTCCATTTTCTACCAACACAGCACGTAGCTCGTCATTATTGCTTTCGATAGCAACCGACAATGGAGTTCGACCAGATCTATCTCTTGACATTTACAGAGGCTCTACGCTCAATTAAAGGGGTTACCAGGTCCATATACCCAAAGAACGCCGCTATAAATAACGGGGTTTGCTCATCCTGATTCCGAGTCTCTACATTTGCTCCATGGTCAAGAAGCAAAGTGGCAGATTCAAGGAGCCCTATTCTCGTAGCTTTCGATAGGGGGGTATCTTCGGCTGAGTCTCTACATTCCATATTTGCTCCACGCTCAAGAAGCACCTTAGCGAACTCAGTATTCTGAAGCCCGACATATTATCTTCTTCTATTGCAACAGCTAAACAACAGCTACCATAGAAGCATATGAAATTGGCATCGGCCCCAATATCAATTAGCAGTTCCATGATTTCCAAATGCTCGTATTCGGTAGCGGAAGCTAAAGGGCTCATGCCATATCTTTCTCATGTAGGAATCTGACCATCTCTTCGTCTCCATTTTCTGAAGAAATCGTTAAAGCAGTTCCACCGTACGGGTCATCAAGCTCGACTTTCGCTCCATGATAAAACAGCCATTTTACTGTTTCAATTCTGCCTTGTTCTAGTAATTCAGAAAGTGGGGTATTACCACTATAACCACCCAGATTTATATCCGCCCCTGCGTTAAGTAAAAGTGCTGCTAACTCTTCATCTTGCTGTAGGATCACCGAAAAGAATGTTGAACAATGACTACTATGTTCCCGGGAGTTTATATCCAGACCAGGCATCTCTTAACTAGGAGCTCAACGACATTATAATGGCCGCGGATTGCTGCAGAAATAAGCGGTGCACCGGAAGGTGAGGCGTTAAGGTCGGCCCCTTGATCTAGAAATTTTCCAACAGCAGATGCGTTACCGGTGAATGATGCGCGATACATTCCGCTTCCTCCAGAGTGCCGAACATTATATTGATACAGGAAGGTGTTCAGCGCCTGGTGAAAGCGCCGGCAGGTTCGGACACGGGTATTGACATCGTGTTCATTCTGTAACGCTTCAGCAATAGCTAGTACCAACTCAAGAGGCAGCTCCGCGAGTCTCATGGTATTATTATGCTGTCTTTACCTGGTCTTCCTCTTGCTTTTTTCCATTCCCGTCTTTGTTTTGATGTCGCTAAAAGGAGAACTTTCAACCTTGAATTGGAAAAGTTCAATATCACGTGTCTCGAGTGCTTAGTCATCACAGAGCCTCAATTTCTCTTTTATTTCTTTATCTCAACATCAAATCACAAAAGGCGGACGAAGCGGAAGAAAAAGGCGGGACAAGATACATAGTTTGCGGCTACGTGATCACAGGTAATTTTGCTCAGGGACACTGAGCAGTTTCAGGGGAGAGTTGACGCGGGGAGTTCGCTAGCTCGGACCCTCGTTGGCTGCTGTCGAACTCAATAGCACGGTGTACAGAAGCTTGTCGGGAACGGAGTATTTCCTACGGAGTACTTCAAAGCAATGGGAGGTCGAGTATCACTGATGGATTGTCAGTGTGCATGGAGGTTTATTAATATCCTGCAGAATTATTCACCATCGCACGTAGCCACCAACGGCGAGAGAATGCTCCGTCCTTAGTCAGGCCAGTCTGAGAGCAGTGCAGCCTTTCGTCTGCCGCTCCCATGCCGGTTCTGAAACACTGGCGGCTCCACCACCGAGGGCCATCGTTCGGCTATCACGAATCACTAATCGCGACACTCTTATGTCACAGTGCGGGCTGGGATGCTATCCCTCGCTGCAGGCTCTTCAAACGGGCATATCGTCCCAGGACCATGTCCAATCAGCTCCAGTCAGGGCACTTTTTCGCTGTTGTCCCTCTCCGGAGTACCTGGAATCAGAAGCTTGAAACGCGAGATGAAGTGGAACATGAGGGATGGTTTTTACCTGCCTGCGAAGAGGAGGATGTCTCTTCCTTAGCCACTCAGGATGGACATATCAATTTTGATATACGGATCATCGATGAGAAAAAGAGTGTTGTCCAACCTCCAGCCGTGGCACCCACAGGAGACCCATCTATGGATCGTCTCCCAACTCGTCCACCACATCTTTCGGATTTCACTCCACTCTTGCTGTTTGACGTCACTCCTTGCCGCCCGTCAAGGTGATACGCTGCTGCGAAAGTGCTATGGAGTAACATGGGCCCCAGTTATGATTAGGATCCGCGGTCTCAACCTCTTTTCCCCATATTTGGTGTCCTCCGTCCCGCTGGTCTCCTGGGTTGGATACGGTACCTCGTACGCGGACTTTATCGCGCTCTCTTAGTGGCGAAAATCGCTCTTCTTTTCCCCTAAATAATAACCAGGTCAGCTTCGTCTCACACGATTCTCTCATCCTTGTGTGTTTGATTTAGACAGATATCCAGGAGATATATTTCCACCACATAGGGTGCTGGCCTCCCCAAGAATAGATCTCTTACCGCGCTTATGGCTCCTTGATCCAGGGGCTGCCTTTCATTCACTCTTCTTGTCTTTCTGTCTTTCCTTCTTCTCTCCTGGATCTTCCTTTTCTTCCGCCTTTGGAAGATTTACAAGAACTATATCCTTAGTGATCGACTGGCATCGGTTTAGCCTTCCACTCATTGTGCATCGTGTCTTTTTCATATAGATAGCCGGGTTCCACCGCGGTTACATATATGCTTCAATCCATATATGTACGCTGACCCCTTGGAGGCCCTTTTGCTCTTGTGCCCCGTGCCCCCGCAGTGCCTTTGCTAGCCTTAACTGCCGTTCCTTTTAAATATTTCGCTCCGGGGCCGTTTTCGCTTTGTCTCTCCCTCTCCGCTCAAGACTGTGTTGGAGCGCGCGCTCGACCATATTTTCCTCTGGCCGGCCTGGTGGGAAGATGTCCTCTCTGAGCCTTTAGTCACTCCTTTATTTGCACGGCTCTTACTGGTCTTCTTTCCTCTTGGAAGGGAAAACGTCTCTCCTTAGCCGATATAACGATTATTGCAGTTGTTTTAACGAAGGCTCAACGTGAAATTTGGTTTGATATTTTACCCATATTTGATGCACTGTAGGTGGAAAGAAGCTGGGCAACAAAATTCGCGGCCTGACTGTTTCGCGACATCATCCATCTTCCAAAAAAGACACTCCCTTATTCTGTGATTTTCAACATGATTATCGCATCTCGACGAAATTTGCATGACATGAGTATGCGCAGGGCACCGGCTACCTTATCCAGTGGCAGCCTGCGGGTTCCATTACTCGACTCTCCGCTACCGTCTCCAAGTCTTCCCGCCGCCGTACCTCGACAGGGTAAAAAACCATTGCCAAGATGGTTGATACGGCTCCGGAGGCTTGCTCTCTGGATAGGGTGCTTGGTTGGGATATTCTTCTGCATACAATCTACCCCTTGGTTCGCTCATCTTGACCCAGTCGCGCCTGTAGGAACTACCGGAAGCTATGAGATTGTCGAAAGTGAAACATTGCCAGAAGTAGCTGGACCAATTCTAGTGGACGACGAGCGTGGAAGGGCAAGGTGGACTATTTCCTTGCCAGAGAACCTCGATTACCCTCTCCCCCCTACAGAATATTCGAAAATATGCAAGGACGCCGAGGCAATGGCACTCCATCTAGCCGATGGAAAAGAATATAGTGGATATTACCACGTAGATAAGAATTACATCGACATTGACGAGGCGAAGCGGCGAGATATCATCCCATCAAAACTCAATGGACGGACCCCCAGGAACGTTGCAGATAACGTTGTTGGTGGAGAGAAATATCTCAAGATGCGAGATACCATGCCTGTCTGTAAGAAGAGCTTGACATTCGTGATGCAGACGGAAGATGCAGGTCTGGGAGCTACCTTGATGGGTCTATGGATGAGCTACGGCCTGGCAAAGAAGGAAGGACGTTCATTTTTCATCGATGACAAGAAATGGTCTTACGGTCGATATACCAATTATTTCAAGCAACCTCCGTTGCCAGACTGCCAGCCTCCCCCAGTTTCGCATAGAACCCCATTCCCTCACCACGCACGCCATCTTCTCGTATCATCGGCCACTACTCAGTGGACTTTCGGAACCAAATTCAACGAGCGGTTTGAGAGCTCACGAAAAATGGGCGCGGACCGGCAAAAGGAGATGTTCAAATTCCTTCGCGCGGGATACGAAGCACTCTTCCATATCGACAGCGATGGTGCAAAGTACATCGAGCAACGAATGGCTGAGATACGAAGCTCTATTCCAAAGGGCGGTGGCCCCCTGATCAGCATCCATGTCCGCCGTGGTGACCGTCATCCATTCGAGTTCCAGTATGAGAAGTCTTACATCCCGCTTGATATATATGTTGATGCGGCAAAAGAACTCGTCACCTCCTTTTACAACCAGAGGTCTATATTCTCCTACAACATCAACGGCAGTAGTAGCAAGAAGGCTTCTGAAGCCCAGTACAGAGCTACATCCAGCATGATTCTCGCCTCTGATGACCCCGAGACTTATTCTTCTCCTGAGATGAAAGGCATCGTCAAGGCACAGTCAAACCTTGTGTCAAGTGGTGACGGACCTCTGGACGGCTTCCGAGACGTTCCTGAGGAACCCAGCGGTAAATCCGCTAAAATCGTTGCTAAGAAGCCCCAAAAGGACCCCAAAATTGACTGGGACGGTGGCTTTTTCAACAGCATTTTCTGGTCTCTTGGGGATACCTCGCTTATCCCTTCGGCGGAAGGCAGCCCTTCCGCGTCTCAGGGGACGTCTTCCGTATTCCCCCCACATCGCGTTGTCCGCGAATCGGAATACGAGAGACTTCATTTCAACCCATCTCCCGAGGCTCTTCGGTTGCGCGAGCTTGTTGCTAAAACATACCTTACCGACCTATCACTTCTTGCTGAGGGAGATGGTGTTGTTTGTGCTGTGAGTAGCACTACATGCCGGCTATTAGCCGTCATGCTGGGATGGAATAAGGCAATTGCCCATGGAGCTTGGAAGAACGTTGATGGGAAGATAGACTGGATGGGAATTGTTTGATCAACGGGTCATGCCCTTCTTATATTCCTCTAAGTAACTGAATACACGGCTAACGGTCTGTTCTGGAAGCAATTCCTGGCGTTTTGTCTTTATTTTTGGTTGGGCTATTTCCACTGAGCGCTTGCAGCGACTTTTGAACTCATCTTGTTTTCTTCAATCGTTCACATTTTTTCTTCTATTGTTATTTTCTTTTTCTCCTCTTTTTTTGTTTTAAAGCAACATGATACCCTACATATCAGATGTCTGTCACCCACATATGTTGCTGGCCACAAATTCATAGAATATTTTATTTCTGGGTTTCACAGGCGACAACACACGGTTTGTGTGCCGTACCTGGAATGAGTATATCATTTCCCGGCGGATATTGATAGCCGGAATGCAGTATTACGATCTACCCCCGCTATGATACTGCCGTGAAACACATAGACAGTGAAGTAGATGAATCAGGAATACATAGGCTTCCGACAGGTTCAAGTCCGAGTTGTTATCATTTTCTTTGCATGGGTGTAGTGGCACGATTATTATTTTTATCATAGTAATGATTAAAAGTAGTAAAAATGTGGTTGTGCACTGATGTTTAACTACCAATTGAACGCCAACGGCTCCCTTCCCCAAAGAAAAGAGAATAAAAGGCTGAGATATGGTACCTAGAATATCCGCGCCCCCTCCCAGCCATCAATTGAAACGGCTTCCAAAGTGAGAGCCAATACAAAAAAGTAAGAAAGCACAACAGAGGTCAAGCGAGGGAGACAGAAATGTAGTGTTTTTTTAAGAAGAGTTTTCAAGAAGCGATCTCGAGTTCGGAGATACGGCCAGGAGCAAAAGTATCCTTCCATTCATCCCACATCTTTTCCAATTCTTGAATGTACTTTTCATGCAATTCATCGATATACGAGTCTTCGACCTTGCTCCTATCAGTCTGCTGGATGACTGGAATTGGCCTACCAACAACGATGTTCAATGGTCTGCGATACGGCATCAAGCCAACATCATAATTGAAGACACCTCGAGCATGGAAAAGTGGGATAGTGAAACCCATTGAGCTTTTAAGCAGCATCTGGAACCTGTGGATGAGCGGATGCTGGTCTGACTTCACCTGCTCATACAGCTCGTTTTCACCAAATGCGAGGACAGGAACAAGATCTGCGCCAGTGCGGATTGCAAGCTTGACAAACCCCTTTCGTCGGCGCAGGATCAGTCGGAGGGTATGTGGCTGGGCATCAAGAGATTCTCGCGCACCACCTATCACAATGGTAATTGCACGGCCCATGCCTTCTTTATTCATTCCACCCTTTGAAAGGATATTTTCGCAGGATTCACGGGATACGCTACCTAATCCCATTGCTAATGCCCAGTCTCGGTAGAAAGGAAGTCGGAAATTGGAGTCCAGGGTAAGCAGGGTATTTGTGATTCCCGGGAAGAGCTTTGAAAAGCCCAGTCCTTCAGTAGCGAAGGCCACGAATGCTCCATGAGAAATAATTCCATGTGGGTGGTAGCCAAAAATATACTTCCTAGTTGGCGGGAGAGGGACTGTTCGGTGAAGGCGAGCCGGGAAGTACGAGCCAAAAAGCTTCCAAATGGGCAGGGACCGAATGAAGTTACTTCTCCTTGAAAGCCTACCATCTGTTGCAGCCTTGGAGAACAGTGATATATAAACCACGTATGGGAATAGGATGGGCCAGAATAAGGGGATGGCGCAGCAGAAAAAGAAAGACATCAAGCAAAATGCGATCGAAATGGTATGAAGGAGGACGACGAGGGTCTGAAGCCGGCGTTTAAGGCTGATATTTAACGGAGCCCATCGAATTCTATCGTAACAAAAAAGGCACTGTCTGTTAGTTTGGCTATTTTCCTGCAGTTTGACCCGGGCAAACGTACCCCATACGCTGAGTATAGTCACTCTCAGACTGAGGTAAGAGAGTTGTCGTAGTATTCGGCTTAAACGGGTCTGACCTCGTCCTGACTAGGCCATGGCTTCTTCGAGCCGGCAGAGAGCTAGGCATAGCGTTTGCTACGCTGCTCGTAGAAGAGGAGTCATTGAATAGCGACTCCGGAGCCGAGTTTACTAGACTCCGAAACTGTCGCATAGAACCCGAATAGTTTTCCCCCGCTTCGCCCTTCATTTCAGCAAGCACTCTATCAATGTCGGGCATGGGGATAAGGTGACGTAGAGACGTTTATTTAGACAGGTGGATCGAGTGCGGTTCCGTGACGTCTTGTGTGGGTGTTTCAGGATCGCAGCTTGGGGGGCGCGAGAGGTTGGAAGTCGTCTTCTTGGGCTCAGAGATATATTCGAGCGTCCCCGAGCCGCAGGTGAAGATTAAAGTGACTCGAGAACAAAAGATAGACGGCCGCCTAGCTAATACTGAGTGAAGATGCGTAGAAGGGATGGCGTTGGTGAAGGCGAAGCAGCGCTTGTTTAACTACGGGTTTGGACATTGCTCTTGTGGTGACGTAATAATAGCTTGGCTTCAATGAATATCGCGGCTATCGGATTTAGTTACTCGCGTCTATTTATTCACATGCATGAGCCTCCTTTTTTCCCTTTTGTTCCTTTTGTTAAACCACTTTGGATAGGTTCAAGAGGAAGACATGGATACCGAAATAGACAAGGTCCCTCCTTCACTCTAGCCCGTAGTTTGCGATCCATGTGCGGCGGTACTCTTGGATGACTAGCTCGATGAATCGGCAGGTAGACTCATGGGTATCAATTGGTTCATCGATCAAGAGGGAGTTGTAGTTCCTCAGCATGTTGCGCAGATGAGTACGGAACCTAGCAATCATGATAACATAGTATGTGTGTAAGGGATCGTTGACCTTCCAATTAGCTGGCGGCGGGGAAGTCGGCTTTCTGACGGTGTGTTGCAGAGCCTGGACAGCAATTGCACAGTTGGGAGTGTTGATGGTAGTTCTGAACCCATCAATCGAGCCAAACGGGGAGTAATGCCATCTAGAGCGGATGTTGTTGAAAATGCTGACATAGTGATGTTGACATTCTTCGATGAATGCGTCCTGTTGGTAGCGGCCTAGGCTTTGGAGCCTCTCGCGGAAACAGACAGTAAATTGGTCAAGTATCGAAGAATAGAAGATGGGACATTTCTGGCTAGGTAGCCAGCCAAATGGTGGTGGTTGTTCAGGTAGCTTTGCTGCCTCCTGGAGTGCGCGTGCAGCAATGGCAAAGAAGTACCTTTCAGTATTGTTTTTGAACTCAAACCCTGGCGGCGTAGGGGGCGACGGGGTTGAAGGCAACGGCAGGGAGGGCATTGCTGGTGATTCCAGCGGCGTTGGCGAAGATGATACCGTGCTGGGAGTAACAGGTTCAGATGGAGTAGTTGGAGTGAGGATGATCCCTGGAAGCCCCTATTGCTCAAAGTGAGTATAAAAAGGCCTTGCGCGTCTATGTGGCCCAAATACTCGAGAAAAACAAAAGGCAGAAAAGTAGATACCTTGTTTGCATCACCAGAGAAGAGAACTGCCGGGACGCGGATCATGCCGTCGCCGTCAACAATGTAGAGGTCAACGCTAGTATATTTGAGTCTTTCGCCCAGGGCACCCTCAAATTCGAGAGCAGAAGTCAAGTGAGCAGCATCCTCCACAGTCAACTCAGACAAAGCTGCCTCCATCCAGCTCAAGTTAGCTCTTTGAGAGTCAATCATGGTCAAGAACTGAGTGCAGGAGGCTGGTTACTGCACAAAGAGCCTAGCAGCAGGACAGGTGCTGACGTCACTCTCGATTTACACTACTCAGAATGAAGTAGTGAGATATAACCTAATGCTTTAAAGGCCCATTCATTAAAGACCTGACCTGAATTTAGGAAGTTGGTAGGTAGCTAAGAAAGGAGAGTGAATATATCCAAGCCCATGTTAGACTATGGCAGGGATGTCATGGCAACCAGTACTGTGAAGTGTAAAGATATTTTAGAAACGCTTCTTCTCAGATCCAAAATGCATCTGTAAAGATGATTCCAGGCTTTTCAAAAAATATTAAACATAGGTATGGGTAAATAGAATTGAGATACCAAAAAGCAAATTTTCGAAAATAAAGTAGAATTATAGCGCTTTATGGGTATATAAGATCATCTAATCACTTTTTAGTTCGATCTATAACAGAGAATATTGAAAAAGGAGCCTGTCCATGTGGGAATATGGGCGAAGAAGATGGTATCAACTGGTGGTCATAAATATCTGTCTTTTTGTCAGCCAGAAAGTCTTAGTGTGACAGATAGTGAGAGATAATACCTCGTTCAATGACTTGGAGTCCATAACTGCCCGTCTCTTTTGCTGTATATACCGTCCTCGGAGAAGCTGTCGAGAAATAGGGATAACCCTTTCCTTGACAGCAATAGGTGCAGCTGGTGCTGATGGAGAAGTTTCCACTCTCTTAGTGTCCTTTGTATCTTCTTCACTAGGTGTTGATGAAGTTTCAGCTTTCTCAGCCTGTGCCTCTTCTTTTCGTTTCCGCTTTTTCGATTTCTTCTTATCCTTCGACTTTTGTTTCTCGGTCTTTGAATCAGTTTCGGCATCGTCAGAGGTCTCCGCTCTCGAAGCGGGAGCAGATATCTCCGTTGCAAATCCGCTATCTGCAATTTCTTCGGACTCTTGCGTTTCTCTTTTCCGCTTCTTCTTCTCCTTGGATTTCTCTTTCTTCTCTTTTCGTTCCTTTTTCTCCTTCTTTTCCCGTTTCCTCTTTTCCTTCGTATCTATATCTTCGTTCACTGGTCCCTCAGTAGGCTTAGCATCTGCAGGGCCCTCCACGGTTTTATTTTCTTCCTCGTTTGGTATCCTATTGACCTTGTCTGGTACCAGGAGTCCGCCACCGATGAAGTTCATGCAACCCCATCTCCGCTCAATATAAGTCATGGCTTTAATATCCCGTTTAACCTTCATTTCCTTTTCTATTTCAACTTCACTCCTTCCATTGAGTCGCCCCAGTAGGCCCTGGAATGCGTCTAGTCCGGTGGGCTCATCGTCTATTAGTGGCCGGCGGGGTTTAGCTCCCAGCCCTAGGTTATCGTCTTTGAGAGATACTCGGATGTGACCAAAGCTGGCAGCGGTATATGTATCGGTCCGGTTACTGTTTGCTGCACCCAAAAAGTCGCCAGGCGCCCAGCCCTGGGAGGTCATGATTTTGTGTCCATAGCTGGACGTTGATCGAGTCCACGTTGTGTTATTCGGGTCATTTGAAATTTTGTTCCTCCTGATAAACGGTTAAATTGGCGCTATGGCATTAATGGACGGCTACAGTCTGTAGACTTACCTCTTAGGAGCGGCTAGACCCATTGTGATGGCCTGGGGAGTGTGCCTACTGGACCAAAGCTATAGACGAAATCGACTTTATATTTTTTATTTCCTCAAAAAAATGGAAGTCGAAATTTGATAAGATAATCCCGTGCTGCCGCTTTAAGAATTGGTCAGCGAGGAGTGTGGCCTCTCTCACACTTCACCGACATCATTTACCTCCCAGAAATATTACAAACAAGAGCACAATTGTCTGACCTATGTATGTCAAGCCGATATCTTCCAAACTGTCGTCCTCGAGGATATCAATATCGCTGTTTATCTCCCAAGCAGAAAGTGACGCCGCAATAATCTGCTTATATAATACCAAGTACGGAATAACTTAAAACCGAGATCTCGCTTTTGTCCCTTTTGGGTAATCTTGGACTTCCACCGCTATTCAAAGTCTTCAACCTCCAGGAGTTTGAGAGAATCAAAGAAATTCAAATGAGTTCGGAAGCAGTTCGAAGAAGTCCGCATATCCTGTTGCATTCTTGAAACCAGTGGTTAGAGGAGTAAAACATGGCTGCGAAACATTCACAAGAACGAAGACAAGCAAACACCCGCGCCAGAAGCAACCGGAGGGCAAACACGTTGGAGAGCGAGAGCGGGCTATCTGCCGATTCAGGCGCAGAAATGACCAATTTACTCAAGAAGCTAAACAATTCTGTGAGCAGCAAATGCTGTTATTAGCGCTGCTTATTTCGTTAATATCTGCGAAGATGATACTGGCTTCCGGTGTATTAACCAATGTCTCTTCGCCTCTCTAGGTAGCAGGAAGGAAGTCAGCTAATGACGGGCGCCAGAAGTTTCAGGCTCAACACAAAGCGAGTGTCGGGAAGATTGAAGACAGGTTACGGGAGGTCTCTCGATCGAACAAGCAAGCCATGTAGGTGCCGTACTTGAATTTAGATTGCTAACTCTAGTATTGTGCCCGGTTTTGGTACCCAATAACTCCCATTCAAAGACTCTATTATTGCTGGTTTATTGACATGTCAAATAGCCTAAAATATCGTAAGACACAACTGGACCGGCTCCAGGAACTGGCAAAGAGAAAACTCGAGATTGAAAATGAGATAGCTAAGCATGTGCTATTGCTGGAGAAGGAGTATAAGGCAGCAAATCGAACCGTGCAGGTCATGCTCCAAAAAAAGATCGAAACTCTTCAGGAGTGAGAAAAAGGGCGGACCATCGATCTTTATTGTTCCATTGTTCAACTAAGGAAAAGTAGAACACGGAGGAAGGGGAGAAACAATAGTGCTTGTTTCTACAGCGACCAACTGACCGACTGACTGCTTGATTGCTATCTTTTATTGCCAAACAACTGTCTGAAAGGCCATCTTTGACTAGATGTGTCTGTTTTCTTATACATTATAATACACTACAGGTCAATACAGTTGCTGCAGTGTTGTGTGTCTCTTATTACTATTATTGACCGCGTATAAAGTAAACTGGAACTCTCAGTCTCCTTATCTGAACCCCTTCCTTTAAGACTAAATAAAGAAAAGTTGATAGTCTTTAGCTATATCATATTTGTATTGCTTGCTTTAGGCCCTTTTCTTCTCACTTTTTTCCCAACAAAACTAACTAACAAATTTTATAACTATCAAAACCCAGCTGGAACTCTGGAAGCAGCATCCTACCTTTTCGACTTAAAGATATATAAACTTACAGCTGTCACTTACGCCTTCCTGTGATATTCGTCACTTTCTAGAGGAAAGCAAGATAGCAGGAAAGAAAAAGGGAAATTCACTTGCGACTCACTCTGGCGTTGCTGGTGCCGCGGATGGGTGAAGGAAAAACATGCAACCACTGGACATAGCTCTCTGCGCAACAGGATATGCAGCTATACCTCAGCTGAACGGATAGCCCTTGCGCTCACACTATTTGCTATAACCGCTATACTCTAGCCCGAAAAAACTACCTGGCGCGATGGCTGTGCGAGTCCTCTGCAAGGATGCGCCGGACCGCACAGTTGTCCTCGTGGCAAATGGCTACGCCCTCACCATGCGCCATCACCAGTCAAGCGAAGAAGTGTCCGGGAACGTACAGGTTCTGAGCATTCCAAAATGTATTGTCGAGTTTACTACGGCCGATTCGATACCCCTGGATGAGTATCGCACGTTGGGAACTGGACTTGGAACGCTCGGTCTCATCGCGCTCGCGGCTGGGGAGGTTTTTATATGCATCGTCAACCAAGCAACCAATGTCGCCAGCGTGAGGCCCGGAGAAACAGTCCAAAGGATAGACAGTGTTGACTTTTGTACGAAATCTCCAGTCTCCCACTCTTGCGGTATTCCATTGATTGGATGAGGCTGACAGGTATAATACAGATTGCTTGAATAGATCCGATTATGACCTGGTCCAGGATCCTGAGTCTGACATGTATAATAGCCCTTCTGGAAGAGGTTACCAAGGATACGAATCCCCTGCAGAAAATCCATCTCTAGCATTGAAAAAGCTTCTGAGTGACGGAAGCTTCTATTACAGCTCTGACTTTAATTTGACCGAACGCATTCAGGACAGGTAAGATCATGTATACTCAACGGACTGAACTTGACGTCGGCTAATTTCATATCTTTTATTTTATTTTTTTTTTTTTTTCGCAAGAATTGATGACCCGGTCGCTTACAATGTTGAGAGCCTGGATGAAGATTTCCTGTGGAATTCATTCATGATCAAGCCTTTACTACAACTCAGAAGTGGGCTGAGTCTGAATGATAGGCAGAATCTAGACTCATCTCAACTTCTTATATCTGTCATTAGGGGCTTCGCTCAGTCCTTAACCATACCTGCTTCGTCACCTCTGTTCCCACACATTGAATCTAATATGCCCTCTAGCTTAACAGTGATATCGCGCCTTTCCTCTCGCCGTGCCGGAACTAGATTCAACGCCAGAGGCATTGACGACGATGGAAATGTTGCCAACTTTGTTGAGACAGAAACCATCCTATGGATACCTCCTGCCATGTGCTTTTCTTATACCCAGATTCGAGGCTCTGTACCCATATTCTGGGAACAGGAAGCTGGTTATTTACCTGGACAGCAGAAAATCGCCATCGGCCGCTCTGCAGGCGCTACGCAACCCGCATTTGATAAACACTTTGAAGCTTTAGCTGAGAAATATGGGGCTGTACACGCAATTAACCTGCTTGCTAAAGCAAAGTCTGGAGAAGCGGAGCTGTCACAAAGATATATGTATCATGTTCGGGGCAGTCCCTTGCGCCAGAATCGTGATATAAAGTCAAACTCAGACCATGATATATTGAAACTAACGGAATACGATTTCCATGCTGAAACGAAAACAACGGGGTATGAGGCTGCCCGTTCCATTCAGGATGTGATAGCAGACTCTGTTGAAGGATTTGCCTATTTCCTATCCGAGGCACCTCAGGGAAATGAAAAGGATCTATCAACAGCAGAACTCAGACTTCTCAGACAAAAGAACATTGTACTACAACAGGAAGGTGTCTTTCGAACAAATTGTCTGGACTGCTTGGACAGGACTAATCTGGTCCAAACCATGATTAGTAGCATGGCAATTGACATGTTTTTTGCACAGTGGAATGGCCATCCGTCACCGGATTTCTGGATGAAGCACTCGACTCTATGGGCTGATAGCGGAGATATGTTGTCAAGAATCTATGCTGGAACTGGAGCCTTGAAATCTTCGTTTACCAGACATGGAGCAATGTCAGTTGCTGGTTCCTTTGCAGACATAAGGAAGAGTGCGACTCGTCTGTTCGTTAACAACTTTACCGACCCAGCGAAACAAATCACTATAGATACCCTACTAGGCCTTTCGACTAATCAGGAGTCGGTGTATCTGTTTGATCCAGTGAAAGATGCAGTCAATGCTGAGCTTACCCGGAGAGTAAACGAGTTTACCTCGTCTGAAAAGATCTATATATGGGTTGGAACGTTTAACATCAACGGACGCCGTGAGGGAGCGACTGAAGGACTGGGTCCATGGTTGCATGGCTCTCTTAACCAGCTTCCTGAGGATCCTACCATAGTTGCTGTTGGATTCCAAGAGATTGTTGAGCTTAGTCCCCAACAGATTATGTCCACTGACCCAAGCACACGCAAGATATGGGAACACGCAGTTATATCATCACTCAATGCAAGGACCACGAAGAGAAGAACGACTGAGTACGTTTTGCTGAGGAGTGGTCAGCTAGTGGGCGCAGCACTCCTGCTGTTCGTAAAAAAGGATGTTATAAACAAGATAAAGAATGTGGAAGGTAGCTTGAAGAAGGTATTCATCCTGTGAATATAATATTTCATGAGAAGCAGGGCTAACTGGATTAAATAACAGACTGGCTTATCTGGCATGGGAGGGAATAAGGGTGCTGTTGCTATCCGCTTGGACTATAGTAATACGTCGATATGTTTTATCACTGCTCATTTGGCTGCCGGCTTCTCGAACTACGAAGAAAGGAACAGAGACTACCACACCATAGCTCGGGGTCTTAGGTTCCAACGAAACAGACCTATTGTCGGACATGATGCAACCATCTGGTTCGGTGATTTCAACTATAGGATTGGCCTCGGCAATGAGCGGGTGAGGCCCCTAATTGAATCGGGAGATATAGATGCACTATATCAGCATGACCAGGTATTTTTTTGATGTGCGAATATATGCCCTGATTACTACTAACTTTTAATAGCTCAACCTCCAAATGGTTGCTGGCCTCGCATTCCAGTATTATATGGAAGGGCCTGTCACATTCCCTCCAACATATAGATACGACAATGGCACAGACGAATATGACACCTCGTAAGTTTGAGAGGCAATCCATCCATTTGGACCTTTAAATACTGATAATATTTCCAGAGAAAAGCAAAGGATCCCCGCCTGGTGCGACAGGATCCTTTGGAGAGGAAGAATTCTACGTCAGCTAGCCTATAAGACTGCACCTTTGAAATTTTCGGACCATCGACCTGTTTATGCAACATTCGAGTGCGAGATATCGACAGTAGATGAGAAGCGAAAGGAAGAAATAAGCAGTCGACTTTATGAAAAACTGAAGCAACAACCTGCTACCACAACTTCAACCCTGTTGTCTGATGGTGAGGAAGATGAGAATGAACCAATGTACCCGATAAACCCAGGCCTTCCACCTCCTAGCTCCGAAAAGCGCAAGTGGTGGCTTGACCATGGTGAGTATATTTGACTTAGTCGGCTTTTAGCGTTGATGTGTTTAAGCTAATAATTTTATAGGCCTTCCTGCTCGATCAACTATTACTCCACCCCTTGGTGCTGTGAGCAATGTCCGGCGAAGTGCCAATCCTTTTTCATTTTCTCGGGGGTCTGATTGGATTAATGTCGGAAGAGATGATGCTTTGAGCGAAATGAGCGAGCAGGACCTACGAGAGTCGAAAAAGACATCCCCCACATCCAAAGAGCCGTTTAGATCAGTGGGAGAAGTTCTAAGCGGCCCTGAATCGCTTGCCACAGACACGCATCAAACATCTAAGGTTGCCGTCAGCAGCAAAACAGTAAAATCGGTAAAAATACCGCCTCCGGTACCTAGGAAACCAGCAAAATTGAGACGACATTCATCAGGCGGAACCGATCGCAAAACCGTCTCAAGTAATGGTGTCTCTAGTGGATACGAAATGGTTAACCCATCTACTATTCACCCTATCAATGATTTCCAGGAACAAGCATATATAGGCGGAGCTGGCGGAGCCACTACCTCGTCGGTATCACAAGCCACCAAATCACTGCCAATGAACGAGCTCATGGATTCAGATGCAGGAACAAGAGTACCTTCGTGGGAGCCTATTCAACCGAAAAAGTGACCGGATGGTCAGGTGGTTTACGGCTAGTCATAGGTTCTTATACTGGAAAGCAGTAACTCCCATAGAATTACTTGAAACCAGATATCATCAACGTCTCAATGCATGGCACGATCAAGGCCTATTCTACCAGATTATATATGATGTAAAGCACATAATGAATCCTGCAGCACTAAAGGGGATTGCACATTATCGAGTAGTATGCTGCTTTTTGAATTTCAACCCATTACTTTAAGGGTGGGCTTCAAATCAGGCGATATCCACCCTGTTTTTGATAGATCAACCAAGGTCAAGCAATGCCGCCTGATTTGTGACCATCAGGGAACTGTCTGGCTCTTGAAAGCATAGAGTGACCTATATCTGCTTCCTGTTGAATGTGGTATAGGGGCTTTCGACTTGCTTCTCCTCCGTATCTGTAAGGCTGCGGCTGGTTAAACAAATTGGGTCATTATTGAGGCCAGTGATCACACAGCACTGCACCCCGAAGAGGACCAGCTTAGAATGTTGAGAATCACTTCTTGTAGCATATATTGGCCGGTATGCGATATCTGCTCGGATGGCAGCCACGGAGGCAAGATTTTTTGAGTACTATATTCCGGTCCAAGGCACGTCGGATCCCCTCACTTCTTCATAGCCCCGAAATCAAGTTGACGGGACACTCCTTTAAATTTTGACTCGTCAATCTCACCAACTCGTCTGCCCATATCGTTGCCCATTTTCTTTTCTCCTCCCGATTTCCTAGGCAAGTCCTCGTTCTTAGTTGGTTTAGGATCAGCAAGCCACCACTGATGCTGCAAGACTTGAGTGGCCGTAATTCGTTTCCTTGGATCAAGTTTTAACATAGAGGCAAGTAGGTCCGCCCCCAAAGGTCCAGCTGTCGGAAACTGGCGGAGGAAAAATTCCCGGCCTTGTAGGGGTATGACCTGATTTTCCTCAATTGGGACGTAGTTGGGTAGCTTTGTCACTCCAGGCCAGTTTTCTTCCGTAGGTGCCCCAAATGCAGCACAAATTTTAGATATTTGGTCCATATCTGTGTTTCCAGCGGCGAAAGGGACGCGCAGAATAAGCTCGGCGAACACCATTCCCATAGACCATATGTCGACTGCACCGGAATATTGCCTGGCGCCGAAGAGTAGTTCCAATGGCCTGTACCATCGTGTAATGACTTGATGTGTCATGTTGAGGTATGGATCAGCAAACGATCTGGCAAGACCGAAATCCGCCAATTTAACTTCTCCATCCGATGCAATTAACAAGTTGTTAGGTTTAATATCACGGTGTAGAATGAAATTCTTATGACAGAACCAAACTCCACGTGCAAGCATGCTTATCCATGCTTTTATATCAGCCACACCGTACTGGATAGAGCTGTCTTTGATCAACATTTCAAGATCTCCAAGGGGTAAAAATTCAAGAACGAGATTTAGATTTTGGTCTTTGGAGGAGAAAACGTCATGCAATGCAATGACGTTCGGATGAGACAGCTCCTGAAGGTATTTTACTTCACGGATGGCGTCCATGGATAGCCCGTCCTTGTACTCGGCGTTTAGTTTTATTTTCTTGATTGCAACGAGCGAAGTGGGATCGTCTCTTAGATGGCCTAGGTAAACAACTGCATATGTACCTTCACCGAGCTTCTTATCTTTCATAATAACCAAATGTTAGCGTTATGAGATCCCAATGATTGAAGTATATGTGCCCGCCCACCTTTGACATATTTCCGCCGAACATCAGCGTTTAACTGCTCTGCCAGCTCTGGTTCAGGCATAGAATACTTGGAAGCTGCAGAATCACCACTAGGTGCTGTTTGAGGCTCTTGAGAAGCAATATTTCTCATAGCTAGCGATTTTGGAGCACCTGTAGTAGTGATGGGAGGGAATTGAGAGGGGAGCGGCGACACTGCCATAATGTCAATTGAAATTGGATTCCACCAATTTCGGGGGACAAAGAATAAGGTAGCACAGAAGTGAGACACTGATCCGAACAGCTCTCCTAATATTTAATCAATATGGCTTTGTTTGTTAGCGAAATCTATATCGTCCTCTTTCATCTTTGAATGTTGCGATGGAAGCTTAGGTTAGGTAGGTTGGCTGACCCGAGCTCATCGGAGATCGGCTTTTCATTGATCCGAGCTGTCGAGCAATTCAAAATTTTGGTGCAAAATCTTGAACGAAGACGAAGAACCAGTTGAACGTCTCCTATACAGCGCCATTGAGCATTGGATTGACTCGTCTTGAGGTCCTTACCGGTTTATCTAGGCCGTTAGTGCTGTGGCTATTGTCGCTCTCGTCACATCCGCCGATGGTGTTCTTACACCACGAGCTAAATCAAAATCCTCACTCCCCAGACCTCGACATTGAACAGTTTGATATAAGGTGATATAACCACCATGGCTGCGGCGCGTATACCGGGCTTTAATGCCAGAGCGTCCCTTCCACTACGGCTCTTCACTTCCGTCACAAACCCCCCTTACCAACCATGCGTACGGTACCTTCACCAATCTCGAAAACCCGCAACAGTGCCATCACCTACCCCATTCGTGCCCGATGTCGAAACATTCCTACGCTTAATTGGACGAAACATGTCCAGATATTCCAGCAAAATCACCGGATGGAAGCAATTGTTTACAGCGGACTCGGCTGAACTTCGAGAATTGGGCATAGAAATGACAAGGGATAGACGATACATACTGCGGTGGAGAGAGAAGTTCAGACAGCAGGACTACGGCCCCGGAGGTGATTTCGAAAACGTTGTTGACGGTGTTGCTGAGCTGAGGGCCGTTGAGGTCCCTGTCGAAAAGTCGAAGAGCGCAAAAACTACCAACGCCGACGGAGAGTCCCTAGATGTCAACACAATGGGTACTGCTACCCTTACACCTGGAATGCGTTACGCGATTGTCAATCTACCACCAGGCGAAACAGAAATCAAGGATACTTCTAAACCGCTCAAAAAGTTTGCCCATTATAAATTGCATCACGGGAACATGATCAAGGGGCCATATGCTCAGATTATTCCAAACACATGGAGTACCGCGGTCAAGGTTCAGGTTACTGATGGCATGTGGGAGCATAAGCGTGGCAGAAAGATTGACGGTGGTCAAAGAAGACAGAAGGAGATCAGAGCGAAGAGAGCGTTGGCGGAGAGAAGGAATGCTCAGGCAGCTGCTTAGGCGTTTGGTAGCGTCGGAGTTGAAGGGGGAGCACGAGATTAACGAAGTTGCTGGCTGGTTATCTTCTGACGTTACTGGCTTGGATATCGCTGTCTAGATGCTAGGTTATCCCAGCTGCGGGAGGATGTACTATTTCCAATGTATATTACCATATTTTATTTTGTACCAAAGCTAACGGAGTAACTGCAACTTTCCGGTTCACCTAGAGGATTGTAATAAATGGCTGTATTAAAATAATACTATTATCTACATCCCCATCTTCGAAGCATGGTCAAAAGAAAGATTTTATTACATATGCTCTATTCCGAAATCCTATTTGCATGACCATAAAGTGCAAATATGGCTCGGTGTATAAACGTAAGAAAAGAGAAGAAATAAATGAGCAAGGAGCAAGAAATTAACATGATTCAATCCGCAATCGTGATTATCATTTCTGAGAAGCCTGCTTTCGTTTCTCCCACGAGACCATTGGGTTGCCAAATGGCTTCGAGAAGAGGGACTATTAATGGAAAGTTAGTAAAATCGAGCGGGATAAAGGAGCGTAATATGCCAAACTTACCGAATAGTCAGTTGGCGGCACAACATCTTTGGTGCCTTCAACTTGCTTCCATCTCATTAGTCTGGCTAGCGTAGCTGTTACGGTTCCAAGCTGAACATATGCAAATTGTTCACCGATACATCTGTGTCTGCCTGAGCCGAATGGGAGGTAAGGACTGTTGGCACCCTTGCTAACCAAACCGTATCCGTAATCTGTCTTTTCTTCACTGGCCTCGACTACGGTGACACCAACGTTGTTCTCCCATCGGTGAGGGTTCCAGACCAGGGGGTCAGGGAAGTACTGAGGGTCTCGTGAGGGAACACCAGGAGCGGCAAGGAGGTTGTGAGAGGTTGGGACAACATAGTTGGTCCCTTCAACGGGCATAGGGGATTTGACAGCACGGAGGATGGAGTGGATTGGAGCGTGAAGGCGGAGAGTCTCCTTGATTACATTGTTGTGAAGGTCGAGTTTCTGAAGAGCTTCGTAGGTGAGTGGTGGAAGATCCTCGCCGAGAACACGTTTCTGTTCCTCGTAGAGCTCCTCGAGAATATCTGGACGGCTGGCAAGGCGGAGAACGATCCAGGAGCCGGTGGAGGAAGAAGAGTGTTGGCCGGCCATAAGTAGGGCAATCATCATGTGGGCAACCTCGATATCTGGAATTGGCGTTCCATTCTTGTACACGGACGACATCAAGTTCCATACCATGTCCTCGGAGTCTTTCTCTCCGCCAGCCGCACGTCGCTGACGGATGATGTCGGTGTAAACCTGGGCCATCTTCCTTTGAGCACGGTCGCGCTTGCGGTTGTGTGGGAAGGGGAACCATGGGAACATGAAGTTGATGGCAGCGAAGCCCATGTCGAGATCGGAGTAGAGTTCTGCAAAGCTGGAATCGAACTTTCCGCGCACTTCCTTGCCCTGTAGAGATCGAGAGGCGGTGTAGATGGTGATTTCAGCCATAACCTTGCTGACATTGAAAACTCCGGAGTCGCCCTTGAAGATGGGAGAGGACTCGAAGAACTGCTCGACTTCTTTGGTGATCAGGGTGACATAGGATCGAAGAGCTTCAGAGGTGAGGCCGAACTTGACGAACTAGCAGGCGATTAAATTAGCAATGGACAGCCAGGAGGTTGAGACAAAAATAAATTGCCGTACACACCTTCTTCTGCTCCATGAGCTTGGAATTTGGGCAATCATACACCACATGTCGTCCGAACACTGGGGTGGTGAGAGGGGAGTAGACATCCTCTGCGCAAACATCCTTGAGCTTGCCGTTCAAAATGAAATCGTTTCCCTTTGTACCAAGGAAAACAGTCGTCTTCTTGCCCAGGAGTATGAATGTGAAGATATCTCCATACTAGAATACCGTAATTATCTATATGTTAGCTTTGCGCATTCTTCTGGTATAGCTAGTTGATTTCCACCACCAACCTTCTCCTTGCAGTCGTCAAAGAACTTGTATGGGTCAATTCCATAGGAGATCGTGCTTCCAATTATCGGAAACCAGTGGAAGACCACCGGAGGCTTTGTAGGGTCCTTGAACAGGAGCTGCTGCAGGACGTTGATAACAATGGAGAGGACGATAAAAGCCGATATGGCACTTGCGACGAGCGCGGCGGTGGACAGGGTCGAGCAGTTCTCGCAGAAACGAGAGACAATGTCGGCTAAGAGGCCCATGGTGACTTGTTCGTCTTCTTATCCTCCTGCTTCTGCCTCTTCTTCTGCTGCTTCCGCTCGAGACTTGTTCGTTGTTTTGGTATGCCTGAAGCTGCGGACGAAGCAAGGAAAAAAAAATGTCGACCTTGAGATCGACTCGCATTTTATGCAAGGGGCGTACGGTACTGTAAGATAATGCATTGTTCCTGGTATTTTACGTAGTTTTTATTGGTTTAGTGCTGTATCTCCAATACAAAAATTACTGCTGCCATCTCCCCCCCCCTTTTTCTCCCTTGCGGCGAGCAAGCAGGCCAACGGCCGTCGAGATGATTACAATCCGAGCACGCGACCAGCGGAGACGGCCTTGGAACGGTGTTCCTGCAGGGCGTCACCTCGTCCACGGATTCTCTGCTGCCTGAGAGCGACCTGACTGTGGGCGCATCAGGCCATCGCGGCTTCAGGGAGGCCGGCTTAGTCATGGCAGGTTAAGCCATTAACGGCTGTCAATATCAAAGCCATTATTGTCTGGTGAGTGAGAAGAGACTGTAATTACATTGCCCAGTGGACGCTATTGTACCCATTAGTTATATCGCACAAAATGAAATCCTAAACACGAGAATCGCCGTCGTTTCCAAGCCAGTGATCAAGCCAGTTATTCTGTTGCTTTTTGGTTAGTTGGCCCCCTATCACCTTGCAACCAGGTGGTATTTGGAAGAACAATTAGAAAAAAAAAAAAAAAAAAAAAAACCACAATATAAACGAAAAAGGTATAGAAAGAAGTTGAAAACAAAAGTCCGGAATAGCACGGTGTGGCTAGTAGTATCATCCCGAGACGGATGGCTTCTGCTACCTCTTTCTTCCTCGTGGGGTCTTGTCTGCGTCGTCCTGATGGACAACCGGCTTCCTTGCCTCACTCTCAAGCTCCAGCGAGTCGTCAGACTGCTCATCAAATAACACCTGGTCTCCACTTCCACCCAATTCCATGAACTCCTTTGAGTTCCGGTTGCCAGCCGGTTTGGGCTCCTGGGCTCGAGGCACAGGATGATTCTGGTATATCGTTATGTTCTGGGAAGCAGGGTCATCTTCCTTTGTCTTCACTACCTGCTTGACCGTGACTTCATGTATATCACTCAGCAGCCTGCGGACCATAGTTGGTCGACGTTCTTTTGACACCCTGAGGCCACCGATGGCCCCAGCTAGGTCATCGGTGCTGTCTGCCACCCTAGGCTCATCGGGGTCGATGCCGGTGATCCATGGGTGCTCGAGACATTCATCAACCTTTAAACGCTCCTTCACGTCGACTTCGATCATGGAGTCGATAAGGTCCATGGCTTTATAATCGACGGAGTCCCAGTATGGGGAAGGGTACTTGAAGATTCCGAGCTGGATCTGCTCTTTCTGAGTGTATGGGTAGTCTCTTGGGTGGTACAGCTCATCTGAAAAAGGAGGGAATCCGCAGAGGCAGATGTAGAGTACCACTCCGAGTGACCAGATGTCAACGGCCCGGGTGTACATCCTGGCTTCAGCGTTTTCTGCCAGTATCTCAGGAGCAACATCTGATAAGAATTGTTAGATGCAAATTTGGTGGATAAAAACACCAATGTTAACAGAGCAACAGGGAAACTTACAGCCAGGCGTTCCACATCTACGTTTATGATATCTTAGTAAAATTGACCCCGATTTGGACGGCAGAAGGTGGTGAACTTACAGCGTGGTGGTGAAGGAGTGTTCACCGACAATCTTTGCGAGGCCGAAATCTGCTAATTTTACGGTAAGATCTTTGTCGACAACCAGAATGTTCTCTGGCTTTATGTCACGGTGAATGATATTTCGTTCATGCTACGATAACCGTTAGCCATATGCATTGTCACAAGTGTGGTTGAACGAAGCACGAACGACATACCAGGTATCTCAAACCTTCAAAAAGCTGAATGAATACTTTTCGTGTCTCCTCCTCGCTGAGTTTCTGATGCCTAATGATCCAGTTGAACAGTTCACCCTCTGGCGCAAGTTCAAGAATGAGGTAAACACCGTCGCTCTCGTCAAAGGTATCCTTTAGACACAGCATATTCGGATGGTTGACGCTCATCAGCATTGAAATCTCTTGCTGTAGTGCCTCACGGTCTAGCCTCTGAACAGCGCCTGGGCGTTTCTCAAAATGTTTGACGGCATACTTCACCCCAGTAGAACGTTCAGCGCATAGATAAACTGAGGCAAAGTGTCCCCTGCCCAGCATATCGAAGAGCTTATACTGCTGTCGGAACTTGCTTGTGTTCCTACTCCGCGGGTAGTTGAAGATGAATCTGGATTCTTGCAAGATGGTAATCTCGTCGCCATTTTCGAGCTCTCGGCGTTTGTTCCTGCCGATGATGGCGTCGTTGATAAAAGTGCCATTGATAGAGAGATCTTCTACAATTGCAACAAAGTCTCCTCCCCTGTTTTCGTGGAATATCAGACAATGGCGGTTGGATATCGTGGGGAGCTTGATCCTGAAATCTACAGTTCCAGATGGTTAGCAATGGATCACTAGACCGCGGAAAGTATGCGATGGGTAAGACATACCGCACTCTGCGTGCCGGCCTATGAGATACCCAGCGCGGTTTATCTCTCTAGTTCCACGCTTCGAAGTGGTGCTTTCCGGTGTTGATATGTCTGATGCCGCTCCAATTACCGGTGTAGTATTTGTGCTGTCCCGCTTCTTCAGGACCAATTGGCCTCCAAAATTGTTATCTAGCGGGGTAAGATATCCCCATATGCCCTGGGCCACCTCGTCTTCCACATCGTCAATGGATTGGATTGGGGGATACTGAGAGAAACCCTGGGTGGGACATGAAGACTCGTCTGGCGATTGGCCTCGAGGCGCCTGGTTTCGGCGGCCTTCTGGGGGAGAAACAGTAGCAACTTCACGCTTTTCTTCCGAGATTACCTCATTAACTAGGGGAGAAGGTAGATATCCGGCATCCTGCTGCAATTGAGATGAGATTCGGGGAGATCTCCGTGGCTTCTTTGATTCATGGTCTGGAACTGCGTTGCCCTGCAGGTTTGGCAAATGAGGAGTTAGCAACTTGAATATTTTTTTCTCCCTAAGGAACCAATGTCTATAACGTGTTCGTATCTTACCCTTTCTCTCTTCAGATTGCTTCTCTCCCTCTGTGGAGGCATGTTTGGCCCGATGTGAAGAAGTTGACGGGCAATTACGAAAACCCCGGATGGACTGCCAATGGCCTCGAAACTTCAACCCCAAGTCGACAACAGGCAAAATCAAGCCCAAACACGCTCTGCCGTGGTAGTAAGGCCAAAGAGTGTCGCTGTCGAAGGTGGTAGAAGCAGTCGAGGAGAGAGGCCAGTGTAAGTGTACCTGCTACCCCGTACTAACTATATCCCAACTATGAGACAGCCGCCGAGGTGTGCGGAGACGAAATAAATATCTTTCGGCTCCCTGAGTTCCAGGCCGGACAAGCCCAGGCCAAGCTGCAGTAAGCCCCCAAGCAAGAGAACGACGGCGCTTAGAGTCAATGGCAGGCCAGGCTGAGCGAACGTCTTGCTTGACCTTTTTTTTCGAAAGAATGCGAAGTCGCTCTTTATATAAGGTTGGCCGCCCGTTAGAGCCGCATCCCGCAGTATTTTATCCTTTAATTTTTGACTTCTTTACTTTCCACTCCTGCTTGGATGCAAATATCCAGCGATCTTGTAAAAGCATTTCCGTATCATAACCTAAGGCGCAAAATTCGATATCGAGGCTTGTTCTCGCGCAGACTGTTTTTCAATGCTGGCGTGCATGTAGCGGTTTCACGCACCCAACACGCCGGGAGACAGAGACAGGGCCCGGAGGCGCAAGAGAAAGCCCTGTAGAGGAAGAGTGGCTTGTTCAGAGCAGTCAACAAGTTCGTGACCCTGTCTGCGTTCTGCGTCCCCCCCGTATCGAGTGTATCAAATGCCTTATCATGCATCTCGCTTTGCTGTCTTGCTGTCCAGTCGTTTCTCTGCTGCGGCGTCACTAGAGAGGCCTCGGCTTGGCGGGTTGATCCTACCAGCGACTCGCATCTCCAGTGATACGCTTCATCCCCCCCAAAACACACGACTGCACGCTCGCTGCACCCCCCTGGAAGCACGAAAAAGAAAAAGCCTCCTGGATGACGGCGAGCCTGGTTGACCGGATATGTAGGTGTTCTCGCCCTGTGTTGGTGCTACGTTGGGCGCAGAAGTTGCTAACTAACCGCCGGGGGAGAGCTTCAGGCATCATTCACCATCGTATATCCGGCGTGCGGCGCTCGAGAAACTTGCGATACTAGCCACAAAACACCCCGGGAAGGACGATGATCAGGGTAATTCAGACGTCGAGAGGCTCATAAGTGCCTGTCATGGCTCCAAGGCGGCTCCCGGTGGCTCCCAGGCTCGCTGCGCCTCGAGTGTACTGCCCCCCTAGCCCCCCTTTTACTGCCTCATACATACACCCCCTTCCTTCAATGGCATCAGTGCTGGAAAGCAGCTAATGAGGAAGATAGGGAGTTCGAGAACTAGACGTCCTGCTTGCTCTGTGCAAGGCAGCTGGCTCTGTTCAGCGTGGTGACCATGCTGCAAAACTTGTCTCTCTGCTGGCCGGGTACCTACCTACGCTCCACGCGCTCCGCATCCATTCGTCTCCCTTCCTACATATCTACAAACCCTCGCCGTGGGAAACCCTGACCCATGATGTTGTTACGGCTTTGCTTTCATTGGGCTCTAGGTACAAGTCGCTGCAGGATGACGTCCACGAAGCCATTGACGAGTACTTGGAAAATTGTCACCAGGCAACAGACCGCCTGCCGGCCGCTTTTGATGCAGATGGGACAGGGATTCAGGTCGAGAGCCATGAATCTACGGATGTGACTACTCTAATGGTATCGCTAGTGGGTTTTCTCCGGGCCTCGTCCGAGTTCCCCCATTTTTGGGCACCACTGGATCGCCTTGCTATTGTAAAGCAGTTACACATCATTCTATCAGAGAGGTTCCTGGTAGCAGTGGAGACCATCTCTTCCAGCATACGGAACTCTCGTTCTCCAGATCCTCTGCTACATGACTGGAGACGGTACACCCGCCAGTATGCGGCTGACGGACGGCCCCTTGGCTCCATGTTGCTACAGCAAGCTTTCATGGGCTTTTTAAAGTCCTGCACATCTCCTGTTGAAAATGATAAAGCCCCACCACTGCCAGATGATACTCTTCTCTCCCAATATGCAGACAGTGGCTATGTAGCCAAAACCTCAGACCGCGGGATGATTAGCCTGGTAAGATACGCCGCAGAAATTGCTGGTGACCAGATCAATCTCCTCGAAGAAGGGTCGGATTACCTACAAGTCAGCTCCACGTGGCAACAACGCCTTGCATTCTTGGTCAAGGCTTTGTCAATAATGTGCTCTATCAACTGCACCATGATTGACCAGGATTCTGTGGATCTAGACCTGCTCTTCACATCTCTGGACAATACCATTTCAGATCCAGACCAAATGATGAACAAGGACCTAGCTACAGTTGTCCTTAAGGCTGCTGTCATTCTAGCAAGGCTATCCCGAGGCAGTGCAAACGGCCTAACCCGCTCTCTTCTTCGCTTCATTGTCCAAAATGGCCAAAGCAGCCCTGTTGTCGCACTGGCTGCCCAATGTTTGGCCCAGAACCTCCGGCTTCTTTCCCAAGATACTGTCATAGGCACCCTATATTCTCTCGGAAACGTCCTTAGCTCTGGGTCGGCAGCTGATAAGGCTGCCACCGCTATAACTGCCGAGTCAGGCCCTGGCTATTCTCATTCGATAGAGACTCGTGCTCCCCCAACGAATGAGAGCTTCTTATCCCTTGCTATTGATGGAGAGGGGGATACCTCCGTCACGGCTAGGAATGTGGTACATGCCATTGTAACAATCGCCACTTATAGTGAAGATAGCAAGATCGTAGCTCTTGCACAGTCTATCCTGGTGCAGAAGATTGGCAAGGCGAATGTCGTAGTTGATGCGTACATTATCCAGGAGACTGCGGCTCTTTCATTGAAGAGTGAGCCTGCCGAGTTCCGTCTCCTGCTAAAGTTCTACTCTCGTCTACTGCGAGATACTGTTGCTCAAGGGAATAACCTCATGCTGGAGGCGGTATGTAGTCCAAGCCCCTTTCATCTATCTGTTCGACCTTGTCAGTAGGAGTTCTAACATATCAATAGATACACAAAGCAAGAAATTTTCTTGCAGCAAATCTTGACCGAAACAGTGAAGTGTTCAAGATCTACCTTGTTTTCCTTCTTGAGAGCTTAGTTAACCAGGGAGCTGCCGTTGAACGTGAAAAAGTTCATTCAGAGGATCTTGAGGCAACTGCTAAACAAATCGCTCCGATATTGAAACCCCTTGCTATACTACTAGCTAGGGCAGGTCGTCTAGATCAATTAGCCTCTGGAGTGTGTGACAATGATGATATCACAGATATGCTCCGGGATGCGTGGTTCAACATTGCAGCCCATGATATATCACTTCACTCAGAGCTTGGAAAGGCGAACTATGAACAGCTACGTATCCTTGCCGAACACTCTCCTCCGCTTGTCTCCGAAAACCGCGCCGAACTGCTCGAGAGTGACATTGAGTTGAACACAATTCTAAGGCGTGGCCAGAGCCCTCAGACTACCGTTGAAAAGAAAAAGAACTTAACGGCTGAGTTGCCTGCACAAGAACATGATATCCGACGCCTGAACTACCCCAAGGCGCTCTTCCTCAATGCAACGCTACTCATAGAAACCCTCCGTGCCAATTCTGGTGATTGTACCAAGGTGTTTACATACTTCCTCGACCCAACCTTGGGTGCCTCGGAAATGGGCAATTGCATGAGAGCAATTGCGGACAAAGTTGTAACTGTCTACCTTGAGAAAACTCTCCGAAGCACATCCGTGAAATTCTCGGCCCCTTATATCGCCAAACAGCTAGCTGATACTTTTACTGCATGCTGTCATCGTATCATCCAAGTCCAACAAACTGCTACACTAGCTGCAAATAAATTAATTATGCAATGTCCATCGGCTCTTTGTCAGAAGCTCTCGTTGTTCACTCTGCTCGATTTGATTACTCTGCTCTGGTCGTCATGCATGGACGAGGAAATGGATGAGTTTGCATGGAACTCTACTTTCACATCAAGCAGGCGGACGGTTCAGGTTATTTTGTCAGACAATTATGAGTTCAGAAGACGTACCTTGAAGAATCTCCATAACCCAGCGCGCACTTGGATCTCAAATGTTATGAACATCGCACCATTAGATATCAAGGGGCTACTGCAGGTAAGAAAGTATGCCCAACCGACACCACAAACCTCGCTAATATGTGTTCTCTCATAGACATACCTTTCTGATTACGATGATGACGGCGTGTATGGCAATATAAACATGGGCCGTTCGTTAGCACTTGAGATGGGCTCAGCAATCCCCTTTGCCGACCAACGATTAGGTATTAAGCTCCGATATTAATCATTTATACTCCGTTAAGCTCTCGTTAACATCTGATAGGATCGATTGATAACCCAGGCGGCACTGTTCTCAATGTAGCTTCCGACTTCATTTCTCAATATAGCACTCGACAAGAGTACCGGTACTCTGAAGCCGCCCCAGCTCGCAGAGGAAAGTCTCCTCTAGCGATATCTTATGGTATTTATTTGTTTAGTATGAGCTATGGTATCAACCTTCTAATATCTTCATTAGGCCAAAGCACCACCGTCCGGATGACCGATTACCCTGACACTGTACAAGAAGCTCTCGCGGCCCTCGAGCATCAAATTAGAACAGAGAAGCATATCTCGCTGGATCTTCCTCGACACATTCTCCGCCGCACCGCTGCTCTTTTGTGTAATACGGATGATAGCCATCCAGCAATCATTGCTTATCTAGTCAGCATTCCCTTCCAGATATTCTCCAAGGAGTCCATTAGGATGGGAATTGCTCTATGGCTAGGAGTTATCAACGAGAAACCAGCTATGGAATCCAGATTATTGGTGGAAGTAGCGCAGGCATGGGAGCGTACAATTCGTCGCAAGCAAGGAATTTTCGACCCGAACTTCAAGTAAGCCATCTTCTCTCGGTTTCTTGCATCCTGACCTGACTAACATTTCTTAGACACAAAAATCCATTTATGAACAAACTTGAATCATCCCCATCCGATAAAGAAGCGATTGTCCGGCGTCATAAAAAAGCTCAGAACATCATATCTCCTCATTTCTTGGTGTTGCAGTTCCTAGAAAGCCATTTCAGCGCAAGCAGACTGGGCAGTTTGAATACCCAGCAGGTATTTAGACGCCTGGTCAGTGAGACATTGATTGCCTTGCGAGATTCTACCGGCCACCCGCTAGCTCGTGAGGTTCATTTCCGTATCATTCTTTTCAGTCTCAAGGTGCTCCATTCATTCTCCGGGCAGAGCAATATTGGTTCCTGGAAACTCAAAGATCAAATTCTCTCTGCTGCACTGAGCTGGTTCAGTCACTCACCAAGGTAAGTTATCATTTTAATCTCACTTCCTAGGACAATACTAAATAAGTATTTTTAGGTGGTCGTTTGGAGGAAATCGCTTGCAGCTCAAAGCTGAAGATCAGGTCCTCCACGATATAGAGTCTATGTTGGAGACAGTGTCTTGGAAAGAGGTAATGGACTCAAAGTCTCATAAATCGCTGCAAGCAAAGCACGATCTACTCCTAATTCTGATTGGGAATGAACGCTCTCGACTCAAAGTCTGGCTTTCTCCACTCGACCTAGAAAAGAAATCGTACTTCTTCTATGGAACTGGTAACAAGACTGTCACTGAGGTAAGCTCCTTACTTTACCACTTCAGATTAGCCATTTGCTAATTATTTGCTTTAGGAGACCGTCGCGGGACTTCTTCGATTGGCATGGAATGAAAACCCAAGCCTAGCACTCCAGCTAGGCTCACGGTTCCCATCCGCTAAACTACAAACTGATATCCGATGGCTTCTACTCAACTTCCCTGAAAAGGCACTGAAAGAGCCAAACGCTTTGGAAATTCTACTTGGGTCAGCTCTTCCGGAGGATGTCTCATTCCAGCTCAAGGTAAATTCGACCTTCCCCTCCCCAGGTGTGTGTGAACAATTTTCTAATGGTAATGCAGTACCTCCTTTATTGGGAGCCAATCGATCCAATCTCAGCCGTAACTTATCTGTTACCAGCGTATGGTAACCATCCCTTTATCTTGCAATATGCCCTTCGATCTCTCGAGAGCTTCCCCGTCGATGTCGGCCTTTTCTATGTTCCACAACTCGTGCAGGCTCTTCGCTATGATGCACTGGGATATATAGAGCGTTACCTTTCAAATACAGCCCAGTTGTCACAGATGTTCGCCCACCAAGTCATCTGGAATATGAAGGCAAACGCCTACAAGGACGAAGACTCTCAGATTGTAAGTACCTCAAATAGAGTTGTGGGTATTCAAATGTCAAGCTAACGAGCAAATAGCCTGATCCACTCAAACCGGTGCTGGATCGATTCATGGACTCTGTTATTGCAAGCTTTACGGACGAAGACAAAGAATTCTATGAGAGGGAATTTGCATTCTTCAACGAGATCACCGGCATTTCAGGCAAATTACGGCCATACATCAAACGTACCAAACAAGAGAAGAAGGAGAAGATCACAGAGGAGCTGCGAAAAATCAAGGTTGAGGTTGGCGTGTACCTGCCAAGTAACCCAGATGGGGTTGTTGTCGGCATCGATCGAAAGTCCGGAAAGCCCTTGCAGAGTCACGCAAAGGCGCCTTACATGGCAACGTTCCGAATCAAGAAGACGAGGAATATTGAAGACGGCAGCAACGCTGTTACTCCTGCCGAAGATGCTGGCCACGAGGAAGCAAAGTTGCAGCTGTCCCAGGTTAAAGAATCCACTGTTCAAAGCAAACGCGAGAGCCTAGCTGCGTCTCAAGCGGGAACATATGAGGTATGGCAGTCTGCCATCTTCAAGGTCGGAGATGACTGCCGCCAAGATGTCCTCGCACTTCAAATGATTGCTGCATTCCGTGAAATATTTGCCAGCGTTGGATTGGACGTCTTTGTCTTCCCGTACCGTGTTGTGGCAACCGCTCCTGGATGCGGCGTGATCGATGTCTTACCCAACTCAATATCTCGAGACATGCTGGGCCGTGAAGCTGTCAACGGTCTGTACGACTACTTCGTATCAAAGTACGGGGGGGAGCAGTCGATCAAATTCCAAGAAGCCCGAAGCAACTTCGTGAAGAGTATGGCTGCATATTCAGTCATTTCATACCTGCTGCAGTTCAAAGACCGACACAATGGCAACATTATGATTGATGATGCCGGGCATATCATCCATATCGACTTTGGATTCTACTTTGATATTGCGCCTGGCGGTGTACGGTTCGAGCGTGCTCCATTCAAACTGACCACGGAGATGATTGCTGTCATGGGAGGATACCATCCGTCTTCGTCAACGGCTGCCTCAGCCACAGCTTCTACAACTACTACATCTACCACTCACTCTGCATCGTACAACAACTCTCAATCATACCGTTGGTTTGAATCGCTTGTGGTTAAAGCTTTCCTTGCTTCAAGACCTTATACTATGAAGCTTTCAAACATCGTAACCCTGATGCTGGACAGCGGTCTTCCTTGCTTCACGCCCCATACGCTGACCAACTTCCGCGACCGATTTGTCCTAGAGAAGAGTGAGCAAGAGGCAGCGCAATATATGAGAGAGCTCATCAGGAAGAGTTACGCCAGCATGTCAACCAAGGGCTATGATCAGTTCCAACTCATGACGAACAACATCCCCTATTGATTGCCATCCCGCTTGGCATACCCATTCTGTTTCCCGTTCCACCATCTTTTGTTTCATATCTTCGGCTTTCTGCCATTTGAGCAACTTGATAGACTTTATTTGATTATAATATAGAATATTTTATTTAATAGCATTCGCATCTGTGAGTCATGACCACCATCAATCCCCAAGTGGCCGATGGTATCCACAACCCCGAGAGCCTTTCGGGGACGCTATGTATGCTGTCGCATCACTCGAGTCTAACAGCGAAGAGGTCAAATGACCTACATAGCAGTCTTCCCGGAGCATATTGGCAACACGTTGTGTGTGGACAGCGCTGCGGCTTCGCTTTTTGCCGCTCGTTCGAACCTTCGTCTGTCCTCCTTTTTTACTCCTTTTTCCTATCTCTCTATCCGATTTCCTCTTATCACTTCAGCTACTTCACCTTTCTTCCGATATGTGGTTGCATAGGGATGAGCGGTCTGTTGCAGGTGGCTTATAGTTATGACCCAACGAACTCCCAGCTAACTGACTAGGCCAAGTCTTCAAGGCTGAAATCAAACCAAAGATGCATCGTAATACCCGTCATCTGGCCAAAGGTAAGTTGAACTTATACCCTGATTCAAGTCTAACTAGCATTACATTAACTAGTACCTAGAGTGATCCTTAAATTTCGAAAGAAAGTCGAGGATGACTGCTTGCTTGATCGTGAAAGGCAGAACCTACTAAGGTTTCGTTCTCCCTATATCAGGGCCCTGGTTGATGTGCCGGCAGAGAAGCACAACGGGACCCCTTTTCTGGTTTTGGAGCATATGGATGTTTCACTATCCGATATGTGGAAATGCCAACAAGAACCGCCTTTCAGAACAATGATTGTCTCTCTTCTTCACGCCTTGAATATGATACACACAAGGAATTACGTCCATACTGGTATAGGATGAGTCTTGTTGTTCACTATTATATTGATAATGGAGTCCAGTTAACATTGTTCCTTTTCTTCAAGATATCGAACCAAGGAACATCCTCCTTTCCAAAGTAGGGACGCCCGACATGGAAGTTAAACTAGCTGATTTTGAAAATGGTATTTAACCTATGACTCTACAATGACTGAGTCTATTCTAGTAATAACTAACAGATCGCCTAGTTTATAAATCCCCAAATGACTTCCCTATCCAACCTCTTGCGGTACGCTCCCCTGAAGTCTGACTCAGGCTTCCCTGGGGCCCGTCTGCAGATATTTGGAATCTGGGGCTTTTGGTAAGCATGATAAAAAGGGCCAAGATTACTGTTGGCATATTCTGATCCCATTTTACGCAGTTTGTTAGAATACGGTTTCACGCTCTACTGCTTGATCTAAGGAGTCCTGATATCGATGAATTCCGGCGCAAAATAATGTACTTGACTAAAATGAAACGCCTCTTTGGTCTCAATAATCCATGGCCTGACGCTTTCCTTAAATCAGATTGTGCTGATGACCTTGGACTTGTCGACTCACTTGTGGCTCAGACCAAAACACCCTCCTTAGAATGCTTCCTAGCATCACGGAATGGATCCGAAGTAGAGATTGATTTTGCTACTCGAATGCTGCAAATTGATCCCACTAAGCGCTGGACCGCCGAACAGCTGCTAAGTCACCGTTGGGTGACTAGCTAAACACTTCTAGATGGTATCCCATGTGTGATTAATCTTGGAACTTGTAACTACTATGTCAATAATGTCGAGATATGAAGTATTTGTAGACTCAAAAGTCATAAATACGAGATGTTGAGCCTCAACCTTAGTCAGCCTTCCCTTTTTGGACACCGCCTTTTCAGTGCATTCGACGGTGCTTTTTATCAGCGAAGAGGCCATATAACATACATGCGATTACCTTGAGTAATTGAGAGAACGGACCTCGGTCCAACTTCGCTTTTTGCCCCTGGTTCGAATCACAATCAGGAGGAAGGTTTTTGTACTTTGTATATTCTTTTAATTTTTGGTATTGCTAGGACGATCTCATAACTAACTAGTTACTAGGATGAGATGTTTCGCCAACTGGTTTCAGTGATGTTATTCATATTGATAGCCAGCTAACTAGATAACTAATATTCACACCAGAAAGAAAGAAAAAAAACGAGTCCAGAGCTTGCTTGCAAGGCTTGCTTCAAGTATGAGGAATAGACATGCTGATATGAAGGCCAAGGAGGTGTGATGATATGGGCATAGGTTTACACGGTAAGATGTTCCAGCCGTATAGTCGATAAGTACGCAGCATAGAAAAGGGATGCCAAAGAAAAGGAGGTAAACATAAAAAGAAAACACAGAGAGGAAGAGCTCAACTTCACTCCGGTACCAATATTCGAGTATCCCACCACCGCCTTACTTGTTGATATCTGATTCGATGACCGATCTGCTTCCATGCCTGACAAACTCCCATCATTCCAGATAAAATATGAGAAATATGAGAAAAAAACACGGTTCCTTGAAATATGTTGGCTAGATGTGAGAAGAAAATAAAAAGAAGAAGAGAAAATTGGCAAGGAGGTCCTAGTCAGCTATGATCAATCCATGAAATCGGCCCGCAAGATCTTCTCCTGGAAGTAATCCGGCTTGGGTCGTGGCTTGGGCTGCTGTTGCGGAGGCTTCTGCTGCTGTGAAGGTGGTGGAGGGGAAGAGGGGTGACGCTCTAATAACTCCTTTGGTGGCGGCTTGTACGCTTCCATAGTAGCAATGGAGGCTGATCGGTGATGTTTGCCTGGGAACGAGGCTGAGGAGAAGGAAGATGAGAGCGATGGGGACGAGGAAGGGGAAGTGTTGGATGTCGAAGAGCCAGAGACAGAAGACGAGTTTTGGTGTTGCTGCCCCTGCCCATGCCCCTGCCCTTGCTGCTGTTGATGCATGGAGAAGCTTCCGGCCAGGGACGGAGCTCGCTCTGCTCTGGATCGAAGAGCTTCTGGCCAGTTGAAGCCTTCGCCTGTTGGTAGAGTCATGTTAGCATATAGACCTTCTTTTTGGATAAAACGTTAAAGTATGCGGGGTATTTAGATAAATCTTTCAAAAAATCGCCGCTTTGACTTTGTGGTATCAAAAGGCGGCTGGTGCTCAGTTGACGAAAAAGGCTCCTACCAAGGCTACCACCCCTGCAATAGGTGCTAGGGGCAATAATGAGTTGTTTAAATGAGGGAATTGAGTGCTTATCCAGAATGGGAAGGGTTTGATATATACCATTTAAACTGGCAGCCCGGTCCCGGAAGCTGAAGGATACCCGTCTTGCAAATGGGGGAGGAGATGTTGGCATTGGTGTCTCTTCTTCGTCCTCTTCCTCGACAACCGCCTGGTCCCGTGTTGGAGAACTCGAGAGAATCGAGCTGGAAACACTTCCTCGTCGGCGTCGGCCATTGGGAGGAGGTACCGTGGTTCCAGCTGCTGCCGTCGGCGTGGTTGTCACTGCTGCCTGTCCAAATGGAGCAGACTGGTTAGTGGGGGAACCGGATAGTCCAAGTGTGGTAATCGACATCCGCCGACGATGTGGTTGTTGTTGAGCGTTTGATGCCGCTGCTGTAAAGAGAGGGGCAGTAGTATTCGAGGTATTGGTGTTCAATGGCGGGGGTGCGGCGTTCCCGGGCCGAGCAAACATCTCTGTGATCGAGGCACGACGGCCTCGAGGTGCAATGGGTGTAGTAGGGGGTGAGTTCGACATATGAGCGCCGTTCGACATGATGGTGAGCGTTTGTAGTATGGTTGGGAAGCGGTGTACGTTAGCGTTTCAAAGTAGAACTGTTGAACAGCCGTTGAAAAACGGCGGGATTCGTTACGATATCAACCAGTAATTGAAAACGCAGAAAACAGCGGTTTGAAGCAGTGAGAACAGCGAAGAATGCGGTTCCGTGTTCTCGAAGGCTGTTCTTGTATCAAACAGCCGGTTTGTCGTTCGAAGATGACGTGGATCTGCAGATCTTCAACCAGGCACTCTAGCGAACCTCAATAGCGATGGAGTACAGAGTATGGAGTAATGGGAAAAACCACAGTCGTCGTCATGCAGTGAGCGAGCGGAGTAAAGGGGAAGCGAGTCAATGATATCTCTCTCCAGTGGAAGAAGAGAGGCGAGAGGGAGTGAGGGGGGGAGGTCCCAAGGTGCCCGTTCACTGGCAGGAGCTGGAACGGAACTCTGTGGGGAGCTTCGGGTGGCAAGCAGAGATGCCTGATCACTTCGTAACTCCAGGCTTTCCAAACCACACGGCTATCGCGGTGAATTCCAGGCTGAAACTTCGTCTGCAACGCCCGTCACTGAGTGAGAAACGTGAGATGAAGTCGAAGTCGAGAGAAAGCAGGTCGAGAAGGGAAGATAAAGAAACAGAGAGGTTCACTTATGTCAGCCACCCCCCACAGAGACCACGCCATTCCTCAGCCAATCAGCGTTGGCAGTTTGCTGTTCAGTCACATGCGAACTACGGTTACCTTACGATACCGCTGATAAGCACGTGTTGAGTGTGCGAGAACCCTGACCGATACACCCCATTTCATACAATGCTAGCGGTAATTTACCCCGGATTTTTGTGACTAAGCTTTGCTGACTAACGCCATCACAACGGATCACCGATGATCCGGTTAGAGGTTAATCACGTGACTGAATATTACGTCATTCGGTTAGCTGCACAGCGAACGACGACTCTTTAAGGCAAATATCAGAAGCAAGACCGAGTATCTTGATGGGTAAGGGGGTTAGCGTAAATACGCCTGGTTCCCAGGCAGGATAGCGTAGATTTTTTGTCCTAGAAGAGCTGCAGGACTACTGATATGGCGAAGGACGGCAGAATACCTTACGCTTAAGAGGTAACTAGCCACGTGCCAGACACCCTACAGATTAAGGAGAAGAATGATAAAGGGTAAAAATATATATTATTGGTAGCTAATTTATACAGGCGAATTGAACAAAAAAGTAGAATAAAGAAAGGGGTAACAATATAGAAAGACAGTTTAGACAAACACCATACAAAAAAGGACAAAAAGCACCGTCATTTCTGGTATAATCAGCATAATCATCAGGCATCCCATGAAGTATTTATCTTGGAAAGAAAAGATAAAAAGGAAAAGGGCAATTTCAGTTATGGGGTAAACACCGACACCTTTCCTGCAAATCGAGCTCCGGCACTGCCTCGTTTGTGAAGTCTCTCTCGTTCTTTGCTGTCGACCGGCATGGACGAACCGTTACCTTCAAGTCCGCGGATAGTAGGTAGAGCACTCAGGGTATCCCCGGTGCTACTACCCCCACCGTCAAGACGAGAGGATCGAACGTTCCGTTGGGTGAGATAAAGCTGCGCGGATTCGGAGAGAGGGGAAGTGGGCAATTTTGATGGCATGATAGCTCCGTTCTGAACAAGGAGTTCGGCAATGGGGAATGGCTTAGCTATGGCGCTAGCACTGGAAGAACGGCTCGGAATGAATGGTCTTTGGCGGCCCAAGCTAGGGCTCGCTGGAGGAGAAACAGCTGGTGCTGGATCTGCTGAATCTAAAGCAGCAGTGAGAGCGTTGGTTTTGCAGGTGGTATCAATGGCGTTAACATTGACTCCTAAGGCAATGGCATAAAGAACGCCTTGGATGTCGTTCATTTCGATGGCGTTGAAGAGTGTTTCGACTGGGGTGTTGTATTCGGGTGATTCGGGAGAAATTACGCGAACGAAGGCACGCTCGCTATATTTTGCGGTGATGAATTTTAGACGTTGCTCTCTGGTCGCTGTTGGACCGGGCTTGATGCCTGGGGATAGCTGTGCTTCCCAGACCATGTTGCTGATTCGATTACCTACTTGGAGTAGGATTTCCACAATGTCGTTGGAGAAGGAGTGAATGTCGAGTGTGAGGGATCGAACTTTGGAGATGTGTGTTCCGAGGGATCGATGGATTCCACTGCATTCAATGCAGAGGACTATGCCGAGGTTGATGGAAACCCATTCAACCTTTGATGTTGAGCAGCAATCGGCACACCAGGTGTTGCCTTCATCAGCTGCGCGTATGGTTTGGAGTAATTTGGCGGGATCGTCGTCGTAGCCATGGCTGCCACTTCTCATGTAGCCGGGCCGTGCGCCAACTGTTGTTCGACGTCCCATGCTGTTTGAATTAGATGGAGACGCGGATTTGCCAGTCAGGGCAGATCCAATTGTGCGTCCAGATGGTTTTTCCTTTGTGGTAGTTTGTTTGGTACGTGGGGTAGAAACTCGTCCTTCTACAGCGCTCTGTAGGGCGTTGTTGATGGCTGTGATCCAGTTTCCCATGTCCTGCTCAGAAGTGGCCTGGTAGATTCGCTTGAACTGTGGCGTGATAACCTCAAAGCAGAAACGTCTTTCCGCATTGCGCGCTTCACGTACAGAGGCCATTCGCAAATCGATCGGATCCATGTGCAAGTCCAGCTTTTGCTTCCAGTTGCTGTATTCTGAAAGCTTGCCTTGGTCGAGCACGATCCAAAATCTATCAATGGTGTTAGAAATGTTATAGATAGGAACGTAAAAAAAGGGAAGAGGAGAAAGGAACATACTTGTGCCAGGCTTGTTTGTTGATTCCTTTTGGGTCCATATGCGACCCAGGGCGGGATAAAGCCCACAACAACCCCTCTTTCTTTTGCTGCCCGTTTGCTCCCTCTGTGGCCGCCTTACTGGTGCTATCGCGCTCTTCCAAATCACGAAACCCTTTGAAGCGGTTTTGTGTGGCAGAGATAGGCCCGGTGTTGGAGCCGGTAGGAACCGTCGCTCCTCCGTTGGGTGAATTTGATCGCCCCGAAGTATTGCCAGAATAGCCACGAAAAGTCGAGTCTGCATGGCCAAGGTCGGAATCGGACGTGTAGGATGTGGTGTTGTTATTTGTAGTGCTGTTGCCACCTGGAGTAGGTGGAGATGGGCCGAGGTTATGGGCTGTGTCTGGTTCGATGTATTTCTTGCTGCTACTCTCGAGAAGTCTGCGCTTTTCTTCACGCTCGGTACGTTGAGTTTTAAACTCTTTATCGACCTTGTTGACTTCATCGACGAGAGCATCAAGATGAGGTAGGAAGGCTTCAACCCCCCTTGAAGTTGAGATATGGGCATTTGCCTGACAAACGGCAAATTGGGTGAGACTGGCGAGCAATTCCTGTTCACGTTTTCCGCCAGTTAAATCCTGCATGAAAGAGGAATAGTCGAATCGGCTTAGTTCGAATTTGCGTCTTTTCATTTGGTATTTTGAGTCGCTCTCGACTCGTTTCTTTTCCTTGAGGGAATCCTGTCGTTGACCGAGGTATTTGCTAGCATATGCGTAGTAGTCTCTACTCTCGTCATCGAATTCTTTTTTCTTGGCATCAGCTTGCTTCATGTCGACGTGGTAAAATCGCGAAAGAGGTTTGACGACAAATTCATGCATGTATTCGGCGTCTAGTCGTTCGGCATCGAGGAGCTCACGCCCCGCACGGTTAAAGTAATGGTCTAGCGCAGGCTGTATAGCTGGTGCGTTAGCCTTTGCAGTATCACCGAGAGTTTTGATAAAGTTGTAAATTGCATCATGGCAACTGATACGAGCGTGGTAAGCTACTTCGGCTTTTTTGAGCAGCTTTTTCATTCTCGTGCGTAAATTTCCAGTCTTTTGTTCGAGGGATTTCATGGTGGCCCGGAATAGGGGACCGTCGTCGACCGCGCACACATCCTCGCCAGGATGGTGACAGGTGACATCCACCTTGGGACCTCCCAGCGCACTGGTGGATGGTTGCACGTTCTGGACGGCATTGTTGCTGTTGTGCGCTGTGAATCTCCGAAAGCAATCCTGGTATTCGACAGTGGGCGCCGCGGGGGCGAGTTCGTCGTTTGACTCATTTGGGTCACTTGTTCTAGAGACGTTCGAGTGGGATGAGACCTGTCGGTTGCGCTGTGGCACGGCAAGTTCAAAACCGGTCGACTCGAAACTTGGGCTTGTTGAGGGCCTGGGGGGCCCTTGAACCCAGTATTGGAACCAGGCCAGGGTGTTCAATCTGTTGGATCTCTCGTCGTAGTCGAGAAAACTGCAGCAGTTGCGCCATCCGCCGCATTTCTCTTCGATTTTGACTGGTGGCTTCCATTTCCACGACCAGTCGAATTGCACCGATGGCGACCCTCCAGTGTTGAAGGTGCCAATATGGCGGACGTTTTCGTTGTTGTTTTGGATATTCGGGTCCGCATGAAATTCATGCGTGACCAGATTTTCAAGATCCTTTGCATTTGCAGCGTATGCAAAAGTGAGACTCTTGACCATATTGTCAATGCCCGTTGGGAGGGCAGTAGAGACTCCATTGACAGTGGTTGCCTTGGGGGCGGCTGGGCCCTTTTCTTGTCGAATGACAAAAGTAAAGCAGAAGTGGAGCTCGTCCTCGTTGGTTAGCCGCAAGATAAAGGACGGGCCCGGGTTGTTGTTGAGGACGTTATTGGGAGGATCAGGGTCCTAGATGTAGATATCATGGTATCAGTGCGGTTCTTTGATAATGGAACGCAGCTACAGTTGCGTGTGGTGCGGTGCATGCCAGAATCCGGAACCAGGGTATTAACAAACGCACCTGAATGAATTCAATAGGCGTATTATCACCAGCATCTCTCTTTGCAGATATCTGCGATGCTGGGTAGCCATTTGGTGAAATCACCAAGATAACAGCTCCACTCCGGTTGGTGATAACCAGAGAGGAGATGCTGACTATAAGGATAAGCCTAGTCAGTAGCTGTAGCCACAGAGAAACAAAGATAGCTTACATTTTCTTTGGTCCCTCAGGTAGAGGGCAGAAGGAAAGGAGAACTTGGAATGAGACTGAACGTTTCCCATTTTGAAAGAACTGCGAAGAGCAGAGAAAAAACCAGCTGCACGGAGACAGAAAGAAGAGAAGACGTCAAAGAAGAGTAAGAAGGACGCGGTCTTAGAATATCAATAAAAAGACGCAAAAAAGGAGCCTGATGAAGGCTGAGAGCGACTGCTCTCTCGAGCAGAGAGCAGTCAAAAAGCGTTCTATTGGTTTTTTTTTTTTTTTTTCGGATTCTTTTTTTTTTTTTAAAAAAAAGAGAAGAACGAAGGACGTTTAGCAGTTGTTTGAAACGACAGTGAGCGATTGATCGATAGCGAAGGACTGGTTGAAGCGAAGGTGGACGGTGAGATGAAGCGAAAGAGGGTGAGGAGGAGAAGAGAAGAGAAGATGGAGAGGACGAGGACGAGGAGGGGGATAATATCTCTGAGCTGCTGGCGGCGGCTGGGGGGCGGCGGCGGCGGCGGTTTGCAATGTCGTCAGCGACGCTGCGAATCCGTGGTTATCGTGATAAGGAACCGCGGGTTTGGCAGCGCCAGCGTCAACGCGAAGGCGTAATGAAGTCGCATCTGACGTTGTTACCGAAGGCGCGAGAGGAAAGCAAGGCGACAGGCAGCAGTTGACGGCGGCCGGGGGGCGATGATGGTCGGCGGTGGTGGTTGTTGCGGTCGTCGTTGATATTTCGCTCGTTGTGGTTATTTTTTCGATGGAGATGACGATGCGGCGATACGAGGTGCGGTTATTATTAGGTTCGCGGGCGAGCTAGCCTGACTAGCTAAGATCGATACGCCGCCAAGGGCAACGCAACGCTGAGCTCGAGACCGGCCACGGACAGGGTGACGAGGAGGTGCAGAGCAGTGGTATAGAGTGTTTGTGCGGCCTGCGGTCTGCGGTGGATGTCGTGGGTGTTGTGGATGTCGTGGTTGTTGCGTCTTCAGCCTCATGCAGGGCGAAGATCGCTCCCTGGCGTGACCCCTGACATGTTCCATCACTGCATGATAGAGTCCAGCTGCCGCCCACCCTTACCTCTACCTCTACATCTACATCTACACCCTGCCAGTACATAAATAGCAGTCCGTCCTCACGCAACTCATCTACTCAGCTGTATATCGTGGATACGACTACACTGACGAGGCATGTGGCGGTGCTCGCGCTCACATGGCACCGGCAACTCGCTCCCCCACCAGCCGTGGAGACAGAGGCTCTTCCGTCACTGACAGCTCCGTCTCGCTCTTCTCACCACCCCGGATGACGCGCTTAAGGCTCTCTCCCTCGTCAGATTGGCTGCTGCTCGGTTATTCGGGGGCTGGGGGGCGTAAACAATCAGGTCGAGCCTTGGTAACGGCCGGTGGCGAACGTAAACCAGCCCAAGCAACGGAACCGCGGTTGACGCGACTATCCGTCAAATCAGCTTCTATCCCACTGTTTACGCCGATATCAACTTCCCCAGCCTCCTCTTTTTCCTTGCTATGGTCCCCAGCCTCTTTTTTTACAGCCTCACCTTCCCCCAACGAAGACCCGTCCCAACGATGCGACTGCCCCAACTAACGGACACGTATACCGTCACAGTCCAGTCTCCCAGGCAACTTTGGAAGCATGCCGTCACCAGGCTTTGACGTTTATCAAGCTGTGGGCGTCATATTTACCTACTCTCAGTCGTATACCTTCCTTTCCTGTCTCAATGTGGCCACATACTGTGCCGTAATTCCGTGATGCGGTGCACGATAAGCTGGTAACGGTGGCGGCTTGCGAAGCCATGGAAAGGTGTACATAACATACATGCGAATATTCTCTCATATTTCCTCTCTCATTTTCCCTCACTCTTCCACGGTTGAAGAAAGTGGTCGATACATGGATGCACATCTTCGCCGTCGCAAGGTAGTAGATGGCAATGTTACTATGCCATCACAGACGCCCGCAAAGAATGGAATAGAATGGAAGAGAAGAGAAGAGAAATACGACCTGATGATGTTGTTCTTGGACATCGTCATATTCATCTGCTCGGCATATTGAACTGGCTGGGAGCGTTGTAAGAGGTATCTATAGTCTCAGCATAGAGACGACGCCAGTGGTCTTCCCGAAGCAGAAGCGAGGGGTATGGTAGGAGTACTGTGTCAGCCAGTACGTCACAACTACTGCCTTGTAGTCATGGGAAACGAACTTGCTGCATTCCCTATAGGAAATGTCCTGGTGTACAAGTATCAGAAGCGCTTCTATAAAGTCGAAGCGCCAGGCGGGCAGCGCGCGCGTTAGTTAAATACCCGCTGCAAGCGATGAGGCTCTGCGGTCACATGGGAACTAGCATCAAAGTTATTTCACTGGCTGCCACCTGACAGAGTGATCCTTCAATTTTAGCTAATGGAAATACGTGTTCAATATTATTCAAAAGCAGTGATTGGTTGGTTATTCACAATGCACGAATCGATTATTTAACCAATGAACGATCACCTCCAACCTCGATTTCAACTTCAACTCTTACAACCTCCATGGCGTGGAACACACTGTTACTGCTCGTCGAACTTATGCGAGGCTTCTGAGCCACTGGCTACTTGACTTGATAAGACCAAGAGCATATCTGAATGCCTCGGGGTCCCTAACGACATCGCCAAAGCCAGCCTGCCCATTTGTTTGTACCTGGAGTGTTAGCAGCCTCTATTTTCGACAACGGTCTCCCACATCCCCTCCTTGACTGACCAGCAAAGCATCCATTCGTCTTCCCAGCATGATGACTGGGAAATGAACTTTGGCAGGCCTACAGGCTTTTCGCCACAGTATTTTAAAGAAGGATGTAACTACGCCGCCTTGTGCCCTGATGGCACAGACAGAGAGCACAACTCGAATGAAACATTACCTCCCACAAAATAAATATACCCACAGCATTACCTGGGGCTATTATTAGGATGGCCGTAAGGTAATACAAGTTTTCCATGCTATATACATGGCCATATCTATGCGCTCATAGACCCTAGAGGCCTCCTTGGTGGCCGCCTGGATTCCACTCGTTATTGTAAGTAATGGCTGAACAAGGGGCTATAGACGCCCGCAAAGTGAAGTTATTATTGTACACGCGGCATATTGAAACAATAGGCAACAACACGATGGCTTCCAACGACACAGAAAGAGTTACTGCTGCGACATGTCCATCCTCGTTTCTCCCCACAGGTTATCCGTATATTCCGGAACGTGATTTCTCCTCAGCAGTCATTCTACATCATCTACGTTGTACCGCAGTCTTACAGACCTGGGCCTGGGGTTTACAAGATGCTGGGGCTCATAAGGAGGCCATCAGGGCAGCCCTCTCGGAGTCGGCTAGCATGTCTCATGTAATGGCTATTACTAGAGAGGCCTTGCAGGCTGGAGAACTAGCCCGCCGTGCCGAGGTTGAGGATGCAAAGGAAAGAGAGCTTCAACTCTTGAGGGGCTACTGAGCTCTACGTGTGATCCCCAACAGATTGAGGATATCTACAGGTATTGTGCTTACCCACAAGGCGCTTTTGACCCAGCGCCTGTTGTGGTGACACACGCTACATTTGGTAGCATGTATTGGTTTCGACTCACGGTCCTCCGGGTTGTGTGCGAAGCCTATATTATATGATATACCAAATAATGCCTTATCAAGAGAAGCGTCGCCGGACATAATACCTGATTGCGGCAGGCGCTTACTATCGACACAAGACTGGATATCCATGAGACATGCCTACTGCAGATGGCGCACCCGCTATCAGCAGATAGCACGAGACGCTGAGGTATATATAAGACCTTCCTAACTTCGACCCTATGTCCTCTGGCCTCACACCTTTGAAGAGGGGTTGCTAACCTATGTTGGTTTAAGAGTATCGTGGTCAACGATGACGCCCCTGCTGGTCCTGCCATCTCCGCTCCTGCTGAGCCCCCTGCCATGAGTCTACTACCGCTTTCGGTAGTCCCCTGGTAGTATAGCAACGCTCCTTTGTATGCTTCCATTTTTAGGAGGCGTGGTTACCTAGCAACGTTCTTCCCTCGCGTTATTATGGTAGAAAACTTATCTCCTACCATCTTCCTTCCTTCTCACAACTCAAACGGCTTGAGTCCTGTATAGAATGGAAAAAAGCTGCCCTAAAGGCAGAACAACACCTCCAAATGGCGGACACTCTTTCCAATCCACGAAAACCTAATGCCCGACCCACTAGAGTGCGTTTCGACTCTTTCTCCTCCGGCTCCAGCCAACGCAACTCCGAAGTCCCTCGAAACCAAACATCACAGACGACGAATATTGGCGTGATAGCGGGAGTTAGGTCTACCACCAAAAGCAGCAAGGCGAACTAGATATGAATAACTAGTGATGTGTAAGACAACAGGTATAAGCGGATGGGCAGTTAGAACAATTCCCCACTAGTTATGTATTTATAAAATTGGTCTAGTTGCAGACGTTATAGTGTATAATTGCATAATAACCGTCACTAATGCACTTTATCCTCAATCATCTTCCCTCTCGAGTCATATTCTATATGTCCAAGTCACATCGTCCGCCATCGAACCTCGTAGGGGGTAGGAATAGCCAATGCCGTTAATATGCCCTTTTAGGACTAGCGTGGTGCTCCGCTCCAGGCCTCACGTGATGTTTTTTTTGCTTTTCCCGAACGTCGAAACGAACGAAGAAGCCAAAAGCAACGCAAGTCGACGAGATATCACGAAGCCTACAAGTCGACCAGATCTTTTAGTTCGTCGAAGGAAGACAGGTTTAGCGTGGCTTGATACCCATTCCCCAGCTCCTAGGCTAGTTGCTTGTTGAAATACCCACGCCATATCCATACGTCATCATGGCATCACAACTTCTCCCACTAGGTGGGCTACCTCCTTGTCTATGAAGATGTCCTTGTACCGCTGCTTCATAGCAAATACTTACGATGTATTGTTGTGTTACTGTAGAGCTGATTGATAAGTGTGTTGGGTCAAAGATATGGATTGTTATGAAGGGCGATAAAGGTACGTTTGACCTGGTTTTCTTCAAGGTGTACGTGGTCCGCTTGCTAATTTTATGGAATAGAATTCTGCGGAACGCTGCTTGGATTTGATGATTATGTTAGTAAGTATTCACTTATTCTCTGTGGAGATGGACTGATTGGCTAACGCTGAATATAGACATGGTACTCGAGGATGTGACTGAATTGTATGTTGATACATGCTACCTATTAGAGTCACTTTGAATGATTCAGTGTGCACTAACACCTTCAGTGACTACTCTGGCGGCCAAACGAAGCTTTCTAAGATACTTCTGAACGGAAATAATGTGTGCATGGTGAGTTCCCCCAACAGCTTTTTCAGTGGGGTATCCAGCTAACGAGCACAGTTAATACCCGGGGGCGAAGGGCCAGTCAGCGCAGCTCCTTAAAAATTTCTAGTCAACGGAATATACTACCACGCCGTGATAATACTTAATAACAACTGAATATCATCTCATAAATTTCGTTAAAAAATTTAATCTAAGTCATCCCGTAAGGTATTACACTAATAAATAATGGAATCGACGGAGCCCACAAAGCCATAAAAAAAAAAAAAAAAAACGGTCGTCAGGGCAAGGGAAAAACGTAGACAAAATGAGAACAAGGCTTGTCCAGCTGGGACCCAAAGCCAGAATGCAGCGTGCATGAAAATGTAAACATGATCAAAAACCCATCCAGTAAGGTAAGTTAGTAGTTAGTAGTAGAACCAGTAATAGACCATATATAAATTTTCGCCGGTATAAACTCCTGTTTGTTCCTGCTCACGCCGTTGTTTGACCTTTTGTCGAGGGGCAAGTTCTTTACTTCCTTTTTTTAAATATAAAAAAAAAAGTTATAGCGAAGAAGGGGAAAGCTGATGTAGCTTGAAATTCTCAATGGTGTGCAGAATCAGCCTGGATTCTATAGTGTGTTTCTCGAGGAGGATGTCGATTGCGGTGCGGCCCTTGTTGTCGAGCGAATCGATTGGCACTCCCATGTCCAGCAGCACCTGCGCTGCCTTTTCGGGACATTCGCCGGGAGTGCAGGCGGGGGAGTTCGAGGCTAGTATGTGCAGAGCTGTTTGGCCGAGATGATCTAAAGCTGTGATGTCGGATCCGGCCCTGAGGAGCCGTCTAAGGAGGACTACGGAGGCGCTGCCTTGGGGGTCATGCGGGTTTCCGTGCTGGTAGGGACAGTGTAGCGCGGATACTGCTCTTAGCAGTGGGGTTTCACCGTTGGTGTTTCTGGCCGAGAGATCTGCGCCGGCATCTAGGAGGAGCCGAACAACTCTTTCATCCGGCTGGGAAGTAGAGACGTGTAGATGTACTGTCATAACAACGTTAAAAAACAAAAGTGGATATGACCAAAGATGAAAGAATAAAGAATGAGAATACGTACGTGGGGTATTGAGTCTATCATCCAGGGAGTTTACGCTTGCACCTTGGCTGAGCAGGAACTTGACGAGTTCTGGGGAAGGCTGGTCGGTAAAGCAAGCAGCATGAAGAGGAGATTGGTATCCAAGGGCACAGTCACCGTCGATGCTCATGTTGGAATCCAGCAGCATCTCGACAACCTTGAGATGGCCCGAGGCCGCAGCAGCACTGATGGCCCTGCTGGACTTTCTGATGATCTCCGGGTCTGCGCTCTCCAGCAGCAGCTTGACGACCGAGAGGTTGCCGGTCGAGGCAGCACTGACCAGGACGGAGCTGGGGCTGCCGTCTGTAGGGTTATCCAGCACCGCACCGTTGTCGAGGAGAAACTTGACGGTCTCGTAGTCCGTGAACCCGGCAGCATGACCGAGGAGAGACGGGTCCTTGGGAGACGGCGGGTTTATGGATCCTCCGTGATCGAGCAGGAACTTGATGAGATACTGGTCGCGAGAGAGGACAGCCTCGAATAGCTTGTTTCAAGGCCTTCGTTAGGATCCAGACAAACAAAAGAGAAAGAGATAGAAAGGAGATAGAAAGAAAGAAAGAAAAGAAGAAATGAGCAGCATGATGATAAGAAGCATACCATGCCGGACTCGTCGACCGAGAAGCCATGGTCGAGCAGGACCTGGATGGTCTCCATCTGCTTTGGCTCGACCTTGCGCGGCGAGAGCGAGTAGTAGAGCACCATCCCCAGCGCATTCCGCCCGTCGAAGCCCTTCCGGCTCTTCTCAGCGCCCCTGTCCAGCAGCAGCTTCACGATGTCCGCGCGGTCCCTGTTGGCCGCCCAGTGCAAGGGGTACGAGTTTCCCGCGCGGTCTCGGTCGAGGATGTTGACCTCCGCGCCGTGGTCGAGCAGGAAGCGGACCACCTCGACGTCGCCGTTGTGGAAGCACGCGAGGTGCAGGGCCGACATGCCCTCGAACCCGTCGCCCTGCAGCGCATTGATATCGATCTCGCTGGAGTACGCTGCCCGTATCTCGTCGACGGTGCCCTGCCGCGCTGCGTCGAAGAAGGCCGTGTAGGAGGCGCTGTCTGGCGGTGCCCATGTCGCCTCCATCGCTATGCCGGGCAGACGAGACGCTTATCCTGATCCCTCTTGCATGAAAGGTGCTGGGAGAGGAGCGGGCATGGACGAGCATGAACAAAAGGGAGCAGAAGCGGACTCCAGACAGGCGTGTTAAAGGAAAAAAGGGACCGCCGGCGAAGAAGAAACGAGGCGTGAGGCTGGTTCGTTTGCGTATTTTTATTTTATTTTATTTTATTTTTATTTCTTTTAATTCTTTTTTCTTCTCTTTTAAAGGGGGCTGCCGCAGCTCGCGATGTTGTTTTTTTTTTTTTTTTTTTTTTTTTTGCTTCTTTTTTTTCTTTGTTGGAGGTTGAAGAAGCGCCAAGGCGAGTGTTTATCCAGGCCGCTGGACAAAAGACAAGCAGAGACAGAGACGAGAGGTCATAAAGGAAGAGGCAAAGAGGTATCTGGCGAGAGGACTGCGTTTCCTGGCTGCGTCGTCTATCGGGAGCTGCATGAGGACGGCCAGGTTGGGCCACTGGGTGCGCGCGCAGCTGCAGCGAGCCAAGGGACAACAAGCTCATCCTGTTGTTTGTTTACTGCTGGGCTAGTTAGCTGGCCAGCTGGGGGGGGAGGGAAGGCCGCTGGCTGATCGGCGAGCAGGTGTTGCTGTCGTGGTGGCTGTCGACGGAGGACAGCATGGCATGGCATGGCAGGCTTGTAGTCTGAGCCAGCGGACGACGAGATGGCAGGATATACGAATGAATACATGGGCGGACGGACTGTGGACGAGATGGGACAGCCTGCAACGAGGTCTACTACGGTGCTCGATGAGGGCCGGCCGACGGAGTTGCCTGCTCTACGGACTATATATATATACTATACAGACAAGCAGTCGCCACTTAACTGCTCAACGGCCGCAGAGGCAAAGCAAAAAGGGCACAAGGAAGCATATATATAAGCTTAACCAAGGTACACACACGCCTTTGTGGATCGAGCCGACCCTTTCTCTTGGCCGTCTTCTTCCGTGGTTCATCGGGATCTTCATCATGTTGATCGAGATGGTGGTTGCTATCAGATACGGCGGCCGATGCTGTGCTACACTGAGCCTTGTCTGGCCCAATAACAGTAGATGGTACCATGCTATATCGGCCTTTGACCAAAGACTGGGAAATCAAGACGAAGACGGAAACCTGCTTGAGAAACGATGCCACATCTGACTTAAAAGCGGATTCAGCGTCCAGTCGGCTCAAGCCGGGTCAGTTGCCGGTAAGACTTCTATCATCAAGCTGGTTACTGGCGGGATTCATAGCCGGAGATGCTTACTTTCTACTGATGAGTCCCGCCATTGACTTCGTGATAGTGGATGTTTACAGTCTGGCTTCATCTCCACAGCTGGCATTATCTGATCCTACTATCAAGAAACTCGCTTGACTTACACGTTTGTCCCTCGCATGGCAGGTAGGGATGCCGGACCAGCCTTGAGACGGATTGTTTCCTATGTGGAGAGTCTAGGGGTTCTCCTGTCTCGCCTATTACAGTCTAGACAAGCTTGTTTCCCTTCTCTGACGGCCTGAGACTATGGATAGAGCCTTACTCAAGCTTCAAACGGCATCAACCACTGGATCATGGACAAAAAGCAACGAGTGTGAAGATAAAAAGCAAACCAAGATGATGTCCAGCCCCGGAGATCGCCGTGAGTGATAATGTTGAACGATGTCAGTGGCTAACCAATTACTTGTTTCCTGGCGTTGGTCTTTGTGCATTCGGGCTTTGGGGGTTAAATGTTGTGGAAGCAGAAATGACGGAGTACGGCCCGAAGGGAATAATCACCAACAACCTGATTACTGCCTGAAGCTCCGTCTTCTCTGCGGCTTCGTAACGCTTCGGTGCAGCGGAAGCTGGTCAAATAACTAACTTGCTGCCTCACACTTTTTTTTTTCTGCTGCAAGGCTCTTCATCAAAGTTCAAGCAGCATCAAAGCCAACCCTACTCCGCAAGTATCAGACGCTACTTATGCTACGTTACTTCGAGGTGCCAGATGCAGGGATGCATACGGCGTGCATAAACTAGCTTGCCAAACTTGCTCCAAAACACAACACCGCTGCACTGGATGCTGGGTGGAAAGCATATTTGCCAGTGAAGGATCAATAGTGAAGGTCAAGCCGGAAAACCGCATCTCAGTGTAAGATGAGCACTTGAATTGTGTTCTTTGGCCCAAGGCTGCAGGGATGGGCATGTTTGTTGACATGCTCAATAGCTAATATCTGCCTGTGGCCTATAATCATTTCAGCTCGGCTGGGCTCTCCCCCTACTAACAACCTCATTAAGGAAGAAACGGCCGAAGAGAAGATGGTGCCCAGGGATATTTATCCTCACCCTGTCCATACAGTAAGAGCAACTAATGCCATGTAACACGTAACTGCGGTGGCTCCGGACGAGATACGACCAAATTTGGCCCCGAAATTAGTTCGACCAAGATGCAGACGAAGCCACCAACTTATGCATAGGACATGGACTGTCTCTTATTGGTCTTCAGCTGCTTAACCAAAACATCTAGCCAACTGGCTGGTCAACTCCCGTCGGCCGGAATAGATCAGCAGAAGTCCACAGTCCACTCTATCGTCTCCATCCCAGCCTCATCACCCCAGCTTCTCCACCAGACGCTGACGACGAAGCTCTTCTCTTTCTCCCATCATCTGTTAATATGAGTTAATGATCCTCCAGTGGCTTCAAAATTCCTCTTGCTCGACAGCCAGTTGTATGTCTGTTCACCACATAGTAACAAGGCCCCAACCGAATCAACCTTGGCCATGATCAACTTTCAGCATCACCCTGGCAAAGCAGCCTGGCCCCCTATCACGCTGCCTTCACAGCATAGCAGGAATGGGCGGGTGGAAGATATCCACGCCAACCATGCAGAGAGGTTTTTGACCCCTGCCCCAAGTCAAAATAAGCCCATGTTCGCCACGAGGATCGCTAAAGGCTAGCCTCGTGAAGAAGAAACGAAGAAGCGGGTGGTGCAGTCTTCACATCTCCATACAAATTGACTCGCGGGCTACTTGTCTGCGCCTGAGAGGTGACGAAACGGCATGGAAACATTCACTGCCCCATGTAAATCTTCTGGCTCTGGACAAATACCTGTACGCCTGGTGGAGGTAATGCGTGCCGGTCATATACAATTATCCCCGTCTAAACGGATATACTCTGCTTTTCCCTCCATGCAAGTGGAGATGCCACCGGTCTTCTCGAAGAGGCATAGAAAACACCAGCCGCCCTTGAGGTGAGCCTTGTTTTGGAAATCTGTCACCAGGGGGGCTGTATACACGAGATGTCTTGCATGCACCATGTAAAAGCAGATGATGGTAATGCACGGAAAATTCCAACGGCTTATATTCATAATAAATATCCGCTAGCCGAGATATATATTATACCCCTTGACCTTGCGCCTTTGATTGAATTCCATTCTATTCTACATATCTATTCCACACTTCTACCCACACCATTCAACATCCTTACTTATCTCCTCCTTAACTGAGGATGGACTCGAACAGTGACAATGCAAGCAAGAAACGGACAAGAAAGTGGCATCAGCGGGGGTTTTCAGGCTGCTCAACATGCAAAAAGAGACACGTCAAGTGTGACGAGACAGCACCGGCATGTTTGAACTGCACCAGGCGTGGTATAGAATGCGACGGCGCCCATCAGAACGCTACGTTCAAAGTATACATGCAAACACCACCAATTCCTGCCTCGAGTCAAGAAATGGCGAAGGCTCACGGGGCCGCAATGACCAACTGCAACTACATGCAATCGATTGATACGAAAGAGAAATACGTATCTCAGAACAAAGACGGCTCGCATTATGGAACATTGAACGTTGACGAAGGAATATACTATTCTTACTTTGTGGATACAGCATCTACATTTCTCACCATATACGAAACACCATACCACTCGAATCCGTTCAGAAGCATGTTCCCACAATATGCATGTACGTCCAGAATACTATCCAAAGCAATGGGCGCTGTGGGGGCACTCCACCTTGCAAACACTACTGCCGGCCAGGATAGAGCTGTGCATCTCCACCATGCCATGAATGCGTATGGGGATATTGTCCAGTCTCTGGGGCAAGCCTGGAGTAACCCTAGATGCCAATTCAAACTTGCGGATTTTGCAACTTGTTTGCTTTTATGCGTCTTCGAGGTAATTGTTTCCTTTGATAGATCGCCGTGGAGACCAGTTCACTGCTTACACTTCTTGGTAGATGTTAGATTCACAGATCGAAAACTGGAAAGTGCATCTAGCTGGGGCTCGGGATATCTTCAACTCTCTTGACTCCTCAACAGCGGCTCTGTCACGCGGGCAAACCAATCCTCTAGATCAACCATTTAAAGCTTTCCTGGTCTCTCTGATGGAGTACCTTGAAGTTGTGGGTGCGATATCCACTAATGAAAGAATGACACAGCGTGGCCCTTATCGTGAAGTGTATGGCAACGGACAGCAAATCCCGTTTGAATCCCCAACAATTAACCCAGCGCATTATGCCCTCTCTAACGACATACGCCACGCTTGGTCTGAATTATTGGGTATCAAAGCAGATATTGATTTGTTCCACGGCGCAAGAGCCATGGTATGTCAGGAAGAGACGAAGACAGTATCCGCCGAGGCTTAGAAAACAGATTAGCATCATGGGAAGCAGCCTTCTGGTTCGAGGGTATATCCGATAGTCATGAGAATGACAGCTTGCCGGAAATCATAGCATTTGTCAAAGCTCATGAACAAGCAATGATAATATACTTGCACAGGGCTAGCACTAGCGGACACCAGAGAACTCATCACTCGCCTGCACATCTGCGAACCGCAATACGCCGCATCATATCGTTAGCAAAACGGAATGCAAGGGGAATTGGAAGACTAGCTATGCATTGGTCCATGTACATGGCTAGCCTAGAAGCTATGGACGAAAATGATCGTGCCTTTATAAAAGAATGGTATGGGGAAGCCACATCCGTTGGATTCAGAGTTCGTCATACCTTCTTATACCGTTGTCCAGGAGACAGCAAATGCTAACGGGCTGATAGGTTACGGACAAGGCATTGCCGATACTAGGGCATGTTTAGAGTGTCTCCAACACGGATTGTTGTACTACCAAATATATGAATAATACCTCTTCCATGATTACGTGCTGATTGACGAGGGTATGGAGCAAAAATAATAGAATCTCGCGACCAAGTGCTGGTCCAGCAAGGGCAAGGGATGTACAAATACGTGATAGATTTCCAGCGCGTTGAAAATAATGGATAATGATTTCATGACGATCTCGTGTCTTCCTTGTATTGATTCGATCTCGAGACACCGAAAATTACGGCAGGAGATTGAAGGATGACTAAGCAGGGTGTTGGTAATGGAGCAACATTAATCCGACATCCCTTTTCGGTAGGTGCTGACTGCCCGAGGTCCAACAACAACAACAACAACAGACGGGATAACGGACGGTAGACGACAGATATCAAATCTCCCGGTGGTTAAGATGCTGTTTCTCTGATATCTATCCCGGTTTGCAGAAGAGAGACTGTCCATTGTTTTAATTTTGACTAGGCTGCACACGATAAATGATCCCGCCTATTTCAATCATGTTAACGGACATTGTGGAAGACAGGTTTCCTAAGTTTTGACTAATGGGCTAGAAGTATTCAATTCTTGAATTCCGTGGATAATTATCCTCATAATGGTTAATACTAATAATACAGCTCCTTTTATGCTAGATAGAATGTCCCTGATCGTCAGGTCTGCAGAGTTATTTATATGGGGATCCAACTCGACCATCTCTAGATCTGCTTACACTATTTTCCGATATTTGAGCAGCGTGCTCCCTCCCTGACTCAGCCGGCTGTTACTCAGTACGTACTGGAGGGCAGATAACAAAGTGTGGGATTCAACCGAATTTCTAGTCACCCAGGAGTTATTCGGAAGAAGACAGAGCCAAGTGCTGCCCCGCTAAATGTTTCTGTGCAGAACCAGTTTATGGACAAAACAAAGTCTCAGAAGCTGCTTGCTGCTCAGATATTCAGGGGTAAGTAAACACGGGGATGCCCGTGCTCTAGACAGAAAACTGGCACCAGGTTGACCCGCCATGTCCAAGATTGCTGGCCTTACTTCCCTTAGGCCGTATGAAGGCTTCAAAACAGGCTGACATTTTACACCGTTAATCCGGGTAGCTTGTGGGTACGCATAGAGCCTTGGGCCCCACATTCAATTCTTCCTTTGCAAATAAGTGTGGAGGATAAATCTATGGAGAGTAGATGGCTGGCTGTTCAGGCACCTACCTATCAACTGGACTAAGCAAGCCGGGACCGCCTTTAATAATAATAACAGGCTTTCAGAGACAGAAAACGGTGGCTTGAGCTCATGAGGTTAAAGGGGACCGTATCCACTACTTAGTTTGGTCAGCTCATGCAGATGTGAATACGAGCTTGATAGGTTGCCGGTCAGGACGCCGATTCGATAACTCCAACTGATTGACACAGGAGTTGGATGCTCTCATTCACCATCAATCAGCATCTGCATACGAGAAGCAACCGAGTTCTTTCGAGAAGACAAGATAGCCAAGCCAACAAATGGTCATCAGGTTTCGCTAAGAAAGGCTCTAAACCGATTTATCCGATCCAACTGTCAAGCTGCACTCCTTTTAAGCTTATACGAAGTTTCGACGTTGAACGTGCCAACCAGCCCCAACTTGCGAAGTTGAAGCTCACCCCTGGCACTCCCACTGTTGGATCCCGGCCTCGTGTCTGACTTATGCTGTGCAACATGTCTACGGGAAAGAGTGAGTTTGATGCCGTGGCACTTGGAGCTAGATATAAAGAAACCATACGTCCTGGAAACTAGTCAGTCAGCTATCTAGTACTGTTCTGTGAATCATGGCTTTCATCGGCGGAACTGCCAGCGAATAAACCAGGATATCTCCTTGTTGTTCCTCCGGTTGGCTAGCTACTATTACAATCCCCCGGCGCTTCAGTCCGCACCTAGGGAGCGTAGCCAAAGATTATCCTACAAGGCCTTGGTTTCTTCTTCGTTCTGCGACTGGGCGACGAGGGGGGCAAACTGTCGGTTCAGCTTTAGTTCGGCCTTGTCAACCAGGGAATTAGTTTAAGAGTCTCCCTTCGCCCCCATCAGTTTTCTCAGGTTCCTTCTGGCGATCGTTCTTGTGTCGTTTCAAAATAGGTGCAAAAAATCCTGTTCTTCTGAATTAATTTATATCTACTAGGCGCATCCGGACTTCTCCTCACGCCGGTGGTTTTGATCCATTCTCGAATCCGATATTGCTGTTATAGGTCGCTGTGATGGTTTCCGTCCTAGAAGTATCGGATCAAGCCATCCATCCGTGACTGAACCAAGGCTTGCGTCACAGCTGTCACTCCTTGCTTCCGCTATGCCGTTTAGAGGCGACTTTGGCGCCCGAAGCGCATCCGTTTCTACAGCTCGTCGACCCGAGTCGACGTTTGATATAGAAGTGCCTCGTTCGCACTCCTATCCAGACTACCATCACCCTATAGGCCAGTTCCCCCGCCACCTCCATGGAGTCGCTCTAGAAACGCCCCTCGTCGATGAGGAAGGACGCAGGCCAAGCGCACCGGCCACCTTTATACGGTGGTTCGTGGATGGCTTCAAGCGTGATCCAGATGCACAGCTCACCACAAGATCATCGACAACATTCGCTGATCGGAAAGCCTTCGATATTGCTGGCGCTGCCGCGGCGACGGCAAATTCGCCTTTGAAACGCCGTTTACATGGCAGGCATCTGCAAATGATCGCCATCGGAGGTTCTATAGGTATGTGGAACTTCCCTTTACTTAGGCAATGCATTATATGAAATGCTTATTCTCTTGAACTTGCAGGGACTGGATTATTCGTGGGTTCGGGTAAGTCACTGGCCACAGGTGGCCCTGCTTCGGTGTTGGTTGCTTTCCTGCTCGTTGGGGTGATGATCTATTCCACCGTACACGCACTGGGAGAGATGGCCGTTCTCTTTCCAGTAGCTGGCTCATTCTCAGCGTACTCTACTCGCTTCCTAGACCCAGCATGGGGCTTTGCGATGGGATGGAACTATGCTCTGCAATGGCTTGTTGTATTTCCACTGGAGATAGTGGCCGCTTCTGTTACAGTGTCATATTGGTCGACTTCCCTCTCACCGGCTCTTTGGGTGACTATTTTCTATGTTTTGATCTTTACGATCAATCTGTTTGGTGTGCGAGGGTATGGTGAAGCGGAGTTCATTTTCTCGATTGTTAAGGTCATTGCTGTAGTGGGTTATATGTGAGTGAACACGCTCGAACGGAACCTTTGACATATAGCTAACTCATTTAGAATACTCGGCATTGTGCTTAATGTTGCTGGTGGGCCGGACGGGAGCTATATTGGCGGCAAGTACTGGCATGATCCGGGTGCTTTTCACCACGGCCTCAAGGGACTATGTAGCTGTTTTGTGAATGCTGCATTTGCCTTCACGGGCACTGAATTGGTCGGACTCGCTGCAGCCGAAGCTACAAATCCCCGAAAATCTCTACCTACCGCCGTCAAACAGGTCTTTTGGCGGATTGCGCTCTTCTACATCATAGCTTTAACGATGGTTGGTCTCCTCGTTCCATATACCGATAAACGCCTTCTGAGGCCCGGGTCAGAGGCAACCTCCACGCAAACCAAAGCTTCTCCGTTCGTCATATCCATTAGAAATGCTGGTATTACTGGCTTGGACTCAGTAATGAATGCGGTTATCATGATTTCAGTTCTCAGCGTCGGAAACTCAGCAATATACGGATCTTCACGTACCTTAGCGGCGCTTGCGGAACAGAAGCAGGCACCCCGTTTCCTAGCATATATCGATCGCCGAGGAAGGCCTATATTTGCAGTTGGAGTTGCATTTGCAGCTGGGATGCTGTCTTTTCTCGCCGGATCTAGCCACCGCGATGAAGCATTTACCTGGATGATTGCCATCTCTGGCCTTTCCGCTATCATGACCTGGTCTTCTATCTGTCTGGCACATATTCGATTTCGCCGTGGATGGCATGTGCAAGGCCATTCTCTGAATGAGCTTACTTTTCGCTCTCAACCCGGCCTAGTAGGCTCTTACATTGGCTTGGTTTTCAATATGCTAGTTCTTATCGCCCAATTCTGGGTTGGCCTTTTTCCTATCGACTTGAAGGATAAGTCTGCCAAGGGACATGTGCAGAATTGGTTCTCCGTGTATCTTGCTGCTCCTATAGTACTGGTTTTCTATATTCCTTACAAATTATGGTTCAGGACTTCCATTGTGAGGTCGAAAGATATGGATTTGAAAACTGGTCGGAGGGACCTGGATATCGGCGACCTCATCGCTGAGGAAAGACAGTATAGGGAACAGTGGCCGGCTTGGAAGAAAATTTACAAGGTATTCTGCTGACCTTTGGGCGCGCATGGTATAACATGCTTAATATCTATTTCATTTAGCGATTGGTGTTTGGCGGTCTAAACTGGGTGTAATGATGGATTGGTTTGGGATAGAGGATTCCTGTCCGTGGCTATTGATCCACCCGACATATATGATACGATATGCTAGTTTATATATATATTCTACCCTAATGAGACATGACACTTTTAATTCTCTATCGTTATCGTACAGAATACACCACCGTGTTCGATGCCATCGCCTAGAAACCTAGACGTCATTGTCTTTCCGCGTAACTTGATTCTCAGGCTGACATTGATCAAAGGGCCACATGGTTCGAAGTTCCTGACGGGACTCATCATCTTCCAGGTTGTCCATAAGTGTCTCGTAGAAACCTTGATGTGTCTTCTTTACCTCCTCCCATCGCTCTGCAGGCACCCAACCGTCTTCCTCAACCGCCAAGACTTCAAACATATCACGTCTAAACTCCAGCATTCCGTCATATATCTCAAGCTGTTTCTCATAAAATTTCCTTTCTTCTGGACCCATGGCTGGAATGGGACATTCTTTCTCAAATCCAAGCTTTTCCCATGAATCCCTTAACCTCATTAGTTCATGAGTAAATGGGACAAAGCCGTCCCGCCAGGTGCGATGGCAATAGCGAAATGGCCGGAGGAGTGCCTCATCAATTTTTCTAGTTGCTCCTAGACGAGGAGCTAGTAGAGCCAATCCTACCTCATATGCCTGGTACCAAAGTGACTCTTCTGCAGAGTCTGATGGTCCTTCAGTAGGAATTCTGGCAAAATCAGGTACCTCATCAGCGTAATAGAATGCTGGCTCAATACTCGCGGCTTGCCAATCAATGATTCCTGTTACAATTGTAGGATCATCTTGGGAGACGAAAATATTCCTCTTGTGAAGATCTGGGTGGAAAAGGGTGGGTGCTGAATTTTCTTGAATCTCTGGATGTTGGACAAGATGAGGAAAAACTTTTTCGCCCGTTTTGAGCAATTCTACATGTCTTTCAATGGAACCTTGATATGAGGCCTGCTGTTGGATGGATAGAGGCTGACTAACAGGCGGCAGTCGTGCAAATCCAGAGTCGATTAGAGCAGAAGTGTACGAGGAGAGATCATGCCCTGATAAAATTTTTTTAAATTAGCAAGGGTTGGGAGGCAAACGACGTGGGTAATAGCTACTTACACGGTCCTCTATTTGGTGGTTTGAGTGTGTAGTACCTTGTCTCACCAACATTGTTATTCCAGTAGGTACTGCTTCTGCAATGGGGTCCAATGCAGAATTTATTATTGTTGCTTAATATTTGTTTAGACTTATTGTCAAGGAATGATGCATTGGCAAAGTAAAGGCTACCATAGGCCGCGAAATCAAGTTTAGTTATTGGAAGAATGCTTGTGCATATTGCCCCAATACATTTTATTTTCTTATCTGACGGCATATGTGCCCAGGCTTCTTGAAGTAGGATGCCACCGGCATGTTCCATAATGATATAGGCTGAGCCGATAGGATTGGCCGGGTCATCATTCCAATCTAGAATGCTTGGAATTGGAACTTCTGTATGACTTTTCACTAACTCTGAGTATTAGTGTAGGTATATATGTTTGGTAAACTATAAATTCCTTACAATACATTATTGTAGCAACTTCAGAATTCGTGATATGCCTTGCTGACCCAGCAACAGATGTAGGAAGCTTAACAACAACATTTTCATCATTATCAGTTCTGATAATGAATACTTTGCTAAACCCTCCCTCTATCTTCTGAATATTTTTAATAGAGGTGGCAGAAGGGTAGAGTGAAAGGACTTTTTCACACAAGTGATCAAAATCAAACTTGACATGGCGCGCATCGCGCTGCTGTCTATCAAGATGCAGCCACCGCCCCCCTGTGTAGGGAAACATTGCTGCATTGTTGTTGTCAGTGAATGCCAGTCGAAGTAGAAAACAGAACCTTACATGCAGGAGATATCTTCCCAAGGGATTCCCCATGGAGAGTGTGACCAACAGCACTGGAATGGAACAACCGAGGCCCTGTGCATGTAGAAAAGAGCGGCGACTTCCCGCGTAATCTCTGAGCCTGACCCAGGAGAGACAGAGAGTATCTTGCTTTCATCATTGACCCCTGGCGAATGCCTTTTGCTAGCATAACAGCCACCAATCCTAAACCCACTTGCAGGATATCTTCAAGTTCGACACAGCGTTGAAACAGAGGTTGCCCCTTTTTCCGCTGTGAAACCTCTCAAGTCGTGACGCTCAACGCCAAATCCTCTTTTAGGCGTGGATCTGGATCAAGGGGCGCAGGAACTCTTTGGCAACCAGCCAAACAAGCCCCAGCGGTTGAACTGTCGTTGATTCTTGACAAGCGCCTGGAAAGCCACAAGTTTCTAATTATAGGTAATCTGCGTGTTTCTAAAAACGGAAACTTAGCCCGTCCCGGAAAAACTCTCGGAGAAACACCGGATAAACTTCTCGATGCACTAAGCCGTATCGGGCTAGAGCAACAGTTACTCAGCCGCTCGATCACTGCACGTGATGCTTACCTCAGCACCTACGTAAGATACAAGCCTCCTTTGCCTTCTCCTCGAGCTTCAACCCGACTTCACGCAATCCTTCAGCTTTCTCTTCCTTCATCTTTTGTTCCGTCGACAGCTCCGTCTCTCGTTCGTGTCATTTTTACTGCCTGTCCTTTTTTTTCTTATTCTTTGGGCTAGCTGGATCTGCTCTCTGACTGCCGTTCCTGACGCATTTTCGGGCGCTCCTCCACCCTGCTTCCAACTTCCGCCAGCTCACGCGCCAACGGCCGAGCAAGGTATCACAACGAACCGGACCTTTACACCACGCCTCGTCAGGCCCCTGATATAGTTAACAAGTTGACGTTCTCTTCCCTATTCTGCCGCTATGAACACTGCCGTGGCGGTGCCGGGGTTCGCGGACTCCTTCTGGACGCCCGATTATGCTACTGGGATTCATACCCTTTTCACAAAACTCCACCAGGGCATCGTGGAGAACCAGCAGATTCTCACGATGGCCCAGATGCGTGCTGAAGCAGAGCGTGTATACGCCGCACAACTAGGTGCGATTGCTCCAGCTATTGCTCGGAAGACCGGTGGCTTCGATCGCGACGATGGTGCCAGTGTTCGCAAGGTCAGTTCCCGCCCCAGTAAACGTTGACCCAACATTACATCTGATATTTAGCAGGCTTTTGATTGTATGCAGAAGCAGATGGTCGAGGAGCAAGCCATCCACCAGAAAATATCGAGTAGCATTCAGCAACTTGTCATCCAAGAATTCAGTCGCTGGGCAAGCGAGCATGAAGCCCGAGTCGTTACCTGCGAAAAGGCCCTCAATCTGCGACTGAAAGAATATGCTAAACAATGTGATGAAGTGAGCAGTTTGAATGAGAAGTATCTCAGCAAGTGCCGGCAGATCCACGACCGGGAACAGCAGGAGCTGTTCGCCTTCCAGGAACCCGAAAGTGCCACGGCCAGCCCGAAGCATAAACAACTGAAAGCCCCCACCATCGTGCTGCCCGATCCCCTAGATGAAGACCCGGAACCAGTGGAGTTGGGTGACATTGTTTACTCGCCAGAGCAATTGAAGCAGTTACTGAAGCACATGCTGGAAACCATTCCAATGGGTGAGGTGAAAGTGCGCTTACTTGGGACATATCTCAATACGTCACTTGGATCGGACATCGTTGAATACCTGCAGAAACACTTGGGCGCCTCGTCCCTCAGCTATGCTGAACGAATTGGCCAGGATATGGCCGATAATGGTTTTATTACTTCGATTGGCGCCATGGGACCCAACCCGCTCGTCAACACTACATTCACCGGTAGCTCTAGGTCTACATACCAGTGGGACAAGCGTGTTTTCCAGATGACCGGAGTACCGGAGAAGAAGAAGCCACTCACTCGCTCTGGGACTACATTGAGCCGCACCAGCACTGGAACAGGAAGTGATGACAGTCCAGTTGACTCGCCTACCTTGACAGAGCGTTTTGCTGCATGGAACCCCCTCAGGAATCAGCTTACTGATGAAACGCCTATGGAAATACTCAAGCGCCAGGCAGATGAGGCCAATGAACGCTACAAACATGCTGTCAAACATCTGGATGCTATCCGCTGTAAGCTCGAAGAGGAAATGTTCCACACGATGAAATTTATGCAGCAATGTGAACTACACCGTCTGGAGGGTATCAAAACAGTCGTCATCGATTTTTCGAGCACGATCAGCAATGTCATTCCATCTCTACAGAGCACCATGGATAGAATTGTTCTTCACCATGAGGCAATGCAGCCGCAGGGTGACCTGCGTTATATGCTGGAGAACTACCGCACCGGCTCGTTTTGTCCCAAAGTGGCTGTCTACGAAAGTGGTTCAAAGTCCACAGAAGGTGAGTTACTTTTTTATCTCTTCTCTCGAAACTCCCGTAAGGCTAACCGACATTTGGCAGAACAAACCTTCGGCGTCGATTTAGAAACATTAACAGCGGCAGAGGGCAAAAAGCGAGTTCCGGTCCTTGTTACTGGTATTCTGACATACCTTGATAGGCGTAAGTGCCCCATGTCCATGATGCAATCATTCAAAACGAGATTGTGGACTAAGCGTTATTAGATTATCTTGACCTGGAGGGAGATGATGCCCGGCGAGCAATTTGGCTTCGAGACGTTCCTTTAACGGAAACTCATAAGCTGCGTTCTAAACTCAACAGGGGACGTTCTGGACCAATTGTAAAGATCGACGATGAGGTGGAAGCTATTGGTGAAAAGTTACAAGAATTCGAAATGCCTGTCGTTGCGAGCGTTTTGAGACTCTATCTCTTGGAACTTCCAGGTAAAATTTACGTTTCGCGTTGCGAGAATACCCCCTGCTAACGTTACCTAGATTCAATCGTCTCATCTAAGCTATACGAAATTTTCCGCACAATTTACACAACGACACGCGATACCTCTGATGAAAATCGTATTAGAGTGCTTCAGAGCACTCTGGGCCAACTTCCTCTTCCCTACATAGCTACCCTAGATGCTATCACTACTCACTTCTGGCGACTCGTCGATCTTACCATTCCTGAGAATGACCAATTTTCTACCCGTGAGGAGATCTACATATCTGCTCTTGCATCGACACTGGCTCCATGCATCCTCCGTCCACGCGTGCAGAATCATCTGTCTATGGACGAAAAACACAGCCATCGTCTTGTTCGTGACCTGATTGTCAACCAGAAACAAATTTTCGGGGAACTTAGACGGCTATCTAGCAAGTCAAGCAGCACCGCGTCTCGACCTCGTGCTATCAGCACCGACGAAAGCAATCGACGAGCAAACATGGAAGAAAGGAACCGTGCAATTGCTAGCAGGGCTAGAGCCACGAGTCCTGCCCCATCCCCTCGCCATCGCCGCGACCGATCCGTTGGAAGCTCGGGAAGCACCAGATTCCCGGTTAGCGTTTCTGGAGCTACTACTTCCGAACGCAAACCGGTCCGTCAATCCCTAGAAGTACCTGATCCGTCACCGGCTCCGATAGATATTGCACATAATAACACCAACGGCTCAAGCGAGGGCACGCCAGCGACGGCTGAAGACACAAACACCTCTGCCGATGCTCTAACTACTGATCGGGCATCAACACCACCATCCGCCACAACTACAACCCCTGCTTCCGCAGTACCATCATCTGTTACTAATGAAGTTAAGAAAACAGGCTCACTCTCTCGCTCTAGCCGATATAGCCATATTACCGGCATAAAGCGAGATGAAGGTGACAATTCAGCATCGGATGTTCCTCCAAAGCCTGTGGGTGTAACACTAGAGGACAAACCAATTGATGACTAAGTTTAGCCCGACCTTAGCTACCCACGGTCACCATTACCTTTTCCCTTTCTCCGTTCTCTTATCCCCGTTTCCTACCTTCTGTTTTTGTCATGATATTATGCCAAAAGCAACCGATTTAACGATATCCCAAGCAATTTTTCTACCTTCTCAACCTCAACAATCTACTTTAGCCTTAGATATGTCTTTTTGTACGATGTCTTTTTTAAGATTTATATTTTTGCCAACTTCCCACATTCGCTTTCTTGTCCCTAATGAAACTCCATTCTAGTGGTTGATACTTCACCTGAGAGGCAGATCTTCCGGTAATTGCGTATGATACCCAGGAATTAACGGAAGGGATTCTGTTGTCTAGATGCTACAGAAAATTGTCGATTCTGCATTATAAAGGCTTATTACAATTGTCAATGTGGTCAACGTTATTCAGCAGCGAACATACAAATTATTATTTTATGATATCATAAACATCTATCTATTCTGATACAAGATGCGAAATACCCACGGACAAACGCTAGAGTCAATCCGACAACAAATATTCACTAGTGGAACTCCTGGCGCTGCCTACTTCCCAACATTATTATGCTTTCAGACATCATCTCGTCATCGCCAGCAAACGGTCTCTGCTGATAAGGCTTTAGCTGCTGCTTTTTCCTAAAGAGGCCTTTAATATCTAAAGGGTCCAGAATCTTCATCTTCAAAGGCCGAGTGTCCTCAAGTGTGCCTTCAGGGCTATCATCCTCAGCTTCCATACCGTTTGCAAGCAAATAGACGTGAGGATTACTCGGCAGAAGAACTCCTGGGTGAATCACATTGAACATGGCCGCATTGATGAACATCACAAGAGCTTCCAGGCACAGAAAAGGTACTTCCGTAGCTCTAAGTGGGTGATCGATAGGAAGAAAGCTCTCTTGAAACGATTGTTAGAATACCTGGCTCAAGGTTTCGGGTATGGTGAACTTACCTGCAATATGATACCCGGACCTCGCAGCAATTAAAAGGGAAGATGCATACAGAGTGTATATGACCTTAACCCATCCGGGAGTACCCCCAGATTGCTGGTGGCTTGCTCTCCAAAATCCCCGGCTAGTGGCCCGTATCTGGAACAATAACACAACAGCAACGAAGCATGCGAACAGTGCTAGTTGTATAATAACAGCCGCCCGCACGAGGTTGACGCCCAGCTTTGTTCTTGCGCTGTTAGGATCCTTGCTGTCATTTATACCGGATCCAACCCAGACCCCAATTTCTGCTAGGAAGTCAAAGAAAATAAAGGTCCTAACCGTTCGGAGTGGGGATATCGGTGCTGCGGATCGAACGTAACTGAATATCCGGCCGCATACGAAGTAGTCTGCACCTGCATAGGTCGGACCGGCACCGAGAGTGAACATGGTGGATATTCTCCATAGTGTACGCGGGTCTCCTATTTTGAGAGCGCTTAGCGATCGAGTGACAAAGCCAACACTTGAAAATGTTGTGCCGAGGACAAACGGCATGGTGAAATTCTGTGGTCGGGTGGCTCTTGGAATGATAACGTTAGTATTGCTTCCATGTCATGGTTGGAGGTAGGAAAATCAACGATGGGAACTGGTCATGAACCTACTTGTACTGATATTCGTGGAGGAAAGACGATGCAATGTATAGAATTGCAAATATGATAGCGGCCGGCTTGCTGGGGAGGTAGTGGTATAGCTCTCTCAGTGTATCCTTTTTGCTTGACATGATGATAATCTTGGGTCTGTTTTTCAGTATGAGTATTTGCAGGCAATAGTATGAGTAGGGTAACTCGGCTCGAGATCTTGTAGATCAATAAATGAATTTTATCTGGACATGGCTGGTAGCTGGATAATTGATATATTATTTAAATACATTTTGCTCCTCAGATGTCCTCTTACAAACCCCTTGAAATTACTCGTGTCTGTCTGCGCCTCAATACACGTAGCTGAATCTAAGAAAATAATAACGTATACCCGAATAAATTGATGGACCACCAAGTATACTGATGGGAGCCGCGGATAAAACTGGGGCGGCGGAAGCTTATTCAAAGTCTTGGCCAGCGAAATTTCCTAAAGGGGAAATTTCGCGGAAGCTTAACCTTAAATCCATGTCACGTGATATATGTATTGAAAACAAAGCCTCATGAGACTTTGTCGTCTTGAGCACTTGTTCATGCATTTGCCCGTAAAGCAGATGGCTATGAATTACCCAAAAGAGAGAATAATACGAAATGGCTTAGAGTAAAATCTGTAGAGTACATATAAAAAGCAACTTTTGATTCATACATTGAGTACTCCATAAGCCAGGGCTAACTGTACAGGATTGAAGCTGAAGAGAAAGAATACGCAAAATACAAGACCAAAACTCCCACCAAACACCAATGATAGAGAAAGTACTCCTTAATAACACATTCATCGCCATAAATAACCATGACGTGGATAATTATACATTAACAATGATTAAACTTCTTCAATACTCATCGGTGGCCAGTAAGGCTTTGAGAATGGCCTCGCCTGGCCCAGAGATTTGACTTTGAATCTCTTTTTCTCCGACGAGGCACACAAGACCACTATCATCCGTCCTTGCCATGTTTTTAGCTGTGGCTGATCTTCCACGCCCGGATTTAGATGGGGTGGAGAAGAGGCCAGACGCTCCTGCTGTAGGAGAGCCGGCACCACGGCCACGAGCATCAACTTCTCCGACCAAGCCCATGGTTTCTAGGCTGCTAATAACGTCTCTAAACTCAGTGGCGGTGAGTGGCTGGAGAACATTATCGCGCCGACAAAGCCCGGAGTAGGTTTCAAACAGCTCTCTGCTGGTTGGTGCAGTAGATCGTGGCGATTTGGAGGGTGTTCTATAAACAGTATTGGCAGTTTGCTGTTTCTTGCCAAAGGAAATCATCGCACAAAGTGCGGCCTTTTGTTGCAAGTTCAAGTCCTGGAGTCTTTCAGTTGTGCCATTACCGAAAGTAGAGGATGTGACGCGAGCAACGTGAGCTACAGTTGCTCGTGGTGCGGTGACAGCGGAATATTCTGTGGCAGGGGGAGTGGGGAGAGAAGTTGATGCTAGATTCTTGTTCTCAAGCAAGGGTAGCTTGGATGAACTGGTGCTAGAAGCAGAAGTGGTCTTTTGTTGAGTCTCACGCTCCAAAAGAGAGATGGTTCGGTAAACGATATCGAAGGCTTTCCTCAAATCGCCAGACTGGGAGGCAACCTTGCGAGAACAGAGCTGTATGGCAGCTGGGTGCAGGAAAGGGACCTGGCTTGCACCATCCTGGGCTTCTTTGGGTAGCAAAGAGCGAAGGCGGGTAGTGATAACATCAGTGATTTGCGTTGGGGTATATGGAAGGAATGGAAGTAGATGAGGCTTCAGATTCTTTGCCTTTAGACGAGGTAGGAGTCGATCTGTCAAGTCTAGTGCATTTGCAATTCCAATCAGGATAAGACGCGAGTACTTGTGCAGAGACCACTCGAAAAGCTTGTACAGGATCTCGATATCTCCCGACAAGAGATGGTCGATTTCATCCAGAATGACTAGGTAGAGTGAACCAGCTGACTTCTTCGAGATGAACATTGCCTCTAGGCGCTCTGCCTCACTCTTTTTGAACACACTGGTATTCTCAGACAAGTCTTCTATGAGATTTCCGTAGATATCTCGTGCAGAGGTTAGGCTAGCACAGTTGACATTGGCAATCTTGATTGTGTCGGCAGACTTCTCGAGGTCCCGCGAAACTTCGTCAATGAGAGCGGTTTTCCCCGTTCCAGGTGGTCCGCTGACGTAGATGCATCCGCCTCTTCTCGAGTCTATCGACTCTTGAATAAAGCTTTTCATCTCCCTGGTCTCATTTTCTCGTCCAACAAGCCGGCCTGGATTGGCACTTCTGGTGAAAAGCTGTTTGGCAGCTGTGAAAATGGAACGAGTGGTTTTTGGCGTAGATGGAGTACGAGGAATTCGAGGAGTCAAGGGCTTCCCACCGACCAGTACCCGGTGCTTTGGCGTAACTGGAAGGAAAACATTTTTATATCTCTGTGTTGTTGGAGTGCTGAACTCGACAGGTTGAACATTTTCATCTACCAAACAAAATTAGACTGGTGCTTCCATTAGAGGCAATGGAAGACTAGAAAGAAGTAAACTCACCATTATCGTCCTGAACTGCTGTCCTGCTGGTCGTCTTGTCACCATCAATACGTTTCGTTCGTACGTTACGGCTTGGAGTGTTTGCATCGCTGGGGCGCTTGCGGGCGATGGGCGACCGGGAGCTGGATCGTTGTTGGCTTGTCGACGCTATAAAGGGGTCCTCCTCATCTGTATAGATCTTCTTGCTTGCCCTTGCCAGACGTTTGCTCGGAGATCGTAAAGAAGGTGCATCTACAAGTAGAAAATTCGCGTTAGATCTGGAGGAAGAAGCGCCTTGAGAGCACAGTCGGCATGCAATTACCTGGCGACTCGAAAGCAGCTCTCTGTCGTTTCCCTAGTACAGCAGAAGCCATGGCTAAGCTAGGAGCGAGGGTGGTGTAGAAAGCGAGAGGTGCGTGGACGAGAGGTCTGGTTGCTGAATTGGCAAAGCAGCAGGAGAGAGCGTGGTGATGGGAGAAGTACTGGTGGAGTGCGAGCAGAGGTACCTGCACAAGTACCTTTTCATCAAGGCGGAAGTCACTTTTTCAAGGGACGCGGTTGCGGGAAGCGCGCGCGCGCCTGAGCCTTAAAGTGGCAAGAAGGCGCGACTCTCGAGCGCGACGCGAAGGCGACGGGAAGGGAAGGTGGGCCGAGTAGGTCTTGGCAGGCACGCTCCCAAAAGAGGAATGGCCTCGTCGCAGTAGGCGGAGGAATTATTCTTCGGTTCCGGGACCAATCAGAAAATCCCGGAACTGAACGGCGGACTACAGAGACAAGAGGCGCAGCTTCTATGCACAACTTTATGCTGGGCTTGGCAAATTTACTGACTAATGAAATTCAATTGACTAATACAGTCTGACTAAGCTGAGCCTCGGCGCTAACGGGGCGGAATATCTTAAGCGCGGCCCGTTTGACGTTCCCGGGCGGCCTTGGCGCGCTTCTTCCCTTTTGTGATGCTTGTTTTTCTTTTCTTCGGCTTATCAAAATCATCGGAAGAGAGGCTAAAACACGCAGACAAGCTGATGCCTGGCGGTTCCTCGTGCTGGCATAAATTACACCCAGGAGGTCCCAGGTTGTTATTCTAAGCGGCTGACATCTTAGCTTTCCGTCCTTGAGAGTGCATTTGCCAACCTCCCTCCCCGATCCTTATATTACCCCACGCTTCATACCTACCGATCTACCTTACGAGCACCTTTCCATCGAAGCTGATATACAGAGTCGGGCCACTTCATTTTTACGCTATCTTATCTATACCTGACTTACGCCCTGCCCGGAACGGGCCACCGACGTCATCATGGCCGACACGACCGTGGCCCAGTTCGTAGAGATTACGGGAGCCTCTCCGGAGATCGCTGCCCAGTACCTACAACTGGCAGACAGCAATATTGAGAGCGCCATGCAGCTTTATTTTGAGAATGGAGGCAACCCTATCCAACCTACTGCGGACTCATCCGCTCCACAGTCATCGACAAGGCCTGGACAGTCCACCGGTTACCAAGATGAGGATGGAGTGATACACCTAGATTCTGAGGATGAGAACAATGGAGGCGTTCCTGTGGGCCAAGAGGGAGCTGCCCAGGCGGCTGGTAACACCTTTGATGCAGACCTGGAGATGGCGAGAAGGCTACAGGAAGAGTTTTATACTGGTGGTGATCCGACAGATAATGTTCGGGCCCCAATAGAGAGGAGGACAGAGACACTCGTAGGACCAGGTCTTGATAATGGATTCCAGCCAGATATAATGGAGCATCTACATTCAAGAGCGGCTCGTAGAGGTAGGTTAACACCCTGGCGTCTCTTGATCCGTGGGTGTGGCTAAAGACTGGAACAGCAGGTCGACCCGGAATCTTTAACCAAAGAGATGTTGATCGCTCCATCTGGACCGAAGGTGCGGATGCGTCAAGCTCAGACGTCCTTGCACGCGCAACCGGAGGCGCTTCTGAGGCGTCATCCAAGGCCAACATGCTTGCTGAGATGTACCGACCTCCTTTCGAACTTATGTCCCGCCTACCCTGGGACCTTGCACGGGACGAAGGTCGGGAAAAGATGAAGTGGCTGCTGGTCAATATTCAAGACTCGTCCATTTTTGACTGCCAACTATTAAATCGAGATCTATGGAAGAACGATGGCGTCAAGGAGACAATAAGAGCGCACTTCTTGTTTATGCAATATTCCAAAGATGACCCGCGCGGCGCCCAGTATATCCAGTACTATTTCCCCGGCCACGACGTAGCCGACAACTACCCGCACATTGCCATCGTCGACCCACGGACCGGCGAGCAAGTGAAGACTTGGAGCGGCCCGCCCGTAGTCAAAGCTCCTGACTTTTTGATGCAGCTACACGAGTTCCTCGATAGATACAGTCTCGACCATAACGTCCGCAACCCAGTCGCAAAACGGAAGCCAGAAGTCACTCCTCAGTCAAAGATAGATACGATGACTGAGGAAGAAATGCTAGACATGGCATTGAAGAACAGTCTTGTGGGCCCGGAACCAACTAAAGCAGAAGACCCAGACGATCTGACTCGGAGTATTGGAGATATCAAGGGCAAAGGCAAGGCTACTGATACTGGCGAAAAGGGTGATGCGGACATGTCTAATGGACCGGAAGATGAGGAGCCGTCATTCTCAGATTCACCATTTTTCAAGATACCCTCTGACAAGCCACATACTGAACCAGCTGCAGATCCAGCAACCACCACTAGAATCCAGTTCCGCCACTCGTCGGGTCGTGTAATTCGACGGTTTGCGCTCTCGGACCCCGTCCAGCGGCTCTATGAATGGCTCAAGGCGTCGCCTTTAGAAGACAAGCATGGCGTGGAGTTTGAGCTTGTATCCATGGGCCAGAATTTAATATCCTTACTCGACAAGACCATCGAAGAGGCTGGTCTTAAAAATGGAACAGTCATGGTTGGCTTCATCGAAGACTAGATAGGATATCCCTTTTGTCGCCTGTTGTTATTCCTCTCTCCTGATGCAAGATGATACGTATACACCTGATGATACCACGGCTGAACCCTATAACTCACACTTTCAAACCCTGTCTTAACTGGCAAGCAGCATCAAGAGATATATCCCTAAGCAGTCCAATTCAACTTATGGGCTTTACTTCTTCTCTATCTACGAGATAGTCCTTGATGTGTCCGGAGGGCTGATGATGATATTTACGGGAGAACTGCATGTTGTACTCTCTAACCCCTCCTCTTTACTGCCCGCATTGTGATATTCATAGGTAGATAAAAGGAAGCAATAAAGACATTCATTCCAGTTGAAGCTGATTCAGCCAGTGGCGCAAATACAAATGGGAAGCTGGCTATGTGAGTTCTGGGTCTTCGAGCTTGCCTTGTTGTCTGGGGCAGGTAAACATCGGAGAATCCCCTTTTCTCCCTATCTTCACATTTCCCCCTCTTCTCCTCTGCCTCTTTTCAACCTCTCTTCTGATATCTCACCACCCAACGCGCGAGACATCTCTGTCGCTAAAGCCATTAGCAAACCGCTGTGTGTGAGTACACTCCATGACCATTGTGTGTTGAATATTATTAGCCCTATTATCGCGCCTTTTAGCTAATTATACTAATCAGCAGTTTAGAACGCGTCTTTCTTATAGACAGGCAAAGAGAACTCCTGTGAAAGCAATCCTTCACCACATATACCTCTGTATGCAAGTCCAGCAGACATCAATGCCTGGAGACAACGGCTTAGCCATGAGCAGGACAGCATCTTCCACAAGCATCCAGGCGGCGGACCTCTCAGGGCCACCACCAACACCAGCCTTGGTTCCTCCAGCAAAGGCAAAGAGCGTATCTCCAGCTCCCGATGCAGCCCCAAAGCATTTGCCAACTGAAGGAGCCGGGGCTAGAGAAGTAGAGGACGTGCTTGGTGTTGAGAAGTTCATCATGCATCCCGCCAGCGTGTATATTGTCATCTCAGAGCCCAAGCACCAGAGTGAGAAGTTCCACTGGGGTATCATTGTGGCCCGTGGTCAACAGGAAGGCATTCTCTATCACTGCATCTTCGATGGCAGCCGGTGGGAGCTGAAAATCGAAGAGAACAAAGATATATCTGCGGACAAGACCGTTATCCTCTTGCTGAAAGTTGGAAATGTGCCTGAAGTCTCTCGGCAATGGATCGAAGCTATTCAGGAGTGCGTCACCATTGCCAATGTCCCCAGGACCACCGTGGGAGATATTTCCTGCCGAACCTTTGCCCTGGCTGCCACCTACGAGCTGGGCAATGGCGGCTTCATCAACTTATACCCGAGCTGGAATAAATTGAAGGGCATCGAGAGAGAGGCGTATCAGTTTGCCTGGCATGCCGGCAACCTCGGACGCCGTCTGGTAGTTGCTAGCCAGTGGAGTGACCTTTGACTGGATGATGATGACCTTAACGATATAACTATAAAGAGACCACAATGCAGGGGCTGATGTGCAGCATCAACCACCTATATATGACTTATGATAGATATATATTACCGGAGTTGCTAGAAGAGATAAAGGGAGTTTATAAAGGGATGAACAATGGCCAAACAGCTGGCTATGGGGATGGTGTTTTTCTTACTACTAGCTATTCACAGTGTTATCTAGTTTTTAGCTGCGCAGACGACTCTATTTATTCTTATCTCAACGTCAGTCTATCAACCTCACTCCAATAACTACCAGCAGTATCTCGCTATCTGCACCTCCATCCACACCTATATCTGCCTATGTATCAACCCAACTGCCTCTATGGCTGCTCTATATCCTGGCTCTGCGGACTGATTGGCTGGTCCTGTTGCTGGGCCGGCCAGCCAGCAGCGCTTTTTCCCGCGAAACGATGCGGCTTCGAGGAAAAACAACAACAACAAAACAACTAAACGTCGTCCTGTGGCCAAACACATCCGCCTTCACCACCTTTGCTCTACTTGCAGCATAGAATTGGCCGTCTAGGCGGTCGACACGTCGCTCTCTAGCTTTTCGACGAGCCGCCATCGCCATCCTTTCTACCGGTTGGGCGTTGTTTTGGTGGTGCCGCCCCCCCACACTCCACTCGCGCTGCACGATAGGATAAACACACCAAAATTACTCGAAGAATCCGGGAGATAGAAAGGAAGGGAAAAAAAAGGAAAGAGACAAGAGAAGCACGAATACCTTTCCATGCACGCTGCTGTGACAGCTATCGACGGCTCTACCACATCTTCTCGCAGCCTGGAGTGAGCGTCCGTCATGATGGAGGGCGCCGTCGACCCTGAAACACTCTACACAAAGCAGAACTGCATCGGTATATCCCCCCTCTCTCCGGAACCCGGAATCCGTTTGCAGAGACAGCCATCTAACGCGTCACTCTTTTCACTAGGCGGAGGAAGCTTTGGGAGGGTCTACAAGGGGTATGTCTCCCTGTGCGCTTGTCTGTTGAGATACTGGGCAATATAACTGACGTGATCTGTACCCTCACAGAGTCGACAAGAGAACCGGTCAATCAGTTGCGATTAAGATCATTGACGTCGAGAATGCAGACGATGAAGTCGAGGATATCATACAGGAGATATCGATCCTGTCGGAGCTCAATTCTCCCCATGTCACGAAGTACCATGGCTCGTTTCTCAAAGGATCGGACCTTTGGATCATAATGGAATTCTGCTCGGGAGGGAGCTGCTCAGATTTGATGCGTGCAGGGCGCATATCAGAGGAATATATCATGATTATTCTTAGAGAGCTGCTTTTGGGACTGGATTATTTGCATAATGACAATAAACTACACCGTGATGTTAAAGGTATGCCCGATACAAGCTTCATATATATGTGACCTTTTCTTTGCTAACTCGCATATATAGCTGCAAATGTGTTACTTACTGCCAGCGGGCAGGTCAAGCTGGCTGACTTTGGCGTCTCCGGCCAACTTTCCGCTACAATGACCAAGAAAAACACCTTTGTTGGAACCCCCTTTTGGATGGCCCCGGAGGTCATCAAACAGTCGGGGTACGACCACAAGGCTGATATCTGGTCACTGGGTATTACGGCAATTGAATTAGCCATGGGCGAGCCACCACTTTCTGATATCCATCCCATGAAAGTTCTTTTTCTTATTCCCAAAAACGCCCCACCCACTCTCCAAGGTGCTTTCAGCAAATCGTTCAAGGACTTTGTTGATCTTTGTTTGCGACGTGACCCAAGAGAACGGCCGAGCGCAAAGGAGTTACTTAGGCATCCGTTCGTGAAACGAGCAAAGAAGACGACATACTTGACCGAACTCATAGAGCGGTATGAACGGTGGTTTGCAAAGAATGGAAATCGACTTCCAGATGATGATGAAGACGATGCATATCATCAGCAAGAGCAAAACCAACCTGCCATGGCTGGAGGTGATGATGATCTATGGGATTTTGGCACCGTACGCCCTGCTGGAGGAAATAGAGCTGCGGGACTGCGTGCGATGAATGAAGCTGCAGCAAACGCAAGAGCACAAGTTCCCAATATGCACGCTCGTGCTCAGTCAAACAGCGGCTGTCTTCCTACTTCCCAGAAAAACATACCCAGAAAGATGTCAAAAGAAACTGTCAAAACCCCTCCGTCGCCGCAAAGACGGAATTTCCCCTCAGAAACACCCCCGGCAACACCAAATAGTCAAGTGTCTCGGGTACCTCTACCAACGCCCCAGGTTCCTCAGACACAGACACCGAGACAGTCATCTTACCATGATCAAGTAAAGACACCCGTAGGTCTCGGGAAACCACAACCTCCGTTGCCAGCACAAGAGGAGGAAAGCCCAAGTACACATGACTTTGATCGAGCCCTCCAACGGTCACTGGCACAGGATCTTAATTTCTTGAAGCTCGCAGAGTCTCCCAACAACACACCTACACAACCTCTCCCGAAACCCCCGGCCCCAGAACAAATTCATAGGAAGCCTGCCCCGATGCAACTACCGGAAATACCGCCGTTCAAGGGAGCATCGAGTTCGCCAACACCTCAATCTTCCAAGCCTTCAGGACAATACCCTGCAGCGCCTCTCTCGGCCCATCCTTCATCTACTCCTTCATCGTACCAACAACAGCAACACCCGCTTCCCTCTACCCGTCCCCAACCACCAGTCCCGTCAACACCAGAGCGCAGTCCTACTCATCAAAGTTCGCGCGACTCGCTAGACTCCATCTCCTCTCAGTCCACCGTTCATTTCTCTTCACAAGATCAATCCAATCCTAACGAACCGATTACTGCTCTAAATGGCGTTATACTGCCGGCTTTAGAAGCCGCCCTCCATCGCCGAACCTATGCCCTCAACTCCATGTGTCGAGTTCAACCGGGTACCCCAGCCAACCAACGGCCATCTACGGAGCAAGTGCAACGCCAAGTATACGCCCACGAGAAGCTCAAGAGGCTGGTTATCAAAGCTGCAGGCATCTTCAAGGAGATTGAACGATGGGATAACGAAGCACCACTGGGAATGGGTGGGGACATCAATGCCTTCCTTGAAGGCTTTTTAGAAGAAGTCCTCGTCCGCGTTGAGCCGGAGGAAGACCCATCTGAATGATCGATTCGACATCGCCATCTTTCTTATTTCCTTGGGTGTGAGGTGTTTTACCTATTTCCTGCCTGGTGGTTTTGGTTATTTCCCTGGCTGCTTCCTGGCTACTTTGCTCTATGACGTCCTCTACGTATATTGGTTTCCTTTCCCCGCCAGCTTTCATGAGTGTTTTATGCGAGCATGAAATAGCCTGATCCTGATATGTGTTTATGTTTTTAGCTATGCTTATGATTCAGATGGCCAATGATAAACGAAGAAAGAAATATATTTCGCCCGTTCATACACTTTTGCACATGCACCAAAGTCCATCAAGCACACCAGGAGAGTTTATTACTTTTTTTCGGATACGGGATCAGCAATAAGCCTCGTTTTTCCGGCGGGAGCTAATGCAGAATAACTTGGCTTGATAAAGTTATTCGTAAGACTATACGAGACATACCCTAAACAGGCACATTTTCGCAAAGAAGCTCCCTCAATGTGGCCGTCAGTGTTTTCACACTCATGGAAGAGCAATTTCAACTGGCCTCCCTTAAGAAAATAAAGGCCAGTGTTTCATTCTTAGGCCGAATGGTTCATTACATTTCCACGTCATGGTGGCTTAGCGAAACTTGATCTCACCGTCGAGTTAGCCTTCTCGTTCGAATTCCTCCCATGGAGGACGTTAAATAACTTGAGCGATACCTGCCGATAGCTCATGAATGATACTCACAACAAGGTCATATGTTTATACCCTATTTTATTATCTGCCTTTCGACGACCAAATCGCCTGGAGATGTTCCTATCGGCTATCAGTCTCCTGGCTATTTTTGCCTTCCCTGCCCTAGGTGATACTCCTCCCCAATTCGCCAAGAGTTTTCCTCCAGTCGATTTGGGATATGCGATCCATAAACCAACATATATCAATATCACTTCCTCTGGTCTTGCTGTTGCAAAATACAATAATATTCGTTATGCCCAGCCTCCAGTAGGTGACCTTCGGTTCCGCAAGCCAAAAACACCCCCACCACAGGCAGATGGCATACAAGACGGCTCTCAATACCCCTCTATGGACTGTGTCAGTAGTGCCTATCCTGGAGTTCCGTTTCCAGGCCGAAATGGCACTACCTGGGGTCAGGAAGATTGCTTGTTCTTGAACGTACAGGTCCCAGAAGGTGTTAAGGAAGGTGATCGGGTTCCCGTCCTGCACTGGATTCACGGAAGTGGATATGCATTCGGAAGCAAGGATGCCATAGGGATTACCGTGGACCCGGAGGGCTTGTTTGATAGATTGCAGAGAGATGGTGAAAAGTTCGTTTTCGTTGCAAGTAACTACCGGTATGTTTTCTTATGATGAGTCCGAAAAAGGGATAACCTCTAACCGTATTTGCAGTCTCGGTCTTTACGGGTGGATGTCCAGCCCTGAAGAGGATATGACCGCCAACATTGGGCTGCACGATAGCCTTGCTGCGGTGCAATGGACAAAGGAATACATATCAAAATTCGGTGGTGACTCTGACAGGATTACAGTTATTGGGCAGAGTGCTGGAGCCGGTATAATTAACCTTATGTTGACTTCATATGGAGGGAAGGGTGACCTTCCGTTTTCCCAGGTACATTCTGATACCTTTGTAATGTGCGTTTTTTACATTTACTAACATGATCTGAAAATGGTAGGCGGTTGTCCAGTCTCCAGCAATAATGCCTCGGAGAGATGTAGCTTCTCGCAGACAAGATGTTTACAACCAAGTTCTCAAATCTACGAATTGTACGAACCCCACCTGTCTTAGAGCCGCCTCACCAGAAGTTCTCAAGGCAGCAAACCACCATCTGATAGTTGAAGTGCCAACTGGAACCGGAGGGGCTTCGTTTGGTCCCGGTGTTGGGTTTTCTCCACTAGTTGATGGAGACATTGTCCCGGATGAACCTATGATACTCCTGGAACAGGGAAAATACCATAAAGAAGTGAAGCGAGTCATAGCAGCAAATACAGCATTCGAGGGAAACGGCCTTAGTTCTGATACCAATATGCCTGACGCGTTCCCTGACTACGTTCGAATAAACTTTCCTACTGCAAGTAATGAGACCGTCAAGCGAATTCAAAATCTGTTCCCCTATCCACCTGGCAAGCCCGAAATGCTGGCATGGGACTGGATCACCTCTGTTGTGTTTGCATGCCATTCGACCAGTATTGCAAAGGCATACGGATCTGAAGCTTACAGATACGTGATGCGTATTCCTCCGGCAACCCATGCCTTGGATCTACTTTGTAAGTTTTATGACAATTCCATATTGTTTTCGTGATACTGATATATCTCGCCTCTAGATTTCTTCTTCGTCGATAATACAACAACTCCAGTTCTAAGTGAAGTTACGGCAAGGCAAGCTCAAGGATTTCTAGGCCAATTCATCCATGGCAAAGATCAGAGTAATGGTTCACTTCCTTCGCTTGGCCATCAATCCACACCAGCATGGATACCTTATGGCTCACGATTTAACACCATGGACATTGTTGAACACGGATTTGAGCTCAAAACCGATCCCTGGGAAACAAACAGAATTTGTCGAACACTACTTGATATCATTCAAGACCCCAGAAATGGCAATTAGCTTCAAAGGTACAATGGAGGTGTTATCTCCTATGGCGGAGTACTAGGCTCATCATAGCCTATTCTTATTATATTTGAAAGCCAACGGAAAGCTGTTGGCGGAACTAGGTTCTTCCAGAGGCCTTTGGACTGAAAATTCTTAGTTGGTAGTGAGAGCGATGTAAATGCGGAAACTAATACAAACTAATTTTAATTCATGAGCTGCGTTAACATTATAGTATGTTCAAAAATTAGAATACATATGCTGCAAAACTCGCTCTCAAAACAAATGCATTTTCCCTTGGTGAAATATCCTCATTCATAGATATTGATCTACGTGGTAGCTCTAAATAACCAATCTGTCTCCGGGGTCGGAACCATATAGTTAGTGATATTGAACTCATTTGTTGCCTGTGCTGCAGCCGCAGCACCAGCGGCGGCAGCATTAGCCAAATCAGTCACTGATATTCCCCCCACCGTCGCAGTCACAGCAGAGGAGTTTGTCTGTGGCTGAGCAGATGGGACTGTTATTTGCTGAGCCTGATCCATTACCGCTAAGCCATTTATTGGCGGAGCAGCAACGTTTCCTCCTGGAAGAGGAATGCGTGGTACATTGAAGAAGTCAAAGACATCCAGATATTCAAGTTCATGAGGGCTGAGGTTGCGCTGTGGTGCAACTGGAGTGGCATTTGTGGCTTTTGGGGTAATCAATCCGCCTACAGATGCTGTGGAGCCTCCAGCGACTGGTGTATGACTAGAGCTGCCAGCCCTTGGGGGTTGATGAGATATTAAGAAGTCGAGATCAAAAGCACACCGTCTCATGTCAGCTAGGATCTTTACTGATGATGGGGCTGTACGGTTTGCATCCGCAGAACCAGATTGCTCGAACTCGTTGTATTCATCCAAAACTCGCTGTAGAATTTCGCTGTATCGCTTTGCAACCTTCCAGTATTGGCCCATGCGGCGAAGTGAGTCGACAAAAAAGTTAATTGCAGGATCTAGTGTATGGGCTACAGTCGAACCGTTGACCAGAAGCAGGCGAGCTGACACCCAGAGTGTAAATGCAAAAGGGGGACCGAATTTATCAAGGACGTTATTGTCTACGACAAACCCAGCGATTGTGCGAATTCGTTCAACAGCAGCCAGACACCGCTGGATGGCACCATATGAGGGCGTGAAAATGGGAGAACGCGTAGTTGGATAGGCAGCCGAGGAGTGCAATCGGATTATCGTGCTACGCTAAGGTCAGTGGATATAAGAGATAGGGGCTCGACGGGGGGTACATACGTTTGGTATGCTGCATGCAACATTATCCAGCCACAATGCACAGACCTAGACTTCGAAGGCGCCAAATATCTTGTGGACATGGCGAATGAATACTCTTTCGGTAATTGGTATTCCCATGCAGTCAGTTCATTATCCAGCTTCCGGTAGGTGGATTGCCACTGATTAACATCAGTTATTGCACTGATATCAACGGGTCGTTTGAGAAATAAGTGTATTTTTGACAATATACCTAGAACCTCCATGTAGAATCCGAAGGAACCCATGTACTGGCTTCGGCTCACACACTCCAACTGTTCATGGGTATCCAAGAATCTCGTCTCAACTGGTTGGTTTTTGACGAAATATTCATCCTTGCATGGTAGTTTCCGGTCCACTTCCTTAATATCTAGCGCGAAATCGAAGGCCGTGGCTATTGTGGAATACCTATCTAATAGATAGGCAGCCCAGAATAGCCGCCGCCTACCCTCATCTTCCACCCAATTCCTAGAGTCAGGAAGGATGTTGGCCCTAAGTGTATATATGGATGGAAACATGGTTGCAACTAAAGATGATGTAGCCTCTACAGCTAGGCCGAGTTGGACGACGGATCTAGCGATGACAGCAAGTAATTTCCATCCTGGCGGGCCATTTGATGTTCCAACGACGTCCAGCGTCAAGATCACCAGAGCCTGTAAGGCCGTGACGGAGGAATTATCCAAGCCATATAATATAACTTTTCTTTTGCACACGTCATGGTATCGTTTCCTATTTTCTTCATTAAGCCGTGTATCTTTTGAAAAGCGCAGAGTCGTTGCAACTATAGCGTATAACAGCATCCTATCCTCTTCGCTTAATGGCGAGGGTCCAAAGAGCGTATCCAATGTTGTTCTCCGGTGAAGTATAGGGAGCCAGCCGTTAATATGCTCAAAGAAAAGGTCGACCAATGAGTATAAAAGATCATAGGGCGGGAGATCGGCATTATGATCGACGAGGGAAACACTATCTTGATTTGAAGAGTAGGTAGGAATCCTCAAGGATGATGAGTCGCTGGTGTTAAAATGGGGCTGCTGCGTTTCCCCTGCTTGCGGCGGTACCTTTGGTGGAGAGAGGCCATTTTGGAGCTGAATTGGTGAAGTAGTATTGAATGACTTATCAGATGGCGTGGACGTCGTTTGTTCTTGGTTATATGTTGCTATAGCCGAGATACGGCGGTGCGATGTAGGAAAGCTTGAGGCTCTTGAATGGGGATATAGAATATCCTTTGGGCTGGGTTCGGGAGCAGCAGAGCGGTCTGACAGAGAACTATACAGTGTAGTCGTCGATGGGCACTGGTTCGATGGCACTTCATTTCCGGGTCGCTGTTGGGCTTGTATTATATGCGTTTCTATGAGCCGTGCTTGCGCTTGGATAACTTCCTCTAAACGATCTATGGAGAGGAGAAATCAGTCCCATGTCTCGGAGAATAAGGGGAAGCTCCACGCAATTCTACATAGGAGTTACGTTACCTAGCCGTTGTTCGAGTTCCCTTCCATACCCAGCTCTCAATCCTGGTTTCTTTCGTTCTTTGTATTCGCATGGATGGCCGTTCCGAGCACACCAGCCACAGCTGGGTTGGGAGCGATCTGCCGGGTTGCGGTGAGCTGTGTATTCTATTCGGTTTTGGAATTGGCCTATACGCACCACATTTCACTTTCCTTTGCTTACAAAGTTCGCATCTGGGTTGGTCAGCGACAGCATCATGAGTTGGCTCCTTGAGAACGTGAAGTCAAAGAAAACGATAGCAAGGAGGGTGGGTTGATATACGAGACCATCACTGGACGTTTCCTTTTCAATGACTGATCTGAGGATTGGGAAGTTTTCCGATCCGCTGCGCCGGCGTCATTGCCACTATCCTGCCCCGACCAGGCGTCTTCGGGACTTTCGACTTCATCGCGATCGTCCGCCCGTCTACCGGTCTTGACCTGAGCAGCCGGAGGTGAGGTGTTGGCATTCCTGAAGCCGTGTGGAGAAGGAAAAGTATGCTCCATCGGCGCACATTAACAAGCACTCCGGAGAGCCGATCCGAAGTACGGAGTAGCTGTATGGAGTACGGGTTGGGTTATGCGCCAGTAGGACTGCTGTCGATATGGCCGATATTCCCAGTGAACCAGGCCAGGCTAGGGAAGAGAACTGATGGAGAGATCTCGTCTGGCACTGTCCGGCGCCAGTCCCTAAACCAAGTCGCAGCGGCATCGTCTCGCCAAGGCCTCACCCCAAGCCATGTGAGGGAATATGCCGGGAAGAGAAAAGGCGTGCTGACTGGTTGGCGGAGTCTAAAAAGGTCTGATGGCTTCAGCCCTTGACCTGGGCCTTCGAGGGTCGAGCCCTTGACAGGCCAGTTGGTTTCTGGAGGCGTGGTGGCTGATCCCACCCGAGACCACGTCGTGATTCCGGGTGCACATGTCCTTCCATTGGCTGCACCATGGATAAAAGAGGACCCGGGCAAGGCTCATACTTATCTCGACCATATTCGAGCCTTTAAAAGGCTCTTTAGTGATAGCTTTGACAAAATCCTTTAATTATTATTCAGTCCTAAACTGGAATGATTGCGACATTAGGGTAACTAACCGGTTACGCCTCTCAACTCTCCAGATCCCAGATGAAAATCGGCGTTTTTCATATCACCATGGGGGACACCGGAAATTACCAACCAGACATTAGTCCTCATTCGAATTTAACGGCTTCATGGTACTAGTTAATAAATCGGAGGATATTCTCAGAAACTGTAATGTTACACCAAATTTCGATTTCTGAGGGCGCACATGTCTCAGGAAAATTCGGAGCAGAAATATCATTCACGGGAAGTATTAGCGAATTTTCCGCCGCCCCATTATTTTTTTATGGTACGTTGAGGATGTCGCAGCGTGCGTGGGCTTGGGCTATTTTTGAAATATTTTTTTATCAGAAGCCCAGGATCTAGGATTAAAAGGCCTCGCTCATCGTGTCTGCCATGGTTCATCCTTGGCCGCATGAAGAGAAAGATATTCGGTCACAACGACCTCCTTTTTCTACCGGACAACGTCGTTGGCTCGTTGCTCGCGTCAATTCTAGCCGGAGGGCAGTGAGCTGTCTGTCTATTTCGTTTTATCGATTGCTGTCTCGTATGAGGCTGGCCCTTCGCGTGGCTTTTTGCACACTCGCTTGTGGAAGACAATCTGAGGACCAACATCAGCAGCTTCATGACCTGAAGCCTGGCCAATTGATGCTCACACTGCTGAGATCCTTATAGCTGACTCTCCTGAGCCCATGCAGCCAAGTTAGCTGGTTAACAGTATGTTTAAACCAGGGGCGAAACAAGCGATATCTCAATATTGCCATAGTTAGCTCGGACCTCGCGAGATCAAAGCCTTTCGCGTGCTGGACGCATATACTGGCCTTACCCCCACTCTCCATGGTGAACCGGGCGGGTTAATAGACGAAAGCTGACCCTGTCTCGCCGTTCAATTGCGATGCTGATGTTGATGTTGAAGAGTTCGAGGTTGAAGAAGAAAAGATTGCCATTTACGGGTGCTTACATAACTACTATCTCGAAAGGGGCAGCCAACTTTTTTTCAACCTCAAAAATTCAACGTTAGACGAAATCAACATCTCGCTTCTGCCTTCAATTGCTGTGTATGGAGAGCTAAAACCACATCAGGACCCAGAATTCTCGGGATGTGAGATGTCAAAGTGACGCCCGCATAAAGCCTGGCTGTATGGCGTGGCGTCCTTTTTTTTTTTTTTTTTTTTTGATGACATCCTGGTTGGGTGCATTTTCAACCTCGTAGAGGTGACAAGATGGCTTGCTCCCAGCAACTGAAGGATCGATTCAAAACTCATATCAAGCCCATATTTCTTCTTCGAGGATTGATATAGGATACACGATCATTCATTCAGCAGGACTTGGCATCTATATCACGAGTGCATTGACGAGACGTTGATACGACCACATTCCTCCAGCAGCATTGCCAGGCCAGCCTACCTATCGACTCAGGTTGTCAGTTAAGATCCAAAAAACGTGGTAATGGACGGTGGATTCGGGAGAACCGGACGGAGAACAACCTTGATGTGCTGCATAAGCTAGCGGGAAAAATTGTCAGGCAACGTGGAAGCGTGATATGTCATCTTTCTGAGCTCGAGCACCATTGATACATATGCAACCTCCCCGGGTTTCACACAAATCGTCTTCTCCTTCTAGTTACCAGGAATCTGGAGAAACTCGTGGATCCACGGGGCAGGCGGAAGGCCTCCTCGGTACAAAGCCCCCTCGGTGTATCTTCACCCCGAGAAGCTCTGGGCTATGTGGAGAATGGAACCGCAAATTCACCAAGGATAACACGTTCGTATGCTTAAGCTTGCGAAGCGGCTAAATCGTCGCTACAATTGCTGTCTTCACCCCCAAAGTTCGCTAAAGCCCATGACCATATCTGTCCAATATCTACGGAGAGCACTCTGATATGCAAATTATCAGGGTATACCTGGGCATTGCGCTATTATACTCTGATCCACCCAGGACAGTTTCCACCTCTCATGAGCTCTCTCGCTGAATAACACGAGTTCATACCGATACATTACCCGCATGGCGGACCGTGGCTACAAACCGAGGAGCTATATATACCTCATGCGGATTCCATCATACAAGGACCTCCAGCAAGTCAGACGTTCTCAGATGCATAATATTCAACCTTTGTTTGTCCATATCTTACCAACGCGGCATCATGACTACCGTATTTCCTACTATTAAGGCGATCAACACCTTTATTATCGATGGTGTTGGTTCGGGAGGCGATTATCACAATGTATGTTGCTTTCCCTTCTCCAGTGAGGTTTACTGTTTGCACGTTAACATTTTAATTCAGGTCAAAGGTGGACATTGGCTCATTGACTCTCCCATTGCGACACCGATGGCACGATGGGAGCAATACCGAAGCTCTCGAACTAGCTGGGGTATAAATGTCCTGGGGTCCTTTTGCGTTGAAATAGAAGCAACGGATGGTACCAAGGGGTTTGCAACCGGGTTTGGGGGCCCCCCAGCATGTTGGCTAGTAGCACAGCATTTCGAACGATTCCTGATAGGTGCGGGTATGGACCGATTGATTTCCAGTGTCTTCTCGCTCAAATACTGTTGTTCCGCATCTGACAAATTTTCTCTCAAGACCCAAGAGACACCAACAATACATTCGAAAAGATGTACCGGGCCTCCATGTTTTATGGACGCAAAGGCCTCACAGTTGCAGTCATATCAGTCATAGATCTAGCTCTCTGGGACTTGCTGGGCAAGATCCGTAACGAACCAGTTTTCAAGCTTATCGGTGGTGCAACCCGTTCCCGCCTGGATTTTTACTGCACCGGTCCAGAGCCGGGTTACTCAAAGTCCATGGGCTTTTCTGGTGCTAAAGTAGCGCTGCCCTATGGTCCTGATGAAGGTGCAAGTGGTCTAGCTAGGAACGTGGAATATCTCCGACAACAACGGGAGAAGGTCGGCTTAAACTTTCCGCTAAGAGTTGACTGTTACATGTCCCTGAATGTTCCATATACAATCGAGTTGGTCAAAGCTTGCGAGACCGCGGGTATCAACATTGACTGGTGGGAGGAATGCTTGTCTCCCGATGACGTCGACGGCCAGGCCCTACTCAAAAAGGCTCATCCAACTATCAAGTTCACCACCGGTGAGCATGAGTACTCTAGATATGGATTCCGAAAGCTTATCGAGTCCCGAAATCTAGATGTTGTACAGCCAGATGTTATGTGGGTGGGAGGAATGACCGAATTGCTTAAAATATCCGCAATGGCAGCCGCTTACGATATCCCCGTTGTGCCACATGCTTCTGGCCCTTATTCTTACCATTTTGTTGTGTCTCAGCCGAATTAACCATTCCAGGAATACCTGGCTAACTCACCTGACGGAAAGACGGTACAGCCTGTATTTGGCGATTTGTTCCTGAACGAACCAATTCCTTCCAAAGGCTATCTTGATGTCAGTGCCTTGGATGAGCCTGGCTTTGGGCTTAAGTTGAATCCCGCCGCGAAGCTCATACCTGCACGTTATATTCTTGCTCCCAGCCCGCAGGAATCGCTTCGAGACAATAGCATTGCTTCATGGAAGGATGGAAAGCATGGTAGCGAAGATTCTGTCCCAGTGACCAATGGGATTGCACCACGGCAGTAACTATAATGTTCTGATAGAGAGTATAGTTGGCTGCTACCTCAGCTCTTTCTCAGCGGCTGCACCTATACCTATGAATATGTAACACATGGGTGTAGCACCTTCGGATATCTGTGCCTTCTGATGATTGATTGTTTGCTATCGGCAATCCCGGTTCCAAGTAAAATTTCCAGCAGATGTTAAACTTGTATTTCCCCTTGACCCCAGTAGAAAGAAGGTATGATTAATGTATGCGTACACTCTATATTAAATAACTCAAACGACTCAATACTTAAAGTAGATCTAAATTAACAGCATAAACAATTAGCAATTGTTATGCAGATCATCAATTTGACTTCTGAATAAGTTCGCTTCGAAGGAACGGGATATCCACGCCAACAACTCTGCCAGCCTCCTTATCAACAGTAAACACGATCCTGTCCATCGGTACGCCAGCGTAATATAGCCAATCTACGGTCTGCCATGACGTGCAAAGAGCCTCAAGTTTTCCTAAACCCGGGAGATCAGATGCTTGTTCATTGACATTTGGTAGTAAGTCAAAATTAATTCTCCAGTCCTGCTCAACGAGGCTCTTGTTGTCATTTGTAACAGTTTTCTCGATGCCAGTAGGATATACCCTCATTTCCGAAGCAAGCTGGCCCACGGTAGCAAGGGTAGCGGACCAAACTTTGCGAATACCCTCAAGTATATCAGAATCGTTGCGTGAGAGGGATTCCAACTTAATACCCGTGCCATTATCGATTACCGTTTTAAGCTTGATCGGGACATAATTTGTTGCGTCTTCGTTGTCACTTTGCTGGCTCGTATATTCACCGACATACATCTCTGCCTGTTTGCGAGCCTCATCTTCAACAGCAGGAAGTATAGCACTCAGCACGGCCTCATTGATGATATATGCAGCCTTAGAATCTAATGGCCCGGCTGTAGAAAGAACAACACCGACCCCGTATTGATCAATAACGCTGATTTGGGAAATATAACCCGGAGCACCACCACTTTTTCCATTAATATCAATCGTATGAGGGTGTTTTGGAGTCATACCAGAAGTTCGTAGAATTTCCCAAGGCTGGCCAACGAGAGTATTAAGCGAGGAAGTAGAAGATCTTGGTTGGAGCCATTCTTTGGTAGCTTGGGGGCTTTGGAGGATGGAATAATCAAGGATTTTGGTGACAAGGGTAGATAGATCATTCAACGAGGAGTACAAGCCACCTCCACTTGTATACCGGTTAGCATCTTGTCAAGCTAAACGAAAGATTGGCGACATACGGCGCATTATACCCATAATCGGCACCCCATCCCTGCTGCTCAACATTGGGGATAACCGCACGCTTATCTTCTCCAGGAGAAACACCGGTGTTTCTGAGATTGAGTGGACGGATGACTTGTTCTTCTAACATCTGAGCATAATTTTTACCAGTGTCATTGGCAAGTGCTAGGCTAAAGAGCGTGAACGATAGCTGGGAATAAACCGGCCGTTCGTAAGGCTCAGCAACCGGATCAGAGTTGGCAAGCTTGGTAAGAAGCTCTGGATAGTGATTAGTAGATGAAATAATAAGGTCTCTGCATCTACAAACCTTCTGGTGTACAGCCTTTATTCAAGTCTGCAATTCCACATGGTGGGTAATCACTCTTGTTTAGAGGCGGGAATCCGAGAGCTAGATATAGGGGTTCTAGAAAGTAGAATTGAAGTACCCCGACTAAACAACTGTCAGTATTATTTTCCATGTAACCATTCGATATTAAGACGAACTGGTATTAGCTGGAATCCCGGAAAGGTGTTCTGAAAGAGAGAGCAGGGAGATATTATCCCAATCAATCGGCGAAGATGCGTTTTTGAGCTGCGGAAGGTATTTGGTAATCGGATCTTGTAGATCCACGTCCGACTTCAAGAGAAGCAAGTCAGAGAATACTTTCGATACCGACCCAATCAGATACTGAGAGTCACTGTCAAGATGCTGGGTCCCATTGACATTCTTCTCCGCAAGATGATGGTACTCCCACAGGATGCCGGTACTTGGATCTCCGCCGTTAGGAGAGACGATAGAAACTGAGAATGACGTATTGGCGACATCCCAGCCTGCTTTTATCCTCCCTGAAACTGCATCATCCAGTGATCGAGCAAGCCTCTCAGTAGCGTCTTTGATATGCGGTGACTGGCTCAGCTCTGTTGGACGCGGCAGCAATGCTCCGCTAGGTGCACATCCGGGGACGGAGGCAGATAAAGTAGTTGCTGCGTATGGCAACAAAAGCCATAGAAAGCAAGTAACCATGATAGATTGTGGGTATAAGATGAAACCAATTCCGAATATAGTTATCTTGGTTGACATGAAGTTCTCCGTCTTCAACGTTCTGTTATGCACATTTTATATCCCATGTCCATACATATCAGCCAATGCCAAAGACGGTAATTTGTCGTTTACCAGACAGTCCACGGAATCTTGCAGCCGAAAACTGGCCTTTCATCTTCAGCTATGATGGTTATCGAGTGGCTCAAGTCGCGGATGGAGAAAGATGGAGAAACGCAGTGTCTATCCTTGCCACAAAAGTCAATAAAGCGTATTCGGCTTCTCGTATTCCAGCCGCTAGTCAGTTCGTCGACTTCTCCTTCCACTTTTCATAATTAGCCCTGGCTAATGAGCATTGCTTAACTCGGGAATAAGTTGTATGTTACGTCGTCGAGACCAAAGATGGCTTCTTCAAGGTTGCTGAGCGAGAAGGTGGCTGCAATAACGGGGGGATTGACAGGCATAGGACGTGTATGGAGACCCTCTGCTCTGTCTGCTCGAGGCACTGATGCTGACCAGTGGTGGTTGTATGCATGTTCATCCCTCTATTCCGAGGTTCGACATGTAACCATTCAGTGTTTTTTTGACTTAGGCGATTGCTCTAGAGTATATTAAACAGGGCGCCTATGTAGCTGTCAACCATCTCGGGCTGGACAATGAGCAGGAATTGATATCAACGCTGAAGCAAGAGGCTGCCGATATTCTTGCTTCTGAAAACAAGGTGGTCTCATCTAGTCGAAGGCTCATCACTGTCGCCGGAGATGTTTCGTTGCCAGAGACGGGGACTGATTTTATCAGAGCGACAGTATCGGCCTTTGGTCGACTGGATATTTTCGTCAGCAATGCTGGAATATGCGAGTTTAAAGAATTTTTAGAGTATGTACAGCTAGCTATCTACCATCACTCCTAAAAAGTGGCTGGAAACTGTCTAATACATGTGATAGGATATCGCCTACGCTGTTTGACAGAACTACATCTGTCAATCTAGGTGGTGCATTCTACGTCACCCAAGCAGCTGCTCGGCAAATGGCACTATCTCAGTCTCCTCCGGGAGGGTCAATAATCGGAGTTTCATCCATATCTGCCCTTGTCGGTGGTGGCCTTCAAGCCCATTATACCCCTACCAAGGCTGGTGTCTTGTCATTAATGCAATCCTCCGCCGTATCTCTGGGGAAATATGGAATCAGATGCAATGCTTTACTGCCCGGAACAATACGCACGGGACTCAACGAGGAGGACTTGAAGGATGACAAGAAAAGAACGTACATGGAGGGTAGAGTGCCTCTTGGTCGTCTAGGTGAACCCAAGGATTTAGCTGGCCCTGCTGTGTTCCTAGCCTGCAATGAACTGAGCGGTTATGTGGTGAGTGTAACTACTTTAGCTGAATCTCTATCATAAAGTAGACTAACTCGGAACTTAGACGGGTGCGCAGCTTCTAGTTGATGGAGGAATGTTTGTGAATCTTCAATAATAGCTCTGTACTACCAAGATGTCTACTCCTATCACCAGTTGAAACGACAGATCGGGGCCGGATGGACCGTACGATCTTCCCTCTGACGTCAATTGTCCGCTCGGTGTATCTATCACCGAGATTAATCGGAAGTTTAACTTGACAGCCCAATCCGACAGGAGAGCTTCGTAGTAGTACAAGGACGGAAAGAGGGCTGTCAGCTGGCTGGTGGACTATGAGAGTTTTCAATAATGTTTCCAAGATATAGATAGTAACCAGTCATCCATTTTGTATTCTACATACTTCTTTCCAACTAAACCTGATTAACGTAAATAGCTTCGGCATCGTAATCTATAGGAACTATGAAGAGCTATAACCTGACAAAAAAAAACTATGTCTAAGACGCTGAAAAACGTGAACGATGGAATAAGGCTCGGGAACAGCCACGAACCAGTTAAGCATAAACCAAAATAAAAATCAAACAAACATGAATATCCAAACATGTCCAACGCCGTACATTCATAAGCAGAACCATGCTCGAATTCGTTTCATTCCCTAAGAACCCTCGATTTGATTTCCTCTATCTCAGCCACCAATTTGTTTATTTTCGCCTGCATAGCCTCGGCTTTCTTTTCGAATCCCGGGATCACAGTTCCGTCATCCCTCTTGAGTGCATTAAGTTGCTTCTGGATATCCTGTCCCAGTGACTGTATTTCATAAAAATATTGGAATTCGACTTTCCCTTTGAAACATATCCCGTATCCTTCGCAGTAACAAACATGGTCCTCTGGACACAATTCTGCAACTCCTGCAAAGACGTACTGCCATAAATATTCCCACACTCGTCCTGACAAGCTATCGGATAATGAGGTTTCGAGAATCCAGTCTCGATAATATATATAAGTTTCCCGGGGTATTCGCCGGATTCGATCAGCACTGACTGCGAACTGGGCGCAGCATGGTTGTGAGAGCACCTCAGGCACGTCGGTACCGGGGAATAGCTCTAACCGGGAGTTCCCTATCACAGCTGCTTCAGGAATGCTTGAGAGGTCATCACCCCCGGCAATTGGATGGATATGGTCAGGACAACCGGGCTCTGAATGGCAACGAAGGTTCATATAGCCGTCACGAATGATTTTTTCGCTCCGAAGGCGTTTGACCATCTTTGCAGAATCCGAATCCAAGAGATCATTATTATGCCATGTAGTCAAATGAGCATGCATAAAAATGGAAATATCAGTAAGGTTATAATATCGGTCAATGATGTACGACAAATAGACCATCACTTCGTGTCCCTTGTTTTTCATCACAGTGAGTGGAGCACTGGAGTTGTTGACAACATAAACGGCCGTCTGTAGGGTTGGATCTTCTCGTTGTAGCTCGTCGACCCAAGTTGTGTTTTCCTTCTGGACACTCGCTATAACAAGGGTGCGAGTATAAGTCTTTCCAGGCTTGACCACACCCGGAACAATAGGGCCGGCTGGTTTCATTCCCCGTTGTCGATATGACCCCAGGGCGCCGTTGAAACTTGCTCGGCCATGTCGCGCAATATCGGTGAGATAATAACCTGACGTATAAATGGCAAGGATGCTGAGGAGAGCAAGACACGTCAAGCTCTGCAATCGATTTGGTCGCAGTGAGTGTTTCATCGCGACTCGGTATATCTAGACCGAACAAGATACTTCCCCTCTAAATTTTTTCCCCCTATCGATACTCTCATGTTCTCACTCCCTCGAGGGAATCGATGGCAGCTCCCATCTCGATGAGATCTTGCGAAGGGGCTGATGCATCGCACCAGCGGGAGCTGATTGCGTAAGAAGGTCGCAAGCAGTCTCGGCTTTGGCGGCTCTTACAAGACATCTTGGCCAATTAGTGAACCGAACTTGCGTTGATCCATGTAAATATGTGGTCCCCGTATAACCAAATGGCCGTCATCGACCAATGAAATGCGGAACGGGTGGATGCATCTTGATCGATTGTGCTGGAGATCCTGCTTCCTGCGACAGTTTGGAGAGACACAGCCTTTCTCTCCGTAGGTAAATGGAATTGGCAATGGCTGTGTTTTTCGATAGTTGGCACATCTAGATGTTGATTCAGATTCAGAGTTATTCGTAACTGCCAGCTTGTAACGCACTGGAGAGCTCATTCAAATTCTCTATCTTGAATTGTGGCGAGACCAGCAGTTTTTGTTCATAAAAACGAGAACCTGTGAGCATTGTCGTTTTGCACCTTGAGAAAGCGTGAAATTGAACTGATTTTTGTTGAAGTTGCTTTCTACACAGGATTGGAGCGTTCAAGCTACGAAACTGTGATGCATATAGAACCACAAATGCCGCCTCATGAACAGACCCAGAGTCGAAAATCCTAGAGATTGTCGTAACCAGATGCTGATGTCTAATGAGATATTAGTGTTGTTAGTACAGTCGTGCGGGCCAAATACCTTAACACGGTTAACCCGTTAGTATAAAGAACCGATGTTGAAAAACCATGGCTTTAAGCTACACGAGTATGCTCTTGCTCATTGCTAAAGAGTGTCGATATGATGAACCTCGGAAGAATGACGTGGGTAAAATCTGCTTGTTATTTCTGTCAAAGGGAGTAAGCTTCACAGCCTACGGACCTATATGCATGTTATCTTGTCGGCAAAGTTGTGACTCTATCCCCAGTATCGAAAGTACGCCTCCGCGCATGAGCCTGTGGCCACTTCGTACTGGATGTGACGCCGGGTAAGTCTGAACTGCACATAACATTGTTTTCTACAAGGGCCCAAGAAAAATTGGAGGATTGTTCACTTTAATATGTTCTCGCAATTCGTGCATTGCTGGTGGCAACTATTGCTGTAACCGGACTATCCAAAAGTATCATAACCTAACAGTTTGCTGGGGTAATCTTCTGATAGGTACTCACACAGTGCTTAAGAGGCCCAGCATATCACACAGGTGACACACACGACATGTGTGTTTCCGGGAAGCTCCACGGCTTTTTGTCGCGCGAAACTGCTTGCTCTTTGTCGTTGAAATCTCGGTCATTTTCTAGTGATCCTATCAAAGAACTGCTTCCCGGTCGCCTTTTCCGGAGAACAGGCCATAAACAACTGGGAGATATGTCGAAAGATTAATGATCCGGACGTCTTAATCCCGAGGGCCCGATGTGATCCCTTGTTGACTTCACCAGGTAGCAGAGTATGGAGTATGATGCTGAGCTTGTGCAGGAAAGCAATGCGAGCCGGGAGTTCGGCTTAACACTGGCGATACGGAAGTTATTCCGCTGGAGATTCTCTGGTGAGAAACGCTCGGCCTGCTTATCACCACGATCCATGGTATAAATGAATTGGATATATCGATACCAAGGAGCAGACTAGCTTGATAGAGCCAGGGTTTTCACTGAAAGGCTTATCATACGAGTTATACCATTCCTTGAAGTTATTATATTAGACTCTTCGGTGTTGGGTGTTGGACTTCAACTGCTCTCAAGGCACAACGGAATGGGGAAAGCTGGTAAAAAAAAAAAAAAAGGCGGGTGCTGGGGGGAAGTTGCATGTATTCATGACTCAATTCAAATTTTTCATGCAAGCTGTTTGACCGCTGCAAATGCCGGATGGGGGCGGTCTCTCGGAGGTCAAATGCAGTGAGAAACTGGCTCTCAAGCCAAGTGGAATTTTCCTTTGCATCGGATCCCACGACCGAAGAGGCACACGTCGAAATCAAACACTCGGATGTTTCTCGTACCATCTTGCCATTGCAGGCATATGTATGCCGGCTATGAATTACCCGAGATGCAGGCTGCCATATTCCCAGCTAGTGACAAAAGGCTGCAAGAGCATGGGTCATCTTTTCTTCAGCGCGAGGAAAGAAATACCTCACAGAGAGAGGATTAAAGCCATTATCTGCGGAAGTGCCAGTGCAGAACGCCTCGCCGGGTCAAAGGGAGAAATCCCGCCGTGCGCCCTCAGCAACCGCAAGACAAATCCCTTGTCCGTCTCAGCCTGCTGTCTCGCTTGTCTATCAATCATCGCGAGGCTTCAAAATCTGAAAACAAAAACAGGAACAAACTTTTTTACGCTTAGTAAGATTCTTAATAATAAACATATTATATAATACATTTTTACTTTTAAAAAGATAACTAATTAACTTTACCTTCCGCTAAGTGGGGTCGTCTAGTCCTAATTGGGCACTAGCGGACGGGCCAACCGCCGACTTTGTTTATTTTGACTTCGGACGCTTCTTGCCTTGTTGCGAGTGGCTGGCTGGCGCTCATATAGCCCCTTCTGCCCATGGATACTGACTGCTATGACCTATGACACCATATAGCATACTTCCGTACGGAGTACCGAGGAGTTTTCTTCCGCTAACACCACTCAAGATGTGGTGGATATCAGCTATTCAGCTAAGAGGAACAAAATTTCAGAAACAGGATCAAGGGCACAATCCTGTAAGAACTGAATGTTCACCTTAACTGAGGAGCCTGGTCCACCATGATTGATTACTGGATTGGGAATCTAGCGAGGCCCTACTCCGTACAACGGGTCATGATTCCCTCAGAAATCCGCAATTTAGGCAGGGATTGTAATGATATCATGGTGCGTCTCGGTTCTTTCTGCCAACCACCAAGCTGCCCTGCCCTGTCTTGATCCGGAATGGCCAGTGGACTTCAATATCAATAAACGGACATAGCTGGTCCTCACCTGGCTGGCTATTAAGTGCTAGCACACTAGCAGCTCTAACTCTGTTAAGGAGAGCGGTTGAGACAAAGATTTTGCCTCGAAGCCAGCGCGTTTGTCTCATGCAGTCAAGGTCGCCAATCGACAACTAAATTAGCTTGTTGAGAGCACGTCCAATGGGCTGCGAAGAGCGAATCTGTTTTGCAGTATTAGCGCAATTCTGAGCAGCAGCCAACCGCTTGTATCCGACTTTTCGAGAAATGGCTGTTAAGCTGTCTCTCTCTCTTCCACACGGACCACTTCCTGCTCTAAAACCCCAGGGATCTGCCGGAATTTTGATGCTTAGCTCTTTCCAGGCATTTCACATGTATCCACATCAGCTCAATGGGTCAAACCTGTACTTATTCGCCATGGCTGCCATATCTCTCGCCATGGTGAAAATACGACTCGAGATTGGAGGGTGTATCGGGACCGGTCAGACAGCCAAGAGGCCCGAGTGTCTTGTTGTCTTCCTTGCCCTCAAAATGGCTATACGGCAATTTTAATAATGATATACGGAGGGCTGTCCTAGGTATGGGTCAGCCTGGAGGCCCAGAGTTGATTCTGGCCAGAAGTCTCAGCGAGAGGAAACTCAGAATTAACCGGGCCAAGGATGGAAAAACTTAGCTACAGGGTGAAGTATGCAACGGACAAAATTTCTGGTCGATTCTGGAATTTATGCTGGGATCATATCAGGTCAGAGCTGATGTTCCGTAAACCTCCGTGTGAATATTCACGCTCAAGACCCTGTCAATGCATTGGCAGAGCTTGCTGCAAGTAATTTTTCCCAGACATCTTAGCGAATATTCCGTGGCCCGGCAATCAAGTTACCCTTGCATTGTCCCTTGGATTCTTCTTGCAAGCTTTTTTTCTGAGCGGCTCGTCTTCGTTTAGCAAAAGCCATCCCATGGCCTAGCCAGAGAATATACGCCGGACTTTAGAGACGCGTAGAATTTTCTTCTCTTTCCTTCCCCATGGTGTACCTATTTATGCAAACACTTCGCCATTATTTCCGCTGGCGAGAGCGGGCCTCGGCTCCGGTTTCCGAGTGCAATTACTAGATGGATGTTTGATGATGTGATTTTTGTTAGTTAGCTATTGGGGGGAGGGGGCAAGGGTAGCTAAAAAAAATAAATAAATCCACCAGGTGATTTATCGCGGCTGAGCTTTTTATGGTAACTTTTCCACAGGCCAGGTGCTGGTGGAGGAATGGAGCAGCGGACTTAATTTAGAAACGGTGAGACCGGAAATATGCAGGCCAGGGGGGAAGTGGATGATAGCAGGGATGAGCTGGCTATTATTATATCGACTTGCCTAGCGTCTAACTAGTGCATTCAATACATGAAAAGCCTTAACGATGCAGAATATTGGGCCAAGCGGTGGCTGACAGACGACCATTGAATTGCATGAGCGAGCACCTCTTCAGTCCTGATAGGATCGACAGCGTCCAGAATGCAGACATGGGAATGCAGACAGAAATCCCGCGTCTGCGGTCCACCAAGAAAGAATACCCCCTGTTCATTGTGGTTGTGACGGAAGGTCGAGAAGGACGGATTCATCCGCTGGCAGAGCAACTGAGTGACTGAGCGACAATTGGGGTATATAAAGGGGATCACAATCGCCTGTCGAGTCGATATTCATCCAGACAAAACAACCAGCACTCTAAAGCCAACAAGCCTCAGCCAAAATCTCCAAGCACAAGCACATCTTCCTTGATACTTCTGCACCCAGCAAGAAAAACTCCAGCCTTGTCAAGATGTCTGTCCTCTCCCGCGCTATCCAGCTTGCCTTTGTCGCACTTGGCCTCTGCCTCTTCTTCTCCAACTTGGTTGCTGCTCAGCCCATCGCCGGTCCTTCCCTCGGTGTCTCCGTCAAGGCCGTCAACGGTGTCTGCCGCGCCAGCAAGGCATGTGAGCTCGAAGTCACTGTCCGCAACACCAACACCAAGAAGCCAGCCACCGTCCTGACCTGGAACACTCCACTTGACGCCTATGCCGACCAGCTCGGTGTCTTCGAGGTCCGTGACAGCAAGGGAGCCGTTGTCCCTCTCGACTTCATCCAGATCCGCCGCATCACTCCTCCCCCAGCCTCCGACCTCGTTGAGATCAAGGCCGCCAGCTCCGTCAAAGTCAAGGTCGCTCTCGAGACTCTCTCCCGTGCCGAGCTCCCAGCTGGAACCAAGTACACCATCACCGCTACCGGTTGGTGGCAGGCCGTCTGGGACCAGCCCAAGCAGCAGGTCGTCAAGACTCACCTCCAGGAGCTCTCCGGTGCTTTCTCTGGCAACTTCAACTCCAACTCCGTCCAGGTCACCAAGGTATGTTCATCCAGCAGTCCGCAGCAATCAGCGGTATGATAGATCCCTTGCTAACTTGTCCGTCCTTGCAGGCATAAATGCACACTATCACCAACGATTCAGCCCAACCACGAAAACAACAAAAATGTACAAAGTAGTACATAGATGATGATGATGGATGGACCAACCACTGGTTCTCTCCCGCGTTCCTGACGCTTGATGACCAATTACGCTCTTTATGTCCCTGGCTTTGATGATGCTGGCCCAAAAATATTGTGAAGTGATTCTTTAGCGACGAAGCGAGTCGGTTAATTAAATAATCAGATAATAATAATAGTCATTAACACTCACTACTCTTGTCCATCTTTGAAGTCAAGTAGAGTAAATTGGCCGAAATCAACTCGATAAGAACTTGGGTTGTGGTTGGAATATGGTTGACTCCAAGTAATTTAACTTAACTAGCTAGCCGTGCCCACAAGGTTGCTTGCGGATCTCTGCTAGTTAACTCTGGAGTATCTATCAACAACACAACAACTACCAACTTGACAAATGTCGGCATAGCTTGAGCATGGCTACTCCAATTATTGACTCTCATGTGCATCTCTGGACAGCCTCGCAGCTGGATATGCTAGCATGGCATTCACCTTCTAATCCGCTGGGCTCGCAACATTCGGTTGAAGAGTACCTTGATGCTGCAGTATCGTCTCTGCCAGCCGAGTACTCTCCTAAGGGCTTTATATACATAGAGACAGATCGAAGATCATCGCTTAGACCCCATGATTGGACCCATGTTTTCGAGGAGATATCATTCATCTCGCGGATAGCGTGCGGGACTCCGATCGAAGGAGAAGGACATGTCTCGTCAGACAAGAGATTGTGTCTCGCTATTATCGCTTGGGCACCTGTTCCGCTAGGACCGGAAGGATTACAGCTATATATGGCCAAGATACAGGAAAAGACAAAAAACAATGGAGGAGATGTGTGGGGAAAGATCAAGGGAGTGAGATATCTTCTCCAAGATAAACCAAATGGCACCATGCTGGAAAACGGCTTTATTCAGGGCCTACGATGGCTTGGGCAACAAGGACTGACATTTGATCTCGGAGTCGATGCTAGGTGGGGTGGACTTCATCAGCTTGAAGAAACGGTGGAGCTAGCAGGAAGATTATATCAATACGGCAGCCAGGTGAAGTTGATACTAAGTAAGTCTTCAGTATCCCTTGCTCTATTATATCAATAGTTATCTACTTCTCACAACCTGCTAAATAATGAATAGACCATCTGTGTAAGCCGAACTTACGCATATCACCGTCTGAAACTTGTCATCAAGAATTCATCGATTGGAAAAGGCGGATTACTTCTCTCTCGGCTTATTCCTGCATCTACATGAAGCTCTCCGGTCTCTTTTCTGAACTGCTGCCTCTGCCTGCAGAGGAGGGGCGAGGCGATACATACCAGGTATCAACTACCGTAAATGCCATACAGCCATGGACAGACGTCATATTCGATACCTTTGGCGCTGCAAGAATCATGTTCGGAAGTGATTGGCCAGTCTGTAATATCGGAGGTGGCGGAAACTTAGTTACCTGGACGAGGTGGATGAGAGTGGTCGAGCTGCTGCTGGAGAAGAGAGGGCTAAGTGAGAGTGATAAGAATAATATCTGGCATCTCACTGCTCAGAGGGCATACAGTATCTCCCCGTCTTGAACCAGATGAAGCACCACCTTTCTAGCCAATGTCCATGTCTGTGTTCTACAGCGCAGATGACATTGTGCAGCCGAGGTTGGACAGCACCAGCTCTCCTTTTCTCCGCATCACTCCAGCGGTAAGCTCGGTGAACGTGCTGCGATCGCCAGCGCAGATACGGGCAGAGAACTAAACATGGAGCTGTCCTGTATAGCTAGGATTCCCCTCCAGACATATCGCGGGGCGATACTGCCTGACTTCGGGACACGGTATTTGAAGGGTGAGTTCCTGCTGTTTGCGATTCAATGTGACTACACGTTACCGATAACCGAGAATAACTAACAAGTATCCCCTCAACGATAGTTACTTATAATTCAATACGAGCGAAAATGACGGACTCAGAGATCCCTACTCACGCAAAGGCTGCTGTATATGACAAGCCAGGCTCAGTCTCGACCAAAGTGGTGATGGTAGAGGTTCCTGAGCCTGGAACTGATGAAGTCCTTGTTAACCTGTGCGTGTGTTGTAACTACATCGAGAGTGACTGTGGATAAGCCTACTGACCTCCACGTCTAGGACTCATTCGGGAGTTTGTCACTCTGACTATTCTCTCATGACTAACAGCGTATGTGCTGGCAGGTTTCTCTGGTTGGCATGGGCTGATTGCATGTGGATAGTGGCCAGCTCTCCCTTTCCCACCCAAAGAAGGGCAAGTCGGAGGCCATGAAGGTGTTGGAAAGGTCGTCAAACTCGGTCCTGGCGCTGAAAAGTCTGGCCTCAAGATTGGTGATCGCGTTGGCATCAAATGGATTGCTTATGCCTGTGGCAAATGCCGTAGGTGCCCCTCTAATACCCCTTACATCAGTAACATGTGCAGAGGGCAAACAAACTGACTGAAACTAGTGTTCTGCGTTGATGGTATCGACGGATGCTGCATCAACAAAAAGATGTCCGGATTCTATAGCCCAGGTACATTTCAGCAGTACATTCTTGGATCAGCACATTATGTTACCCCTATTCCAGATGACTTGCCCTCCGAACAGGCTGCACCCATGTTATGTGCTGGCATAACAGTTTACGCTGCACTCAAACGCTCAAAGGCCCAACCGGGTCAATGGGTGATCATTTCCGGTGCTGGGGGTGGGCTAGGTCATCTAGCTACGCAACTCGCCAGTCGTGGTCTCGGCCACAGAGTCATTGGCATTGATCATCACAGCAAAGAGGATGTTGTGCGAGAGTCGGGCGCAGAGCATTTCATTGACATTACTCAGTTCTCACCAGATGGAAAGGGGACGGGAGAGATCGTCGAAAAGGTGAAGTCCCTGACAGGGGGTTTTGGTGCTCATGCAGTCATCGTGTGCACCGGATCCCATGCCGCATACGCACAAGCATTACTCATGCTGCGTTCAAACGGCACGTTGGTCTGTGTCGGAATCCCGGCACACAGCAAAGACCCAATCGCCTCTTGTTCTCCAGGACTCCTGGTTGCTCAGTCTCTTAATATAGTTGGCTCTATTGTAGGGAATAGAAAGGACGCAATTGAAGTTATGGATTTTGCGGCAAGGGGTATCATCAAGGCTCATGTACGTGTTGAGAAGATGGATAAGCTTACGGAAGTCTTCGAGCAGCTGGGTCGGGGCGAATTACAGGGAAGGGTCGTCCTGGACTTGTCTTGATGGTGTTCTGTCATGGACTCCACGAGCTTCTATGCAGGTAACGAGACGGTGTCTACAGATTGAGAATAGCTTCAATTGTAGGAGAGTTATAGGTTTATTTATATTGATATGGTAAATAAGCCTAAATTAACATATTATCCACCAGGGCTATTTTCGAATAGTAAGACAACAATAAGTTGAGAGAGGAGACGAAATTATAAGACATGGTCCAGCCACTGATTATGTAGATATGAAGGAGGAAACACACTCTAGAGCAAATAATCCCAGATAATTTGCTTCTTTCTTCACTTTGTTCTCTTTCGGCCACTACCAGACGCAGCAGTCGATGGGCGCTTTTGTCCACTAGTGCCAGGTATCAGAGCAGCACCCAGAGCAGTTTTTGTCGGAATGTCGCCAGCTATTATACTGTGGAGTTTTCGGAGGTAAGGCACCGGTGCCGCATTCACTTGCATGTCATTGAAAATATTATCGAGTTGAGGGGTGATTTGTTGCAGGATGTCCTCTGGTAACTGCTCCAGGCATGAGAGAACAAAGAAATCGTCGCCATTAACTGGGTTATAAATGAGCTGGAAGAATAAGTTTCGGTCCTCTGCTGTTTCAACTGATTCAGAAGGACGCTCCCATGTGCTTGTTTCGAAGGCATCAAAGTTGAATTGGCAGACTGCACGGAGAAGGTAGAGAAGGGTCTCGGCTGCTCCCTTGAAGCCATGCGGGCTGCGAGAAAACATATTCTGCTGGATTAGTCGGAGATGATCTCGCATCTCGTCAGCAACCACATCGACCTCCAGGGCCGTATGGTCTGAGTGTCTTGGTGTTCCTTTTTGTCGGTACCGATTGAAATCAGCAAGTAAAGAGCGGATCCGTCTTTGTACTTTGTCAAAGAATATGGCAGCACGGGCTCCAGAAGGCATTACCTTGCGAAGACTGGCATAGACATTTTCATCATGCACAGCAAGACGAAACATCGTGGCCTCGAAGTCGCCTTGGACGACGCATTGCTCGGGGGTACGAGGCTGTCTAATCGTTTCCACAAGTTCAGGGCGAAATTCATCGGGCATGGTGTCTGCGCTGAAGGCTGAAAGGAGGTCTCTGGCTTTCTCGGGGCGTGACATAGACGTCGAGCTGCATTGTGTATCAGGGGGAGTGCCTGGGGTAGGAATGTATGGCCATTCCACTTTCTGGCATATATTTTCCATGCGACCTCCAATGAGTTCTAGCATGGGGTCCAGTTTTTCACATTCTCCGTTTTGGGATAGCTTGAGAGCTCCAGAGGGTCTGCTAGTCAGAACTCGCCGATGAAGTTGATCAACAAGCCACTGAGAGAAGTAAGTTCCATTGTTAGCTACGGGAATAAGCCGGATATGACGAGGAGTATAAGCAGGGCAAACTAACGTAAATATGTCGACAAGCAATGTGGCTCCCTTGGAAGTCTAGGCATGAGCAAACCATCGGTCCTTCGCCAACATAGACGCGACCATAATCAACGACATGGAAGTCATATCCACCGCCATAAATTGGCCGGCACTTATCAACAGAGAACTCTCCACTTAGCCCATGCCGGGCTTTCGCCCTCGCACTATGAGATAACATCTGAAGGTCATAGACAATGGATGATGTTCCAGAAAAGGTCACAGGAGACGACGGGGAACATTCTTCTTCTTCTTCTTCTTCCTCCTCCTCCTCTCCTTCACTACTTAATGGCTCTTCCTCAGATTCGCTATCAGAGGAGTCTTCAGTAGCATAGGGAGGCTTTTGCCTTTGGTTTTGGGACCCTGCGCGAGTAGAGGACATGTCACTTCCGAGTGATAGGTTTCCGAGTAACTTAGTTGGAGCCGACATGTGAGGGGTGGTAGAGAGTCAAGGACGTCGGGTTATGAGGAGGGAGAGTACAAATATAGTTGACTCGATTATTTAGCCTAGAAAGAGTATTTAAAAGAGTTGCCCGCTGATAAGTAAAGTAAAAGAAACCGAAACTGAGTTCTCCCCTCCAGGCTGTTCTGGAGTAATCGCGTTCCTTTTGTACCTTGAATCCCACTGGGGAAATAGTCATTAAGACGGGATCTACAGAGGCCGCCGTAGGCCTGAGTGGTAGGGGGGCGTATGAAAACTCCGCAGCCTGAGCGAATGCGAAGCCAGAGATCACTTAGGCAAGGAATAACAAATCTAGAGCGCTATTCAGCGACCAAATCACAGTCAGTCTCTGAATATGACTAGCGGCGCTTACGCCTGGGAGTAACGCGAGAAGGCTATCCCGTGTTTCCATGTGTCGGAGTTTAAGAAGGGGAAGAATGGGCCATCCAAATGGGCGGGAGCTAGGGCCATCTTGATTGATGCCCCAGTGTACCAAACGGTGGGAATCCTGGAATAAGTGAGCACTGCATAACTAGTATGCTAGTCGAAACCGCATTATAGCCAGGTTTCTTCAGGGTCCCGCGCCAGGTAGCGATGGCCAGGGTGGTAAGAAAAGGTCCTGGATTGCGGCACAGCTTGCAGGTCTAAATGCAGGTCGTGCATATCGGACTATTTTAAAGCAAGCTCAAAGACAATTCTCATGGGGGATATACGATGCCTTACAGGGGCGAGGCAGTTAGTAACATTGAGTCGCCCTCCAGTGGTATAACGGTATAACCAAGCTGGGAGGCATCCGTATTGGAATAATATAGTAACTGGCAGATACAATTCTTGCTTGACATGTATCAGAAGATACTCTGATAATCTGGAGATGTTCTCGAACATTGCAACACTTCCAGGATGCTACATGTTGGCATGCTGATTGATATCAAAGGCACATTCGGCACTCATCCCCCCACTCCATGTACAGCCAAATGGTTTTTCGGGGTCTACCTCAAGGCAGCAATCATCCTGGCGTATAATTTTCTTGGTATAAGCGGCCTGGAGGGTCGTATCTGCGATAATATTACTATTTCTCAACGTCACTTGCAGGAGGCAGAGCATCTCGTCGTAAAAATCACCGGAGTGAAACGGCGTACATAATTGGAAAACAGCGGCTCGCCGCCTCGCCAACCAGGAGAAAAGGAAGAAGAAGCTGATAGAGAAAAAGACAATGGAAACGGGTCGATGAGCAGAGTATGGAATACGCCCTGTCCTTCTCCTCTGCAGTTGGAGTTGGAGTCGGTTACGGCGTAGGCTGCAAGGTCGTCGTCAAAAGTTGAAGTTTGAAGGAAAAGGAGCGGATGACTAAGCACAAACCTTCCTCGACGCCAAAGTTTAGAGCCGCAACATCAACATCAAACTCCAACGTCAATAGCGGACACGACGATATAGACGGCGTCTCGTCTGATAGTCTTGGGGGTTGTGATGCAGAGATACGCCGAATGATGCAAACCATGCCTTAGGATGCTCTGACACGGTGCTCTTTTGACTGCTGATTGGTGGTTGCCCATCACGATGAGGCTGTGTTGAATCGCTGTGCCGCACGCTATCCCATGCGGCCACTCTGGCTTCAACCCTTCATCACCCAGTAACGCCGTCTTTTCGAGCTCGAGTCACTCTGCGAGGCTGTTACTTTACAACCACATGGCTGTTCGTTCATTTAAGAAAGTTTTAAGTCACATGTTTGAACGGACACCGGCCGATCGTTTCGTGATCTTTGATACCCTTGCTGAGACATGCCAGATCTACAGGTCCGATAGGCTGACCTAGGAGTACCTCGACCGCTTGGGCTGCTCTAATTCATAATATTTGGGCAGTTGATACGGCTAGTCATACCGTAGCAAGCGGCCATCCCGACGGATCCGCGTCCTGCCCAGCTGAAGACGGCCTTGGATAAGCCCGTCTTTGTCTGATCTGGCTCTCCCCGGAACGACTGGGGACACATCTGTAACTGAGCAAGGGAGATTTTTAGATTTGCCACAGCAGCCTGAACGCCCAATGGCAGCTTCGATTTGCTATTTTGTCGACCTTCAACCGTCCGGCCAGTCTCTTATTAGCGCTTATACCTAGCATCTCTCGTGGGGCACAGGGAGAAGTGCATGCATGCTACCGAATCATGATTATCTCCCTCATGTTAACCATCCAACAACAGAACAAGTATTGTTCCTGAGATTGATGGAGTGGAATAACGATAGCGGCATCAACGTTTCACAAATACAGCATGGCCGCACGGAGGCACTGTCTCGGGGGTTTTCTCGCGCTAAATCCTTCGTGCATGCTTTCAAATGCGATTCTGTGGCACAACCCATGAACTGTTTGCTCAACATTAGTCATTTAATTGATTACTTAACCGCAGCCCAACGCTATCGATTTGAAGGCCGGTAATTCCTGATAATGGTACAGGCATGTAAATCGAACCAGGCATCATGCGTGATAGCTTGAGAGGAAAGGGGTTCGTATCATTCGACAACCCCAAAAATTCAAGTTAACTTAGAGACCTACTGTCTAATGACAAGCTTAGAGCATCAAGTTTAGTGCATTTTTATCTTTGGTTATATGGATGTGAGACTTGGGAGGATAAGAAAAGACCAAAACTCGGAAATTCGATATAACTAATCAAAACATACAAACCCAAAAAAGTTGGAACATCCAAAAGCAGTCATCACTATGGAGCTTATACGCACTAAGATTGCTAGTTGGCATGCTTATCATGGCTACCTTGCGTGTCATCCTCTTGTCGATTACGTTCCTGCTGTGCTTTCCGCTCTCGCTCAATAAGTTGATTGTAATCATAAGAAGACATGATAATTCCCCTGTGCCTTATTAAAGCTCCACGGCGAAGTGATGAGGCTTGTGGAGATTTCGAGCAGCGTGTATTGGCGAGACTGGCTCTTGGCCCCAAACCTCGAGACGGAGGTGGCATGGCAACCCTAGCTGCCGTAGAGCTGGGTGGTTCGCGGGTTTCCCCCTGTTGTTGACTGTTCTGACCTTCTCGAGTCTGTGTGGACGGCTGAGAGCTATGCTGAGGAACCTCTGGCTCGGGATAAGTTGACATAGATTGAAGAACAAGTTGTGCTGCCAGTTGGTAGTCATCATCAGAAGTTTGATTTCTCGGCTGGCGCTCACGAGCCTGGTTGTAGTCGAAGGGAGTGCGCCCCTGATAGACATTAATATTTGAATACGAGACTGACTCCTCCTGAGAACTACTCTTATAATCCTCATGTTCGTCTTCTTCTTGATCATCGGCTTCTGCATCTCTCCGTTGGTTATTACCACCGCTTCTCCTTTCTCTTGACCCGGGAGTGTTTCCATTGTCACCAGACGTTTCCTCCTCGCTAGGCTCTGGAGACCTCCATAGAGCCAATCCAGGCCCTTGGATTGGTTCTCCTGGAGACGAGGAGTTTTCTGGCTCAGACTCATTACTGGTCGCAAACCCGAAATAATCGGGCAAAGGCGGCGAGTTAGACCTCTCTCTCCCGCAGTCAGGACAAAGGCAGCTTCTACCAAATAGCCTCACAGCTGTATTGTTGGGAAGTGGCGCTTTGGTGTAGCGTATAAATAGCTCCTCTCCATGCTTTATAAACCTGTTGGCGTGTAGAATAAGGCGGTTTGGAATCTCAGTATCCCAATTCCAATCTACATTATGGTAAGGAGGGCAGGCATGGTTGAACACAGAAATCGCAGGAAAGACATAAAGGTTGGGGAAAGTTGGCATAATTAAATTGGACTCGCTTGGAGTAAACTTAGAGATCTCCCTGGTACGCTCGATAATCTCATCCTGAGTCTCAGGAATGTCCTCGCGCCTTTCCTCGCCCGGAGCGCGCCAGGGGATGACGGACATTAGCAGTTTTCGAAGGACAAGCTGAATTACCCAGGTATCAAATGAAAGGTCCCGGAAAATGTTCACACCTAGACATGAGAGAATGTCAAAAGGAACCTGGATATTCGCTGCAAACGAGAAAGGCAGATTTTTGCCTGTAGCAGGCCACAATAGGATTGGCATTAGCTCGTCAATCTCGTGGGCCAGCAAATGAGGCTTGTTATCGGTCTCACGCCTGAGAAGAGTGATGTCAAACACCTCTCTAAGCAACAAACTCAACAAAGTACCATGCTTCTCGTTTGAATGGGAAAGGGAGCCCAGCTCCCGCGGTACAGATTCAGAGTTCCAGTAGTTTGGTCGCATTGCATTGTGCAGCCAGTTCCAGTTCTTCCCGCAGGCCCGATTATGATATAAAGATTTTGCAATATCCAAGCACGAAAGTCCCTGTTTGTTGGCACGATCATCGCTTGTCTTTTGTCTCTTTGAGGGATTACCCTTTGTCGTCTCCTGTCCGTTGTCTGTTTCGGCACCTGGCCTTCGACGACTGCACGTGAATTCAGACGAGTTTGTAGAAGAATCTCTTGAGCTCGGGCTATCTGCGCTGCACCAATACAGAGGAGTGTAGATGGAATTGGAACAAGAGCAACTGGGGTCCTGTACAGCCTTATTCTCGGTAGGGGACGATGGCGGGGAGCCACCAGTGCTAAGCTGGCGCTTGCAATTCTCGCAGAAATGCTTTGAGGGTTTGTACAGTGGCTGAAGATGGCCCCTTACTGAAGGCTCATCTACGTATATGACTGTTCCCTTGCGTATGTCCTCATATGCATATACTGACAGACTCCCACCGTCCACATCCACCTGGATCTTGGCAGGACGATAGACCAGAGCCTGTGACTTTTTTATCATATCCGCATTCAACTTATCTGCAATCTGTTTAAGTGCGGTAGCAGCATCGTAGTTATCATACGGATACTGACGACATGTAATGAAGCCATAATGCCGCTCGAAAAAATATTCACGAGCATCGCGTCTTTTTTCTTTTCCTGCTTCTTGAATGAATTTAGCTAGTTTCCCTTGCCGCTTTGTCATGGCAATCTTGTCGCGGTCAGCCATGATAAGTCTCGTCCTTAGATATGGTTCGGTAGCAGAGTAATCTTCCCAGCATTGCATTGCCAACAGGCTAAGCACGATAATGTGATGGACTGCTTTGCGCACTAAGGGAATGAAGCTGTTTACTCCGTTCCCCCTCCGCAACAGAAGGACTTCCGGGGAAAACTGGCGCCCGTTGGATGGTGTTTGTAATATGTGGCGTTCGACGGCGTCCCATATATGAATATAGATACCAGGTTGAGTATGGCGGTTTAGCGGATTGACAAGTTTCTCACATAGGAGTTGTGCGCGGTATGCGTCCCCGATAGCTAGGTCAAAATGACCCATCTGGTAATATAAGTATGCGCGGCTGGTCCAGAACGCAGGGTTGTATGGGCTGAGATGTATTGCCCAGGTGTACATATCTAGTGCTGATAAACGACTTTGTGTAGTAATCTTGACTAGGAAATCATCGGATTTGCGCTTAAGGCCCCATTCTGGCAACGACTGGACAGGTAGGAAACTACCTTTATCTTCGGCTCTCCTCTCCTGGTGGCGGAGGGGGCTCAACTTTTGATGTTCGTCATCGTACAGTCTTTGCCTTAGGACAGCAACGAGACCGTTTGCATCGATTCCCCGTGAACGCAGTTCTGGTTGGAGCTTTGCTTTCGTCCAGTATTTAGTATCGATAAGAGGGTTATGTCCTTGCACCAGTACGCTAGGAGTGGTATTATCTAATGACTGCTCTTGACCCTCGGGTTCAGTGCCAAAAATGTCGCTATAAGTCCAGCCTTCAGTACGTTCAGCATCTCTTGGAGGATGGAAAATATAATTTTCTTGTCGAATGGGTAAGTCTGGAGAAGTCAGAATGCTCTCATATACATTCCGTACCAGACAACCGGCTGGGCCATTGGTTGCGGGGTGAGATGCTTTTAGGGTGCTGTTTGGTATCGACCACACTTTGTACGCCTTCGCTATATCTTCGTCGGCAGGAAACGGCCCCCATTCGACATCGTTAAACAGGTCTGGCTGACCCGGATAAGCTGGCGCGACATAGTCCAATCCAATAGGTACCGGACAATTTACCGGACATGGCATACTGGGGTCCTCTATGGTCTGTTGTTCGGACATTTTGAAGCTAGTAATAATACACGATGGATGATAGTGGGAATCTCAGAGAAGCTTGGGTTAGAAGGTAGGCCACCAGGATAGAGGAATCCAGGTTTATTGTATGTCCAGGGAGATCAAAGAACATTGTTGATATAACCCTGGACAAAGCAATACAGCACTATATAAAGGAAAAGGGTAGACAAGCAGGGCAACAAGGAGAAGCTATGTAACTTGATCTCATAGTTGAGAGGCCATGCTGAATTCAGCGACTCCTTGATCCTTTCCGCCGGTGGTTGTCGACTACAGCAGTCTCGGCGGCAACAAAGGGTCGTTCTCCAAGCAATAGTCCGCCGGATAATGCCATATTGTACGCATGAAAGACTATGTCTTGCTTGAAATGAAGTTAACGCTACCAGGTATATGGGCCATTCATGCACCCACCATAGCCAGGGGTATAATAACTATGGAGTTCAACAAGTAGGTTTAAAGAGCCAAAATTCCATCTGTAAACAAGAAACAGTTACTACTACATTGTAGTAACATATCAAACAAAGATAGATCCTTGTAACAGGCTTCTTCATAATATGGCTGAACCTTTGAAGGCCACAAAGGGTCATCTTTCTGGACGATTGAGTACCATTCACCCAGCCAGTTAACTAGTAAAGTACTCCATTTATATGGTCAAAGAGAGCAGCATCTCCCCCTCTACCTTAGCGAAGCGCGAGATACCGTGGAATCGCAGAGCTGCTGCCTGGTTTCACTCCTCGTCCAACTGGAGTCTCGACCTGGGCTGTGGTCCTCCAGAAGACCGACGAACCGTGTCCTCGCCCTCCATCTCGCTGAAATGAGGCTCGTAAATGGTGCAACGATGACTCGCAGAGCAAAGCCCGAGGTTGTCTAACAGTATCCCGATATCTGTTGGCCCGCTCGTCTCGAAATCATGGCTGAGTCGCCGCGTTTTATTCTTTTTATATATCCCGTAGACGCGGCTGGCGGGCGGTGAGCGTCTTACTCAGCGCCGGCGCATACGAGGTGGCCCAAAAGGGAAAACGAGAGCTCTGCCGCCTCAATGACACCTCGACGACCGCAGACGCCGCTTCAGATAGCAAAGGAGCAGCGACGGCAACGACGAGCTGCTCGCCAGGCGATTTACACGGAGTCGTAGCGCGCCGGGCCGACTAGTTTATCAGTGAAGTCTCACGGTGTGACCGCGCCTGATCCGGTGATGAGACTGTGCTGCGCTTCGCATTCGTTTGCGCCTGACCAGAACTACTCCATCTAACTACGTCAACAACATCGCAGAAGACGGCGGCGGCGACGGTGACCATACAATTTTATCATTTTTCAGGAGAGATATCCGGGCCTTCTTCACGGCTTCAGGCGACCGTTCTCCTGGTTCTCGGTACCGCGACGGGAGGTTTAACTAAATGAACCCTGGATTATACCGGGTGAACCCCAGGCCCTAATCCAACTATTGATGGACAAATACTGTTAACGACAGTAAGTAAACAGATTTTTTTTTTCTCTCTCCCTGCAAACTCAAGCTGTATCTAGTTACAATATACTCCGTACGGTGCTAAGCTATTTTGTTTATGCAGAGCAGTGATGTACGGCTCTCAGAACTATCAGCAGCCTCCATGGCAGCAGCAGCCGCCTCTTCCTCCTCCTCCGCCTCTCCCACCAGCTGGCGACCACTCAAACAAATGGCATGGAGGTGACCAGTCACAGCATGTGCAGCCTCAATCAACGTACAACCCCAACACCTATGGTCCTATGCCGGGAACTCCTTCGATGGACCAGGCCCAGCAAGATACGTCGCGGTGGGGGGTTCGATATAACCAGCAGTTCGGCCACCAGCATCAGCCAAGTGTCCATGACCAGCACAACACCCCACCGCCGTTGCCAGTAAGCAGGATCACTGATACATTCACATACAGAGTCAAGAAGCTATGCTAATACTGCATTTAGCCACGTCCATCCAGCGCATTTGAGTTCTCCCAAGCACAGGCTCAGAACGCTCCCCAGCAGCCCCAGCAGCCCCAGCAGCAACAGCAGCAATGGCAACAGCCTGTCCAAACCAGTCAGCCATATTATGCCCCCAACCATGGGGTAACGGCCCCTGAATATCCGCCGGTGGCACCTCCACCACAGTCATGGCAGCAGCAGCCACCGCCTGCAGATCACAGCAGCTACGTTGCCAACCAAAATGCTCCACCACAACCACCACCGTTACCATTAGCATATCAAGCAGAGATTCAGCGTCCTACCTCTGAATGGCCAACTGCACCAGTCTATTCACAGCACCCCCCAACCCACAGATACGATCCAGTCTCGCAGCAGCAGGAGCAGCAGCAGCAGCAGCTACCACATCAAGCACCATACCAGCATGATCAACATCAATACCAGCAGCAGCAACCGCAGCAGGCACCATATCAACATGGTCAGCAACAGCAACAGCAACAACAACAACAACAACAACAATATCAATACCCACCCCCAGAACCCCAGCAGCAACCAGTTGTGTCTCCTCCGGCACCTTCCGTAGCCCAAAATGCCGATAATCCAGGAAACGGCGGCTATTTCCAGCCTCCACCAGGAGAGACTCGAAACCATCTTCATAGCCCTCCTCCCGACGGGAATCTGCAGCAGCCACTTCCTCCCACATCACAGCCACCGGAAGCTCAGACTCCTGCAGCCTCGCTTGCTCCTGCTCTTTCTCCGCTTGCTACGCAGGCAACGGTTGCTACCAGCACCCCACCCCCTGCCACTACTGCAGCAGCTTCTACTGCGACACCCACAGCAAGCACTGGCGCATCAGTTCTCGGATTTGGCGGTCCTTCTGATTGGGAGCATTTTAACTCTACGGGAGAAGAGGTAGATGATACGGCTCAATTTGGCGATAGAACCAAATCCCCAATGAACAAGGCAAATACATTCGAGCTGCCATCAGGTCCGTCTCCCCAAGTTCCAGTGACTAGCTCTCAGGCAATTTCACAGCAACCAGCCAGCGTGACTTCGGGACAAGTATCGCCGGAGCAACCGTCACGATCAGGCTCACATGTAATTTCTCCAGTTGACGCATCGAGCCAACCAACCAAAAATCAAAGTGGAAGTATATCTAGTCGTCTCGATAGCGTCAGCTCCATCGAGTCAAACACACCCGTTGATTCTAAAGCCATTGATGGCGTCATTGAAGCATGGTCACAGCCAGTCATATCCAGTAGCCAGCATTCTAGCTACTCGGATTCAAAGCCTCACCAACGTTCAAACACGGTCTCAACATTCGATTACCCCCGAGTGACAACCCCAGTATCGCACATCCATGCCTCCCCTCAGCAAAGCCCTATGCGCACGGCCTCGAGGGCTGATGTTCGACCAATACAGTCAATCGTAACAATTTCTGACCCCTATGAAGATCTTGATCCATGGTACAAATCGTCTCTGACGCGGTATGTCACCATGCTTCGTAAGGAAATGGAAATAGAATCGGAAGAGGAAAAGTATAAGCTTTTCTCAGCCTTTATGCATAAGGAGTCAAAACTACGTGCAATCATGTACAACGTGGAAAATTTCCTGGATCAACAGCCTTCAGTGAAGCCCGAGCCAGCACCTGCGCCTAACCCAGTTGCCGCGTCAAGCTCTACGGCGAAAGACACACGAGCACCAGCACCATCGCAGGAGGTACCCGCGAAGATATCTACTCCAGACCCTTCAACCCCTGGTGAACAGGATGATGTAATCTCTTATAGTCCTGGCGGGCTACCACGACTCGCTTCTGCGCTCACTAACCAGAAGAGAAATAGTTCTGGCTCAGATGGGCTACATCGGTCTGCCTCTAACCCGACTCGACCGCAGCCAACAGCAGGAGCTGCCAGCAATCAAATATCAAACCCAAATTTGGGCATATCGGCTCACTCAGACCCATCTCGATCGGTGTCTGTTCCCCCAGAATCTGCTGTTAGGCCAAGTACGAACACACCTCCATTCACGATTGAGCCACCCCATGCAGTCTACACGCCTTTCCGCTATAACGAAAACTCGCAGAAAATGTCTTCATCCGCAGCCGCGAGTCGTCCAGCTTACCAGGGATACTCAGCCTTGCGCCTAGCTTCAGTGGAAAGTGGCCGTGTGATGGCTCAGCCATCCTTACAGACCCCACCAGCATTCCCTTCAGAACGTTCAGCTTCACGGGCTGAGCATGACGAAACATTTTTAGGCCTGATTAGAGAGAAGAGTGTGGCTTACCGCAGCCACCGGCCCGGAACTAGCTTGTCAAACAGACCAGCTTTACCTAAGAAAGGTTCACCAACCCTAACCTTCGAGGAACTACAAGCTTTGGTTTCTGGCCCGCCGCCTCGCCTAGAAAGCAGCTCGCGTGTCGCTATTATTGGCGATGAAATCGAGCATTTTCCCCAGGACTTCACCTTTATTGAGAAAACTCACGAAGCCTGGGATAATAGCGCTACCGGGCGCCAGGCACAAGTCAACGCTCAGCGTCAAGCTCGCCTGGAAGAGTCAGAAAGCCACATTGACTCGCTCTTTAATGATAAGGAGATTGGATACTCTGACATCAACGTGCTAGAGGATGAGTTCAAGCAGACCGAGGCGCAAATACAGCTTAATGAGGAGCGAAAAGAGTTTGACAAGTATGTGGAGATCGTGTTTAGCCGTGTTGACGAGAGACTCGCATCGGAGATCAAGCGCCTGCAACATCTCTACAATGAGACGTGTGAGCTTTTGCAGCCCGGGGGAGGAAAGCCTTCTGCTTTAGGAAAATTCGAGCTCTCACATGCTATGCGTAACGCGGTGGATATTTTCCAAAAGCTCGAGCTAAGGCACGCTAAGCGTGTAGCTGCGGTTCTTGAGCGAGAACGACGGAGGAAGAAGGCAGAGCGACGCTACTACGTTTTCCTTGGTGAAACTGCAGCACTGAAGCAAATGGAGAAGGAATTCACTGCACTGGAGCAGAAGACGCTCCTAGACGCTGCCAAAGCCCGAGACGAACGAACAAATAAGCTGATGGATATATTTGACGACACAAGCATGCGTGGGATTGGTGAGAACCAGCGACTGCTGGACGACATCTCAGCCAAAATTAACAAATTCGATACGGACCTTATCCGCTCGACCCCCAGTATTGTCCCCACTGGCGGCGTCAAAACATTGCAAAACACACTGGCTTTTGTGAAATTCCTCGGTGCCAATTCGGAGTCCGTGCTCGAAAGCTTTGGCGTCGCGGATAGATTGCTGAATAATGCCGACTACGACGTCTCCGTGGCCGAAGCCAAGGTTGCAGACTCTAGTGCCGACATATTCCGCCGCCTTGAAGAGGAGAAAAAGAAAGAGGATAAGAAGATTGAAGATGATTTGCAGTCGAGAATGTCTAGCATCCGAACTAGCCATCGTGCTATCATCATGAATATCGAGGAGGTTCTTGAGTGTGTCGAGCAAGCTGTTGCTTCTAGTGAGGGTGCTGGCAGTGGGGCATCCTTGACACCCCCTTCGGGCCCCAGTTCTCGGCCGCAAACAACGTCTTCTCCCGGTGGTATAGGTTCATCTAATACCCCTCCTGCTTTGGGAGTTGGCGTACCAACACCACCCGCAGCGAATACATTGACAGCAGAGGAGCAGCAACAAGAAAGATTGAAAAAGGCATTAGAAGATGCAAAGAGGAGGAATGCAGAGAAAGGTCATGTTTGAAAGAGGACGACTGAGAGCAGGCAGGAGCACAAACTCTCAATGATACCCAACTTTATGTCCACCGTTACAAATATTTCTCCGTATATTTTAAACCCCTGTATTCGTTTTGATATTCATTGTATACACATTTTTCGGTCTTTATTACTTTTTTCTGGGTGTTCATTTTAGCGTGATGAATCCCTCATCTCCTAGTTCTTCTTTCTTGGACCATGTTCAAATCCCTCTTTGTTCTCTTCATTGATAATTTGGGAGGAAGTTTACTCCCCTTGTTTCCTCGAAATCTTTCCCCACAAACATATTATATTTGTGGCCATAACATAACCATCAATGCAATAATCATTGCTATTAATATTGGTATTATTAATGGAAAGAGTGAGTTAGCTTCTCTGGCCTCGGGTGCGTGCATATATTTATATTTTGTTTTCAAAAGGCCAAAGCACCGCCCCGTTGGTGTAACTTTTCTATTGAAAGCTTGCCAGACGCATCCCTTTTTTTTTTTTTTTTTTTTTTTAAATAGTTGGAGTCAGTGGCAAATAGAAACCCCTCTTCATGCAATTTCATGCAATAGTTGGAAGTTCGAATCTCGAACGCATCTGGCACAACGTCATTGCATCAATAACGCTCCAGTATGGACCAGCAGCCAGGTGAGGCGGCACCACCCCCTGTCGTCATGATATCAATCTCCACTTGTCCGCCCGCTACAACATCTTCAGGTCGAGTCAAGGAAGGGAGAAGCGGGAGAAAAAAGCAAAATGATTCGACAATGATATTCATCTGATATCATCTCTCTGTAGTAAGTACGGAGGGATGGGTAAGCTCAACCACGCCATGCCCAGCTTGTTTGCGGACAAGGGGGAGAGAGGGGAGCCCAACAAAGCCACGCAGGAGGGCGAGCGTACCAATCACAGCCCATGCACGGGTCTCACTACCCCAGACTGGACAAGTTTCGCCAGAAGGGCAGTCCAGGTTCTGCAGGCGGGCGTCAGGGACACTTCGGGTAGAATGTGGCCGCATTGGCACAGCAAACTAAGTCTTGTCTGAATACATCTTCGGTTAAGCCGGTGGGCAACTCTGATACTCCTTGCGCTCGTGTCTAGCAATCCAACCATGTCTATCTCTGCCACCGCACAGCCGATGAAAGAGCGCCTTGGCAAGCTATAGCCAGGATAAAACGCCCTGTCTGCAATATGTATTAGCTTCGAGCTGGGAAGGACAGCGGTCTTCTAGAAACCAGGCTCTTTCTCCAACCGCTGGCCTGCATAAAAGCATGAAACTTGGCACACTGCATTCCGTGGCGACTTTTCCGGCCTAAGTCATGTCTCGAGCGTGATCGGCCGTGCCTGGATGCAGATGCAAGCCGTCTCCACGCTTGCATGAGTCGTCGTGGCGGATATCAAGCACAAGACGACCCGACAAGGCTCGGTATGATTGATCGCTTTCGACTTTTCTTTAGCTTCCCCCTTTGAGGCAGACTATTATATACACTGACTTACCGCCGTATTTACATTACGGAACAGCGTCCCGACAGGGGTCTCTCCACACTGTGGGGCGCAGTGAGTAACACAGACCAATCAGCGCCCGCAGTGGGCGCTCTGGCCGCGCAGCTGAGCCGCAGCTCGGCCACGAGCCGCGTATTCTCGTATTGCATAGCGGTGCTGACCATACCGTACAGTCACGCCCCCCGTTTACCAGTACGCTTACCGGCAGCACCAAAAATACCAGAAATACCGACAAATACGCAAAGAAAAAAGTCAGCCTCGACGACCAACGAAAAACCTCGACTCGCTTTCAACCTCCAGCCGCCAACCTCGACGTCCCATCTCCGCCAGACGCTCCCTTCACGCGTGATCCACCAGCCATAACTGCGCCTTGGCCATGCCGACTCTACGACTCCTCCAAGCAAGGCGCCGTTGAGCCGCGTTCCTCCAGTTGAGCGACCTTGATAGATATACGGAGTATATACTGCCTGTCACCTCGAACCAGGGGGCTCGTGGAGGCGTCTTAATCAGCGTGGCGTTGGTATCCGGCTCTCCGCCTCACGACGATTCCTTCTGCCTTGCCATCGACAAAGAGGGAGTTATTGCCAGTTGATACGGTGTCTCATTTGCCGCTCGTCATTGCCATCCTGCACCTATTTCGTAGGGAGGGCTGCCGACTCTGGCTGCTGTTGCGCTGTTCAGTCAGCCCAGCTACTACTTACTTGCATACTCCAGACGGAGTACATCTTGAACGCTTCTAGGCCAGTGCATTCGTTACTAGGGCCCACGGTATTGTACGGCATCCCTGGTCGTCTAACTACGAACGGTTAAGCCGTCACGAATCAAACACCTATTATTAAGGTGCTACAATAACGGACATCCTCTGAGTAGGAGGTGCTCTCTCGCCCTCTCGACTTAGAGCAGGACGAGGTCTAGTCTCGAATCGCACGTTACACCTGCCAGCGACGTCCTCCAGCAATCCATATAATTTTTGCTGGCTTGATATTGGCTCTATCAAGTTACCGTCGATCCCATCAGACCCGAGGCTAGCACTGACTACCAGTTCCTTTTCTCACGAGAATTTAGCCCGTCAGCTTGCGCCACAACTCGCTCCTCCAACGCCGATACATCCAGGTCCACCTCCACCAAGACCGTAGGTGTCACCCTTCCTCCTGCTTCGCCCTCCTCGCCATTCGCTTTATTCGCGCTTGCTGGTCCTCCCGTTCCAGCGTTTTCCTTCCTGTATCATTTGCTGCTGTCGCTTCATGGCTCTCGCGTGCTGCCCATCAACTCTACGCTGCAGACCGTAAACGTGACCATTTCCAACCGCGCAGTGTCTCTCGTTTTCTTTCCCTTTATGCCCTAAAACTCCTCCCCAGGTGTTCCTTTCTGTTAGTTACTTTTTACGCCTTTGCCTTTTTTTCGTTTATTTTTATTTTTATTTTTTTTTTACCGACGTCCGCATTTTCTCTTCTCACACGCAAACTCGCTACCCGTTACCAACCGGCTAACAACCGTAACAGTTGGAATATCTGGGCCTCTCCATCCTTAACTCTTCAGCAGTTGAGGTGGTGTGACCAACAACAAACACCCAAGCTGGCCGCGCACCAGCAGTCTTCGCATGGCTGAATCCCTCACACAGGCTCCTGAACCGGCCTGCCCCCCAAGCCCGGCGTCGAGGTCTGTGAATGGTCGTGCCTCGAGCTCTGCGACTCCAACTCCAAGTTCGACACCGTCGAAACCCGACGAGCTCAAAGACGAGCGCAACCTGTCATCCATCGCGAACGCGGGACTCGACGTCACCTCCACACCCTTAGCTGAAAGGAACAAACGACTATCCCCGCCTGCAATGACGTCTCCCAGTCAACGCGCAGAGGAGGAGCAGAATCAGCGCCAGAGCAGCGATCCCCAGTCTTCCAGACGGACTCCAGAAATAACGGTTGTGGACGAAACCCGTGAATCTACTCCAGTTCGCACCAGGCGGTCGTCGAAACCGGCTCCTATATTACAGGAATCACAGTCCCGGAGGAGTCCGTCCAGCGCCCCGGATAGCTTTGGCAATGGAGAGAATCCGCCAACTCTCATGAATAGCTCCACGGTTGCGAGTCCCGGGCCGATAGAGGAGCCAAATCCCCTAGAGGATAAATCTCAAGAGAGAGATGAGATCGAGGAAGGTGGTAACAAGTCTTTCTCATATCCGGTTCCCATGCCCACTGCTGGCAGCGTGAACGACCCCCGGCGCGGAATGAGTCTCCCTCATTCAGGACTGAACAAATCCGGCGCACGCTCTCCGTCTTCGAAGAAGCATCGATGTCCATACTGCGCTACCGAATTCACTCGACACCACAATTTAAAAAGCCATCTTCTAACTCACAGCCAAGAAAAGCCATATGTTTGCCAAACATGTCAGTCTCGGTTCAGGCGACTACACGATCTAAAACGACATACAAAACTACATACCGGCGAGAGACCTCACATATGCCTCAAATGCGGTCGTCGATTCGCTCGTGGAGATGCCTTGGCCAGACATAATAAAGGACCTGGCGGCTGTGCTGGTAGACGGTCTAGCATGGGCAGTTTCGCTGGCGAAGATGAATTTGGAGACGGCAATGCTGGGACTGGTCCAGTAGGAGAGGACGCAATGGAGGGCCTCATGTACACAGAACCAGACCGGATGGACGAGGAGGAGGAACTGCGCCTGAATCTCCCTTCTATTAAGAAAGACGGTGGTTCGGACCAGTCTCAGCCTGGCTCTGCTCGTCACATATCCTTCCAACAATCCCATCAGTCAAGCACCTATCCACCTCTCGCGGCTCCACGATCACAACAGAACCTCAGTACCAGCAGCGGCGGCCTTTTTCCCCCAGCCAGCAACCATCAACGATCGAACTCAACCTCATCTTCCATCTCCCAGTCCCCTTCACACCTTTCGTTCCAACCTGGCCCGTCCTCCCCGTCCATGTTTGCACAAGCAGGCATGACCGAATCCCCAAAACCACTCTCTCCAAGCGGCGCTGCCTCACGGCAACTAGGCCACGGCCCAGAAAACACTTTCCGTCAGACGCACCCGTCCAACATGCCCCAATACCAATCTCAGATGCGCAATGGCTCAACAGGATTAGGTATACCCTTTTCTTCCGTTTCATCACCCGGGGGTAGTCTAAGCCATCCAGGTTCTCAAGCAGGCACTCCACACCTTCCACCTCCTCTAGGCCTTAATCCTTCCGACTCCCGCTTCCCCCTTCATTCCCAACAGCAGCAAGGCCCTCATCACCCCGGCCGTGCTGGCTCTCACCCACCTCTTCAACACGCGCATCACCCTCCTGCCCCATCATCTAGCATCGACAGTAATACCGCCCCGAGCTCGGGTACCGGTAGTGGGAATAGCAGCTACACAAGTGCGCCGTCTAGTGAAGGCTTCAACCCTAATGGTTCGCTAGCTAACATATCAGGGGCGTCATATTTCACCCATTCGCCGCATCAACGTGGGTCAAGCGATCAACCCACACGGCAGCTATCGATCCCTAGTCCTAATCCAAATCTACCCTCGACGGATAGGATATGGGGGTATATGCGAGCGCTCGAAGATAGAGTTAACGGACTGGAAAGCGAGGTCGTCAGGTTACGTGGCCAGTTGAGCAATGTCATAAGCAGCGGCGAGAAACCCCAGGATAAAAACACCGGAAGTAGTGGGAAAGCCGAAACATTACCTTCTAACCCTAATATTCTCCCCACTCCTGTGTCCACTGCCGCTGTCCCAACCACTGCCGCTGCAATCGCACAGACGACGGCCAGTGGCGTTACTAGTGGAGAAAAGACAACGAAAACCCCAAATCCTGGTGGACCCTAATTGATATATACCTACTTTGTATAGGAAGGCGCCTAAATTTGGCTCCGGCTCTGAATTTGCGCATTATCGTTCTGGACTTTTTTCTAACGAATTTTTATACCCCTATTTAATATCCACTCACGCACGGGTTATTGCACGAGATGGTCGGGAATTAGCATTCATTCTCCCCAGCATGTTTGGAATATGCTATTAAATTGCATTTGGTTCATCAGGCAGTTGGATAAAAAGATGATTTTTGACGGCAGTCGTATAAAACTCCCAAAATCTAACCCACTCTCTCTTCTTCTTCCCCTTTCTTCGTGCCGTTCATTCATAACAGGACTTTCATTGGAGGCAACCGAGATATAACCGGGTCCCTACCGCTCTCATATACCCTGAAATATACCCACATCTACGCTCTACACTCTGATGAAGTCGTCCTGCTCTATCTGTCAATTGATATAAAAACAATCCATGTGATCTATTTCTCAATTCCCGAGAACAAAAAAAAAATGTATATGATGTTTTGACTGCCAGCCTGCCTTTCCAGGTTCTATTCACTTTGCGCCTTGAATATTTTCTCCCTTGCCTTTTCACTTCGTTCGACTCATATTATTATTCATACGTACTTTATCCCTTTTTTCACTTCGTTACCCCCTATCTCTCTCCACTGCGGCTGTTCTAGTCACCGCTTAGCGCAGCTTCTACATCCTTATATACCCTTCTATTCTATACCATGCATTCGCCAGCCCAGTCCAGTTCTAGTTAATTTAAATGAATGACTGAAATGATTATTCCACTCTACTACTCTCCACTCTCTCTTGGCCTCCCTCTTCTCCCGTGTGATTGAGACCATTAGTCACAATCACCTCTTCTGTTAATCTCTTGTTTCTATTAGTTCTTTGGGTATTTAGTTTGCTTGGTCAGGTTAATTTGGACTGATGGACATGGCCTGTATCTTATTATTATTACCATATACACCTAGCTCATGCGGTAGTTGAGAATGTACCAATGCTAGAAGCTATGGCTGGATGACAAGGCCCTTTGTTCAAGTCATTGAACCGTCTCTTTTTACAGGATATCTTGGACAATCATACCATCATGGAACGGATAAATCAAAATATGGGTAGGGCAAGTGAAACATCATTTTATTAGAAATTGAACGAGTGTGAGTACTATACCAGAGTACAGGAACAAAACGAACGGCTACCCTATCCTTGGGCTCCAGAACACTATAAAGACATTTTTTTTTTACTGCATAAGCCAATCTCCACCGCCCATGAAAATCTTTGTCACATCAAGATTTCGTACGGCATCACTCGAGCGACCAACTACCATCGGATTAAAGATCTTCTCCGTGGGGTCCTCGGGTTGAAACGACGCCAAGTGAGCATCCTCATGAATTCCCCGGGCTCATCCTTGATGAGATGTGGCATACCGATGTACAGGTTCTTCAACCAGCGTGGGAATAGAAATCTACTCTCCGGCCTTGCTGAAACTGTAAACAACCATTCAAATCTGCCATTCCTCTGTGCCTGGAGCCTGGGTAACTGTCTTACCATCCCAACCGAGACGTACGAGGGGTACACTGTCCTCTTAATACGATGTATTCTCGGCTGGTTGTTAAGGCATGTATGCAGGAGAGGAAGATGCACAACAAGGAGAGAGTCCAACCATCCATTTGGGACACCCCTAGATGGGTGCTGTGGATCAGGCGGCTCAGCCTGGGAATTTGAGCCCTGCTCCGGTCTCCTCTGTTGGGCGGACTGGTCGGTATTTTCCGGGTTTTCAGTTTCATTAGGCACGGGTTGAATATCTCTTGAGCTCCCGGCTTCGGCTGGGGTAGTCTGGAGGGGGTTAACGTCTCTCGAGCTTCCAGCTGTAGCGGGAGTACTTTGGAGTCCCCTCGAACCCCTGGCTTCTGCCGATGCAAATTGAGTGTCCCCTGAGCCCCCGACCTCGGCCGGGGTAGTCTGGAGGGGATTAATATCTCTCGAGACTCCGGATGTAGTGGGTGTATTCTCGAATCCCCTAGAACCTCCAGCTTCTGTCGATGCAGGTTGAATGTCCCTTGAGCCACGAGCATCAGCGGAGGCAGATCGGAGAGGATAAGTATTGTCTACCGAGCTTCCAAATCTTCCAGCTGTACCAGGTATATTTGGGAGACTCATCGAAACTCCGGCTTTTGGTGTAGGCCTAACATTACTTGAACTCCCGGCTTCCGCTGCTGCAGTCTGGAAACTTCTTGGACTTCCAGTCTCAGCAGAAACTGGTTGAGATCTTGCAGAGCCCCTAGCTTCAGTTGAAGTGTTATTACCATTTGCAGGATGTCCAGGACTTCCCTCTGGTGTAACATCTGCATAGGTTTGCTTTGGCCGACGGGGGTCAGCTGTCTCTGCATAGGATGGTAGTTGAGTCTCCGATCGCGCAAGGTGTTCCGGATTAAAAGATCTAGCAGCAGTGAGAACCATCACGGGGAAGATACGCTTCGAGGAACAAAGGCCTGAATGGCGTTCGATCCAGCAAACTTGAGTTAAATCAGCATAACGTTGCTAGAAGAGAAGGGGAAGAGTTGCGTTGGCTCTAGTACTCACTTTCCGCAGTCACGTCCCTCCAGTGGGTTAAGCGCACATCCTCGCAATCGTACGTGTGTATATTGGTCACTTTAATTCCAGGTACATATTCCGGAAGGTATGTAGTATGTCCGTTCTTCCAGTACTGTCTCATATCTTCAAAGGTAGCATTGCCACGACTTCTCTTGTCCTTATGCTCAGATTTCCTAGCGAACCAGTCTTCTTCAGCATCGCGCGGAATTTCATCCCGCTGTTCTCGTAGTTCGTTCAACCAAGCTGGGTCAGGATCCCTGTTAATATGATGGTGGGAGAAGAAACACTTGGGCCTACAGCCAGGAGAGTGTCGCGGTCTAGGATATATCTCGCCCCGCCTTGTAGATGGGCCCCTTTGGTAAATTGCCTGGAACGCATCGTCTAAGACCTTTTGCAAAAATGCACTAAATTCGGGGGTTGTTACATTAAATAATGTCCGGAACGCAGCGCAAGGTGGAAGCTGAGCGGCGGTAATTGGTCTAGGGTGCACATAATTCGGTAACATACCCACATGGGATCGAGGCTCATCATTTGGGTCAAGTTGAGCGAATTCGCCATGTGTTCCGGGTATGGCGAGTCCAGGACCGGCTGTTGGAGTATGAAAACGTCGTGGTTGTTCGCCTCGATAGCGTGCTCTCCCCCGGAATTCCTCTGGTTGGGACTGACTTGACGAAGGCTCGGTCGGTGCCACAATGCCTCCAGAAGCCATAAACCTAGGCGCAGACGTTGTGTGACTGCGGCCTCCCGCTACAGAGTGTTCCGTTTGCGTCACTCTTGCTTCGGTGGGCTGATGTGAGCCTGCGGAAATCTCTGTCTGAGCTGGGTTTGCTGTGCCAGTCTGACCAACAGGCTCTGACAGGCTCCCTGTTGCTGTGGAAGGTTCTGCCGGGGCGGTATTTGTGATCTCAGATTGACGAACGCGCTCCACGGGGTGCTCCGTTGCCGCCATAGAGGTCTCAGCTTGAGTTTGGTTCGTTATGCCTGTCGGAGCAAGATGCTCCGATGGACACTCTATCGGTACTGTAGAGGGCTCTCCTAGTGCTGAATTTGTAACACTGGCTTGGGTAACGGGCTCTATTGGGCGACTTGGTGCTGCTGCAGAGGTCTCTGCCTGGGCTGGATTTGTGCCAGTTTGATTAAGAGGCTCCATTGCTTCCGTAGAAGACTCTGCCGGGCCCGGATTCGTGGTTTTAGCCTGAGCAACGAGCTCTGCAGAGGGTTCTGTCATTGCCGTCGAAGGCCCTGCCGGGGCTGGATTTGAAATGCCAGTCTGTGGCCTTGACGCATGCTCTGTTGCCTCACCATCCCCACCAGGCTGTGGCTGTGCGGCAGAAGCGTTGGTCGGTTGCGATGTAGAAGCAACATCACCCTGCTTTGGTATATTCGAGTCCCCTTCTTCATCAGAATCTGGCAGCGGAGGTGGGAAAGTTCCGTACTGTACTGTCTTAGACATTGTATAGAGAGGGTAAGAGAACTTGAAACCGGATAAAAACTGGGTGCACAGCAAACTGCAAAACGTATAATGAAACGAAGAACAGGGGCAATCAAGCGAGGGTCTGGTTGGTCGGAAAAATATCTAAAACAATAAGTACAGATGCCAATATCAATCAACGAGCGTGGACCGAGGAGGGAAAAAGAGAGAGAGAGAGAGAGAGAGTAAAAGGAAGAAAAACATTGAGACTGGATGTTTTTCTACTAATTCTTTGCTGGCTGGGAAACAATGGCAAAACGAGGCAGCAAGAGCCACCGGAACGCAAAACATCAGGTAAACAACAATGGAAGAAAAGAAAGAACCTCCCTAGAATGACGTATTGTGGAAGGCTTATATATATTCAAGAAGGCGCTATCGTGGCCACAGGTTAATCGTACAGGCGTTGCGTATTCGTTATTCTATATAAATTGGGGTATCACTGTTGAGATTGAAGCTGTACGAGAATATTGTCCAGCACTTGTGCGGGAGAGAGAAGGATGATATATAGGAGACGAGCGATTGTCATACGCTCCGCACTCCCAGCCCAACGCTCCCTGTGTTAAAGATCTCGATCAGTCCTGCCCCCAGGGCTTCTTCGAGCGCCCACTGGAAGTTCAAGCCATGGAGCTGTTTCCACTTGTTTGTTCGTCCAGGTAAGACACCCGCAAACTCCCCGCGAATGTGCTTTGCGACGCTAGCCCTGGAGTTTAGCTCAATAGAACCGTCCCACCGGTCACGAATGAGGTAGAGAGGTGCTTCGCTGTATCGAGATTTCCGCAGGGTGTCTAGGATCTGGGTACGTGCAGATCCGAGAAGCCGGAGGTAAGGCCCCATGTTGGGTAAGGAGAGGATCATCGTTGATCCTCTTTCACTTGATGAGTGGACAGCATGATTTGCGGACGGTGAAGTCGTCGAGTGGCCTACATTTATGTAACCGCTCTTAGAGTGAGACGAGGCCGTCACTAGGAAGCCTGAACGAACCAGTGCAGCAGTTTCTTCAGGAGAGAAGAAACCAACAGGGACAGCAGGGGACTTGGTTTCCTTCCGTAGAGCCTCAATGAAGCGGTCTATGCATCCGTTAGCCATAATACAAGAATACAGATCAGGCAAAAGAACGGTAAAATGTCACCTTTCAGCACATCGTCCAGCGCAGTGCTATTTCTAACCAGCTTCTCCCAGTCATCCAACAGAACAAGACAGTCTCCGAGTCCGTATGTCCCGTCTCCACGCCCGGTTACAAGCAGTCTGCGAACGACAGCTGAGTCAATCAGCTGTACAATCTCTCGCTCGACCTTTGTAGGCTCGTCAAGCAGAACGTGTACATGTGCCACAGATACGATCGGAGGCAGTGACCTTCTGAATGCCATAACCTGTGCTATCCGCGTACTATTCATGCCCGATCTCCTTTCCGGGATGGCACTGAACATGGTGCTCTGGATATGCTGGATGGCCTGAGTCACACTGCTGACGGCGACGGACTCCGTAATGGCCCTAGAAGGGCCCAAGTCTGGCAATGCTTCATCGAAGAGAACATCTCCACCGGTAGTATTGCTACTGGTATTATGTCTCAAGGCACTTCTACTACTGTCCTCCGTCTGGTGATGGTTGGCTTCGAGCTGCTTGCCCTTGCTATGAAGCGCAGTCGGCGTAGAAGCTGCCTTGGCGCGGCGAAATGAGGCAAAGGGGGTCTTCTGTCGAGATGCTGAAGTCGGTTTCTTTATGCGAGATGAATGCGCTGCCGTAAGATTAAGTGACATCACCGTCTCTTGGCTATTTCTATCCTCAGTTTCTCCGCGACCTCGACTTGCTCTGCATTTATTATCTTCTTCTTTTCGTCTTTGCTTTGACGTTCTTTTTTTATCTCTACAAGATTAAGGTTTTATATCACATGACATATTATGTAATGATTTAAAGTTATTACTAATAAATGAGTCATGCTTATGTAATGTTAAAGATAATCCTTGGCATTTTTATTCAAAAAATGCATAAATCCTTCGTAAATCGGCCATAAGTCCCTGAATGCAGTCGAGATGTGAAGGCAAAAGAGAACAGAATGGTAGAAAAGAAGTGCGAGGGACCGCTCGAAGGATGATATTCTTGGTAAGAAGTGGCCGTGGAACTAATTCCATGAGTCTACGTTCTCAACTCAGGCTGTCCTCGCCCCAAACAGACTCCCGATGTAAGAATCAAAAGCAATATCAAATCAGAGTAACTCTCTGGAGAAATAGCCAGAAGTCGCTGTAACTATTCTATCGGCAGGCTCAATTGGTAACTACGTAGCCAACCAAACGTGATCGTAGAAAAGGGGTATCAAACATGGTCAAACAACGCCGTCCACCCGTGTTCACCGGCCGCAACGTCAACGCCAGCATCAAAAGCACCAACACCAACACCAACACCAACAACCAGCAGCATAACCATTGGTTTCTGCCCTGCCAGCCTGCTTCCCCAGGTATCCCGGGGGTATGACGTAGGTAGCACTGGTTTCAGGGTTTGGCCAGAATCCAACAGTTTTAGCAACCCGCAGGGCAACAAAGGAGACGCAGCGCAAAGTTACGTCCATGTGCGCGACCCGTGGTTCGCCTGCAAACTCACTTGCACTGCCTGATTGATTGCAATAGCCCTGGCTGGACTCGCAGCTGGCTCATGGTTTGATCTGGGATATCCGGGAAACTTGGTGACTTTCACGTTACTCGACCGCCGGCATCGACTTCCCCAACCTCCATCGTCGCCAACACCCGACTCGGCCGCAGCGCTCCTCTTCGCTCCATCGTTCGTCAGCGAGCTCGATGCCTGGTCCTGCTGCTGTCCGGCGAATTGACACTGCTGTGACCTGAAGGCGCCTCTTTCTGCTTCGACTGCTCGCCGTCGTCTTGGTGGTGCTACTACTTGCTGCCCCAGCTGCCCCTCTCGTGCGCTCAGTGGCTGGTTATATGGAGGGGTCAGCGTGCGGCCGGGAGACACTCATATATGCGCTGACAGAGCCGTACCAGCTGCGACAATGACGATATTTATCGTTTCCCTGTACGTTCAAGCCCGCGGTTGATGTGTTTTTGTTTGCATGAAACTAGGTATTGAGAGCACTCTTCGCTGACCGAGCCAGCTTTCTGCCACACACGATCGACTTTGCGCTGCCGGAAGGCTACCAGCGCAAGGCCTCCCATCACCACCGCCGCAAGAGCTCTGGCCAGAGGGCTACGCTCTTTGGACGCTTGCCAGGCAGCCAGACGGCCACTCCTACATCGGCGTCAGCGTCGACATCAGCGTCAACATCAACGGCGACGACAGCGGCAACGTTTACTACTCTATCTAACCATGCGTCCGGATCGACCGTAGCAGGCCGTCGACCGTCAAGCTTAAGGGATCAAGGACGTATATTCTCGTGTCCGGACTACTCCAGCTCCGGGATAGAGGTCACCTCCCAGCAACCACGGCTACTCGCACCTAGCGACCCACACTCACCTCGCTGGGGCTCTCCAGGAGCCTTTAATCAGCCCAAAGCCCAGGCTCTTGCGCCTCCGTCATCCTCTATTCTCAACCATGCACTCGGTCAGGAGTCTGCTTCAGAGCTTTCAAGGACTGAACCTACGGTTCTGCCTCCTTCGCCGGTACGCCCATCTATAGAGCCCGGGTCCCAACCAAGTCAGGAGAGTGTATTTGAGAGCGCAGAATGGACGGTTCAGCCTTCAGAGCAAGGAAACGGTGGTTTGTTAAACGCAATACGCTCAGCTGTTGATTGGCCATACATGAAGGATAAGCTATGGGTTGGTACACTGGGGATGCCGACTGATGCATTGCATGACAAGCAAAAGGAGGCTATAGCTGAAAAGCTGGCCGCCGACTACGAATCGTTGACTATATTTGTCTCGGATAACGACTTTGACAGCCACTACCTGCACTTTTGCAAAATGATCCTTTGGCCAGTGTTCCACTACCAAATACCAGATAACCCCAAGAGCAAGGCGTACGAAGACCATTCATGGATATTCTACCGCCGTGTTAACTATAACTTTGCAAAGGAGCTTATAAAAAACTGGAAACGAGGAGATGTTATTTGGGTGCATGATTACCATCTTCTTTTGGTACCTGCCATGGTGAGGAAGGAAATACCCGATGCACAGATAGGCATCTTTCTTCATGTTGCATTCCCCTCCTCAGAAGTGTTCAGGTGCCTCTCCGTCCGCGTGGAATTGCTCAAGGGGATGCTCGGCGCAAACCTGATTGGTTTCCAGACTCAGGAATACTGTCACCATTCTTGCAGACGTGTAGTCGCTTGCTCAATGTTGAGGCTACAAAGGACGGGGTACAGCTGGAGGATAGATTTGTCAACGTCGGCACGTTCCCCATTGGAATTGACCCCGTCTCACTTGATATCCGGAGACAGTGCGGAGAAGTCAAGTCGTGGATAAATATCCTCCAGGAAAAATTCAAGGGCAAAAGACTCATTGTTGCTAGGGATAAGCTTGACAATGTCAGGGGAGTACGCCAGAAATTATTGGCATATGAACTCTTCCTCAATAAATACCCTCATTGGCGAGATTCAGTTGTTCTTATACAGGTAGCATCTACTACTACGGAACAACCAGAACTAGAAGCCTCTGTTTCCGATATCGCGACACGAATCAACTCCGTTCACTCCAACCTTGCCCATCAACCGCTTATTTTCCACAAGCAAGACCTGCTTTTTGATCAATATCTTGCTCTTATTTCCGTTGCCGATGTTTTCATGGTCACGAGTCTACGTGAGGGTATGAATCTTACCAGCCATGAATTTATCCACTGCCAGGATGGCCTACTCTCATCGTCCAAACACGGTCCATTGATTCTCAGTGAATTCACTGGCAGTGCATCAATATTCAACTACCACCCCCTCCTTGTTAATCCATGGAACTATCAAGAATGTGCAGATGCAATAAATACAGCTCTCGAAATGTCTCCAGAGACTCGCCTAGCGCAATGGACTCGTCTCAATAATACTGCAAAGGACCATGTCACCACCCGGTGGGTAAACAATTTCACAGAGGCTCTGGACCGCGCATACCGCCAGCATTCCACTCGTGAAACCGTTGCCGTCCCCAGGCTATCGATTCCTAATCTCTGCAATGCCTACCGTACATCTTCCCGTAGGCTCCTCATCCTAGATTATGAAGGTACCCTGGTGAGCTGGGGACAACCGACAAGTACTGTCCTTACAACTCCTCAGCGAGCTATCGATACCCTGACGGACCTTCTTGAAGATCCCTTAAACACAGTCTACGTGATGTCCTCACGTATGCCAGAAGACATGGAACGCCTCTTTAGCCGCGTTCCCGGCCTTGGCCTAATAGCTGAGAACGGATGCTTTGTGCGGCCGCCCCCCATGCTGTCTCCAACGCCTTCCCCTCCAACGACAGGCACATTTGTAACCTCAAACTGGATCCGTCTCATTGATATGACTAAGATGAATGACTGGAAGCTATCCCTTTCCCCTATGCTTCGTTACTTCCAAGAACGTACAGAAGGAAGCTGGATTGAAGAAACACACGCCTCACTCATCTTCCATTATGAGCGTGCGGAGGACCCACAAAGCGCAGAACGTCATGCCTCCGAATGCGCAAATAATGTCAACGACAGTTGCGGCAACCATAGTCTAAGAGCAATACAGATGGACGGCTGCGTCGTTGCCGGGCCTGTGGAACCAAACAAAGGTACTGCCGCTAATGTGGTATTTTCCACATATACGAGGAGAGAGTCCCGCAGAAGCTCCAGCGCTGGTAGTGTGAGTAGCGCTAGACAGGGTATGGCTATTGAATGGAAGAGTGAGACAGAAGACAATGATGAAGATGTGCCGGACTTTATCCTTGTGATTGGCGATGGAAGAGATGACGAACCCGCATTCAGATGGGCAAATGAACTTGGCGAAGAAAAGAAGGTGAAGAACGTCATGACAGTTACGTTAGGATTCAAAAACACGGAAGCCATGGCCACTTTAAATCAAGGCGTTACCGGTATGTGTACTTATGCAGCCCTGCATTTTTTCACTTGCCTCGCGAAGCTAACATGAAACTTCTGTCCATAGGAGCATTGTCATGCCTAGGAAAACTGGTTGATATATCGCAGCGGAGGGATTCGGCATCACTTGCTCAAAAGCTATCTTATATCCCGGCGTCAAATGGAGAGTGAACTTACTCCGTCCGTCCATTGTCCATTGTTTGTTCTTGCCGAAGTAATGTGTATAAGTAACATGCCACAACTGTTTTTAACATTAATCAATAGATGCTTTCTCACTACATTCCGCCTAAAATGGATTGTAGTCAATTAAAAACATATTACAGGTTGTGTAGAAACTGAAAATTGGGAGACGGGGGAGAAAAGGGGCAAAGATTGAATTCAAGTTAGTGGGTCTTCTGTAATTTCATGCAGGAGTATATCCTTCCCTCAGCACCAACTTTCCAGCCGCTCTCCGGAATAGGTCTACAGATAATTGATGAACGTCTCCTGGGTTTCGTCCTGCCAGTAAATTTGGGCCCATGAGTTGTCCGCGGGTGATGGGGATGGTTTGAGCTTCGGGGTTAGGTGGTGCTGGAAAGATAGTCTAAACATTATTTAGGAAATGATTTCTCAAAATATCCTGGAATAAGTTCATATAACTAACATACCTCGGTCTGTAGTAGCTGCGGCTCACCGACGCCGTTTCTCCCATGCACTTCAATGATTCCTCGCACAACACCACCAGCACTTTTAGACCACTTCACCAAGAACACAAGTTGAACCTCTGGCCTCCCACCTCGCAACCATAAATCTTTGTCGTGGTGAAGTCTAGGCGCGGACTCTGACCAACCGGTCTCGAATACTAGGATAGGGAGCGACTGGCCATCTGGAAGCAGCGCAAAGTCTGGTTCTTTCCTCGAGGCTGAATATGGAGGTTGGAGCCCTCCAAATGCTGTTCATTGAAAAGTTGGACAACAAATAAAAGATAATAGACATGGAATGGCGTTATACGTACTCGGACTTTTAAGAAATGATATAGAATCTTCTTCAGATGGGGTTAAAAACCCCGAACGAGCCATTCTTGAAACTTCTCTATAAAGCCACGCCGTGTGGGCTTCATATAAAAACGTTGGCATAATGGTAATACTGATTGTTAGTGTAAATGAATTATAACTGAGACTATTACACATATTAGACATACTAATCACTCCAGAAGTTGTTAGAGAGGCATGTATTACCGAGCGCATGAGTTCTCGACATCAGGATCTTCGTCTAGAGAATCAATCACTAGAGATCCGGCTTCAGGGGGAACGTTCTCAAATACTAGATCCTTATACCCTCGAGCCTGCAAAATCTCGTTCCTGATGGTAGTGAAGAGTTTTTGGGCGCTGAGAACTTGGGGTGGTGATGGTGGTGCGTTGCTTCGCAGGAGACGAGTTGGAGGCGCGTCTCCTGACTTTGTTATGCTGCCTATTTTCATATCGAGACAGAAGGAAGAAGTGTAAGTATGAAATGATGTCTGGCTCTGATAGATATTTGAGAGTATTGTTGCTGTTCATCAATATCTGTGTTCTTCGTCAGAATATCAGTTCTTCGTATTGCTGATATTCATGAGAGTTGATGAAGTGACGTTTGCCAAGTCACTCAACAGTCGACTAAAGCTGGACTAATACTCCATAACTACGGAGTTAACATAGTTATCTAAGCCACTGACAGCTAGCCGTACTGTAGTTGCTTGGCCAATCACCTTTTACTAATCCTTAGTTTGCACCCATTTATCAGCTATTCTACCTCCGTTTAGTTTTTAAAATTAGATAAGTAACTAAAAAAATCTTAGATATATATAGAAATTGAAATTTGAACTCAGATCTCGGTGTATCTATATATTACCTAGTGTTCCACAAACCATGTATAATAAGTATCCAGGACGTAGAGAAGGGGAAACTAAAGTAGAAAAACAACTGGTCCTTATAATCTTCTTATAATGAATTGAGTAATTGAGTTATAGATAGTGAATTTTCTGACTGGAGATTTGGGCATAATAATCACCACAGGAACTGAACAAGAAGGTTACATTACCTTCGTAGAAGTGTTTGGTACGTTAATCTTCATCTGGATATTTTATTAATAGAAGCCAAGCTTAAGTGACTAGCTCCGTATTCTCTTAGAGTCTAGGGACTGCTCTCCAATGGGGGGGAATATGCAGCATTGTATTGATAACCCCTAAATTTGTATATAATATTTTTCCGTATAGTCGAGTGGGGCGGGAAGAGAAAGTAAAAGAAAACGACAATTGATTCTCGCGGCTGATTATAAAATATTCCTTACTAGTGAATGGTCACTGCTTCAATAGTTACATGAATATCGTCATAATCCAGAATGACGTAGTTATGCCAAGGGAACTTCCCAAGGAACCAGGTAGCTTAATTTAACGGCCGCTGACATAATCAAAATTTCGAACATCATGCCACCTGTGGACCTCGTTGAAAAATTACTCCCTCAACAAACCAAAACAAAGACATCACAGCTCAGAATGTCCTTTTGGGAGGTTCACAATTACCATACAGAATACTGCATGAGTTAACCTACTCGCATATTCACCATTTCGCAATGCCTAACATCAGATACAAAAGACGACAGCTCACAGACTCAAGACCTCTTGTAGCAGTTGAACGAAATCTTATGGTACATATCCCTTGAACACACATTGTGTCCGATGACCGACCGAAGACGGTTACATTAATTAGACAGAATGCTGATTGATGGCTCTATGACCTAACAGAGTTGAGCAGAACTCGTGCCTCTCCGGAGGACACCCAATTGGAAAGCCTTGATAAGGAAACCTACGACCTTATTGAGCCCTCGACTTTTTCAATCTGGCCTGGATGCAGATGACGTTCTGGGATACCCTTGATTCGATGCTTTGGCGGTTTCGGCAGCGGCTGCCGCCAGAACTACCGGCAGGATATGCCAACGAGGAGGCAAGAACGGTTACCGATCTACAATGAGGGCGATTAAGCTCTCTTATATACAATTGCTGCTACTGCAAGGGTCACAATCAGCGAGCCTGTCTGATAGTTAGTGAAGCTGATGGCAGGGGGCTGGTACTACGGCATTGACACGGGCAACCCCGCCTTGTCTAGGGGTTATGCCTAGCCTACAACCCACCCGCCGACAATTCAACTCGCCAAACTTCCATATCAGCCTGATAGTTCTCAAGACGTTTCTCCGAAAACTATGAATCGTCAATATCGATCACGAGTAGAAGCCAGGCACCACACTTTGCTGAGCCCTACGATATCACAGCATCCTTCGGAAAGCTCAGCCAGACATTCAATGCTGAGCGGAACGCCAACTTCGGAGCGTAACTTTATATACGCACAGCCTTCAAGTGACGTACTCAAGCTCATTTGGCAAGATGATACGAATGTTGTTTTAGCTCGCCGCCGTCCAGCAGCTTCAAAAAGCTCGTTACCAAACCACGCGTCTGGCTCTCTGAGACATCAACCAATGTTTCAATGACTCGGAACACCTTTGGAAACGAGACTGAAATAAGACGGAGATACTGCCTTGGTCGATTACTACAATGAATGGTGTAGACCTAGCAAATCAGTATAGAGAGGGCCATGGGGCTCTTAGACTAAGTCATAGGATTGGCTTCTTCTCTTATACTGGTTTATCGATTTTCGATCAACCTCTATTGCATTCGCCGTACTGCTGCAAAGGCGAATAGTGATATACCATCAGCTATCGACCTTCGTTCTTGGGAGTAGCTCTACAAAGAAATCTTTCATTTAATAGAAAGATCACCATACTGCACTCCCCATCCAACGTTTTAACGAGCTGTTTGAGAATATATAAATTTTCCTTTACATGCCTTGGTTGCCTATATTTCAGTCTAAAAGGCAAGGCTGTTAAGGAAAAAAACTGGCTCGGAATAGCCTGCTAGAACAAGATATAGCTGCAGTTTGAATAGGCTGGTTTCTTATGGCGACCAGCTAGTTTCTGGCAGGACTGGGACTCAGGCAAGTGTTGATGCTTGCATTGGCCCTCGTGGTTTCCCAGTTCAGAAAACTGGCATTGGAATTTGTTACACACTTTACCCTATATACTATATTATACTCCTATTTGATATATACGATCTCTTCACCGAGCACTTTCTATATGGCTTGTGTAGGGTCTCGTTTTCAGTTTCTACTTCAAATACATCGGACAGTAGATCAGCCAGATGATTTTACCTCAACCAATATTCAATCTATTAAATTGCCCCGCCGTGGGAATTCCTTCTTGATCCTTTAAATGAATATGTAGTGAAAGTTCTTCCAATTATATATCAACATAAAGAAGGCTTCCCTGCTTTTACTGCTTCGCTGTACATAACCATGGTGCAGCTGGTAGTTGATATCGAGATCACGAAATAGCCGAGGCATCTCGGCGCAACCTCAATTTAACTTCCGGCAGCCTCAAGTTTCTCGTCTCAATTTATTCCTTCTTTATAACAAGCGGAGTCCGTATCTAATTTCCGTTCATATTATTAGGCCTGCCGTTTTTCAAAGAATCGGCGTTGATTGCTAGACAAGATGGCGACAACACAAGCGGAGTCCGCAGCGAGCTTCGCGGAAGCCATCGCGATAACTCCCCTGTCATCCCATACGTACTCTGCGAACCTCCGCACGGAATGGTGCATCGGCACTGGTATATATTTGTTTCTGAGCCCTGGGTTATGCTGCATGGATTACTTTATATTAACTAGAACGCAATAGTTCCTCATGGCGGTTATGTGACCTCTATCTTTTACGCCGTGGCCCGCAAACATATGAAAACCACCCATCCAACATACCACAAAGGCGCTCCAGATCCCATAACAGTATACCTGACCTTTATACGCCGGACAAATATTGGTCCTGCCCTGTTCACCGTCGTCGACACGAAGTTGGGTTCGCGTACGTCAACGCTACATATCACACTCAGCCAGCAGGAACCGGAAGGGAACCGCCGCGAAGAAGTAGCCGGATACATCACCGTATCACATATAGCCAGTGAAGAAGGACCAAGCATAGAGAGAGCTTTCGCATTGACTCCTCCTGCGCCCCCTGTGGACTTCAAGCAGCTCACCAGCACTGGCCAGAGCGGCGAATGGAATGGGTTCAAAGTGGCCTTTGGTTCTATGCGGAAGGCTAGTCGACATGTTGAATTTTACGCTCCTCCTACGTCTGCCATGGCTTCCCGTGGGTTCGTTGAGCAATGGGCTCGATTCGCGCCTTATGGAAAGGTGGAAAGGTGGACAGATGAAGCACTAGGGTTTCTAGCCGACATGTTCCCCATGATGCTTGAATCGTTTGACGATAAGCCGTGGGATAAGAGGTCGAAAGAAGAGAAGGAGAAGGAGAAGTATGCTGTTGGTAAAGATGGCAAGCTATCTCCCAAGGGCAAGTTCTGGTATCCGACTATCCTGTTAAATTTGGATGTCAAGAAGAAACTGCCTGCTGAAGGGGCAGAGTGGCTTTATTCACGGGTCCAGACGAAGAAGCTACATAACGGCAGGATGGATTTGGATGTTATTATTATGGACGAGAAGGGTGAGATTGTTGCCTTAAGCAATCATGTTGCATTGATTATTGGAGCAGAGAGAAACCTGAGTGCGAGAAAGGGAAGCGGAAAGCCCAACGGTGAGAGCAAGATATGACGATATGACGTCGTTTTGAATAATTGTAGATATAAAGACGTGATTTAGACGCAAACGACTACAGCGCTCGCTACGTGGCAGACATACCTTTTCCTACTGTAGATCTAGGGATATACTACTCCGTACAGCTATATCAAAGCTTCGAGTCTTTAACCAGGATGAAGAACCCCACTGCATCAGCACAGACGTACTTCTTCTTTACCCACTCAACCTTCTCGCCATTGGGTTTTATGGGATTTTCTTCCTGCACCAGCTGAGCTCTAACCCACCACTTCCGGCCCTCGTTGCCGATACACCACGTTCGCAGCACAGCATGAGCATCAGTCCTCACCGGTCTCTTGAATCGTACATCCAATTGCATGGTAAACAGCTGACCGAATTTGTTAATATCTGCAAAGTCGAAACCGGGTATATGTGCAGCTACACTGATGGCCATCAGTTCGTCGAGTAGTGTAGATATGATACCGCCATGAACGATCCCTGGGTGGCCGTTAAGGTCTGGTTCGCCAAAATAGATCAAGTTGACAACATCTGCTGGCTGGTTTGAAGGGATCTTTGGCCATTGGTCTGGTGGAGCAGGGAGCGAGGGAGCGCCGGACGGGACTTTGGCGAGTTGGCCTGGTTTCCGCTGGAGGGTGAGGAGATGCGGGATTGTAGTTGGTGTGTTTATTGTGGTTGCAATGAAGGCGTCCTCTCCCGTCTGAGGCTTTGGCTTGCGGCAGTAGGTTTCGACGGCCTGGTAGGCGTTGTTTTTGAGGAGCGTGCTCGTCCAGTTATTGGCTTGGAAGGCTGCCTTTGTGGCGTCTGGCACGGTGTATGGTTTTGGAGCAGTCATGTTGCGCTCTGTCTCCCGAGTCTTTGATCAACTAGCTTGTAAAGCTGTCTGTACGGAGCAGTCGTGTTTGAAGGTGTCGTTGGTGAAGTTGACATCGACGTCCGAGCAGCCGGAATGGCGATGCGGCTAGTTTAGAACCGAGGCCAGGGACAGACGTCTTGGCAGTAAACAAATGCTGAAGACTCGCGATATCTCGCCAGCAACTACTCTTACCTCGGACCAGTTGGAATATACGACCAATACTCTGTAATCAGCCAGTTCACCAGCGATACTGTTCCAGTGCTCTGTATACGATGGCCTGTCGATACTCACGCTCAGACTTCAGGCTACACCCGCCCAGGAAGCTCGGTAGTTCGCTCAGTGTCACCACCGGGTGAAAGGAGACAGAACAACACACCCCGTGGTGGACAGATTAATATCCCATTTTATAGTCCCGGACCGCTCGGCCACGCTCTCCGCTTTAGGTATTGTCGCTTTTCGCTCTCGCTAACCCGCACTCTCCCGTCAGAGGAAACGCCGTCAGCCGCCACGGTTAATTCAAGCTTGATCTTCGGGCAACCGGCCCCATCTTGGCGCACACAGCAGCACTCTGCTTCGTTTCCAGGGCGATAGAGCTTCTCCAGCACTCTTGTCTGCGTGTAGATCTGTAGAAAAAGCAAGCTGGATCAGGTTCTGCCCAACAAAACAGCTCTTGTGTCTCGCTCACCGTCAGAGATAGCCGCTGTTTCCGTCTGATCTGGCTCAAGCAGCAGCCATGGACCAGCCATCGAGCAAAGTGACTGGCCATGCCGTGTGCTCCCTGGAACAGATGAGGCACAGAGCCAGTCCGTTGTAAAACCAGACCCCATCCTGTGCACATTTGGTGAACCCCTTTTGCAATGCGGGAGGCCACGGCTGTTTCGCAGACTATTCCCCCCCGCCAGAACGCTAGCCCTGCTGATATTTGGAATAAATAGTCCGTGTTTGATGTTGAGTATCAGGTTTCGGCGGAGGAGATTACATCCTGGGCGGCTAGCTTGTTCAGTAGTCAACTAGCTAAGTAAGTAATAGATAGATAGCGGAGAAGTAGAGAGAAGAAGAAGAAGCAAAAGGAACTCGAGTCTCTGTATAGTTTTTGCGGGCGACAAAAGTCACGGGCGCTTTTCCTGTTTAGGCAGTCTGCGGTCCTCTTCTTGCTTCCTGTTTTATTTAATTTGATTTTTTTTTTTTTTTTTTTTCCTTCCTCCCTGCTTGCTTGCTTGTTTATTTTCTTCGTCCTCACCAGCTTCACCTCCGTCTTCTCTCCATCAACTGTCCGTCTTCCTCTACAGCTTCGTCTGTTCGTCTCGACTGATCTTCTCTGGTAAGTTGATGGCAAGCAAGTGGACGCGCTGGTTACTGGCTTGACGCTGACTCTCTCTCTCTCTCTCTCGACAGGAGCCTTCACCACAGCTACGGACAGTTTACAACAGCAGCCACCATGTTGTTCTCTTCTCTTGTCGTCCTCCCTGTTCTCGCGTCCACTGTGACTGCACTCGGCTCGAACTACACTGTTCCCCCAGACTTCAACGCGGGAGCTGTTTCTCCCGACGAGAAGGGTGCGTTGCTCAGACCGCTCATCCCAGCCGACGAGCTGCTCAATTGGCCTGTATACTGATATTGTCTATAGCCAACTGGTGCCAAGCCGAAGCCAACACTTGTAGTGACGTCTGCGGCTCCTACTTGGTCAACAGATGCGACCCGGTAAAGCTCTGCTCTCTGCTGTTTCTTTGTTTCTGCTCCAAGGTTGCATGCAAGTTGCTGACGAAACGCACAGGGCACTCTCGAGTTCTCTTGCCAGTGCCAGAACGGCACTGTCCCCGAGATTGAGCAATACAAGAACTCTCTTCCTTGGTTCATCTGCCAGGCCACCTTCAGCCAGTGCATCAAAGCTCACCCAGACGACGCTGATGGCCAGCAGGTCTGCAAGGACAACCAGGAGAAGTGCGGCAAGCTGGACGCTACTCCTCCCGGTGACTCCTCTACTACCTCGGCCAGCAGCGAGCCTACCGCCTCCTCCACCGAGAGCAGTCCATCTGCTACCACCACTGGATCTGCTCCCACCCGCACCAATGCTGCTCCTATCATGGCTGCTAAGGACTACTCCCTTGGCATCTTCGCTACCGTTGTCTTGGGCGTCTTTGGTATCCTGCTCTAGAGCGAGGCATGGGTGATAGATATCCTGAAACGAGATTAATCATTCCCCCTCCCCCTTTTTTATTATTCCCAGGTTTCTTATGTTTACTAAACCACCGACGACCCCCCTGGCCTGAGTAATGGATTGTTTTGCATGTCGGAGATGAGCAGTTTTGGGCAGTTCTTGCAGGAACTTCTGGCGATTCGACCGATTATTGGCATGGTTGGCACACCCTTGCTAATCGGCAGCTTCATTTCGCGCCGAACCTCCAGGGTCGCTGCTAGTCCGAACTCCTCATTCCCCACTCTGCTTTCTTGCTGTTTTCCCTGTCCTTTTCTTTTCCCTTGTCCTCCAGCGTCGAGCAGGCAACTCTGCCACGATGATGTACCTACGTGTGAATGTGAATGATACCGATGTCTATCCCAGTTATTATATTTCACCGTCAGAACATATATAAATAAACTTTGCAAAAATGGCGGGAAAAGGGGAATAAAAAAGCAAATATCGAAGCCAAAAAAAAATCCAAAAGAAAAACAAAACAAAGTGCATCGACCGGGAATCGAACCCGGGGCCCGTCGATGGCAACGACGGATTTTACCACTAAACCATCAATGCGATTTTATTGGAGAAGAGCTTAGCTAAGGCATTATAAGTAGGAAAACTTAGTCATCAAATCTTTAATGAAAACCTGCCAAGACTTCCACACAAGAAAAAAAAGAGCGTAGAAAGTTTATCGAACATCGGAAGTCGTTAAAAAAAACATCCCACCAGCCAGACCAGCAGGACGAACATCCTCGCGCTCGACGTTGACACCGGCGAAGGACATTGAGACTGCGCATATTGGAATAGTTGAGGGAACGAACAAAAAGGAACGCGACAGGAGAAGGGAAATTTCGAAAGGGAAAAAAGAGCACGAAAGATACCAAAATGGCTACCAATACCCTCCTGATCGAGGGTTCGTTCGATGAACTCGCAGACGAACTCGCCCGCTACATTGACACGATTCGCAAGACTGTCTCCGCTGCCTCGGCCACTCCAGGTGCTGAGGTGGCGTCTGTGCATGCCGAGATTGCGCAGCTGCTCGAAAGGCTGAGGGAAAAGGATCAGAGTGAGGAGGAGTTGACAGAGGAACAGACAAAAGAGGTCCAGAATGAGAGGACTGAAGTGCTGAAGAAATTGGTGCTTGCGGCTCCGGTGCTAAATGGTGCTCCTGAGAAAGGTATGGGTCAACTTCTTTTCACTGTTTCCTGCTTGAAAGGAGGGACATTCAAGGGATGCTGACTGGGGGGTAGAAATCACTGCGGCATACAACCTGCTGGTTTACCTGGTCCGTCAATCGAGCTCGGTAGACATGTTCTTGCCCAAGATCTGCGCGTTCCTGGCCAAACCAATGCCCTCGTCACCGCTGCATGGCCCTTCCATAGCCCTGTCCATCCTGGCAACCATTTTCAATACTCTGGACGCAGATGACTCCAGTAGATACCATGTCTTCCTTGCCATCATGGCTGTTATCCGCAGCACCTCTTCCGCACTCGCCTTTGAGGCCCTAAAGACTCAGCTTTCTAACCAATTGCCCGGCTGGATCGAGTCCTGGGACCTTGATGAAGAAGAGACGCAGAAGCTGCACATGTCCATCTCAGACGCCGCCAGGGCTGCCGGTGATGCCGAGCTTTCATACCACCACCTCATCCAGGCACTACACGCCATACCACCCGCTGAAGCTGCCTCCACTCAAGCCCGCGAAATGGCTGTCCGATCTCTTACCACTGCTCTCTCCCTCCCATTCGTCTTCGACTTCACCCCTCTAACATCCAGCGATGCTGTCCAAAACCTTCGATCCACCGATGCTTCCCTCTTTGAGCTCCTGGAGCTCTTTTCTACCGACGATCTCGATGCTTATGAGGATTTCGTCAAAGAGAACCCCATCTCCTCCATCTCTGCCCTGGCCTCCGTCAAGACCATCTCCCCCGCCACAACTACATCCTCTGCTTCAAGCGAAGCCCCATCAGTGGAAACCATCTTACAGACCAAAATGCGTCTGCTCACACTTGCCAGTCTTGCTGCAAAGGCTCCCTCTCGCTCTCTACCCTACAACGACATCGCTGCTGCTCTCCGCATCGAGCGAGAGGATGTAGAGAAGTGGGTTATCGATACCATCCGCGCCGGTCTTGTTGAGGGGAAACTCTCCCAACTCAAAGGCGAATTCCTTGTTCACCGTGCTACGTACCGTGTCTTCGGCGAGAGACAGTGGGGTGAAGTCCAAGGTCGTCTCATGGTATGGAAGCAGAGTCTGTTGAACGTCCTCGAAGTCATCCGCTCCGAAAAGGAAAAGTTCAAGGAAGCTGCCTCTGCCGCAGCTGCTCCCACCCAGG